ATGTCTGTCATACTAACACACTATTATTAAATAGCGAGGAATTCGTTTCTGCTCCAATTTTAGCCGTGTTTCTTCTTAACTTACCTTACTCGAGTATATTGACAAAACAGGGTCATTAGAGGACACTCGATGAAACCATACGCTAAGTACAAGTTGAGCAACAAAAAACGAGTCACAGAAAAGTTGCAATATCTCCAAGTTTTTTTATAAGGATCATATTCGAGAGGTTTGCTGAAATATGTAGTTTATGATAGATAATAAATTGGAATAGTTGTGTACTATATAGTTGAATCGGTGATTTTTTGAAAATGAGTATGAGTTTCGTTGGATATTTTTGAGCTTAGCGCATGAAGGCCTTCCAGATTTTGCATATTCAAGATGATAGGTTCACCCCGACCCCGTTCATCTTAATGTAATATTTCCATGAATCTTACGGCTTGCGCCTTTTACCTAATAATGGCAAATTCCAGTTTAGTTTTTGTTTGAGTAGGAAAATTAAGCAAGCATATCATTAAAGCCGCGAAGCCTTAATTTTCCGAAATGTTCTTGATATACGGAGACAGACTCAACCTCTCGGGATTTCTACTTTTTATGTTTATAACGTGAAATTTGTAAAATTATCAGTTACTATCAACAAAATAGGCCCTTTTCATTTCTTTAAGAACTCGATACGAGGCGTAATCTAAGAGAGTGCTACCATGCCACCGCCGCTTTTTTATATTAAACAATTTCCAACGCGAGCGAGTGTGAGTGTGTGCGTGCGTAGAGTGATTTGTGATAGGGCTGCCATCGCTTCGAAATACCCCAAACTCTACGCAAGATTCCATTGCGTTTATATTTTCTATGTGATCGTAAATTTGCGGGCATAAAATTTTGCTCGGACTGTTATTTTAAAAATATGAACCGTTTTCTTTCTGCGTGGATCCATGGAATTTTATAACATTATTTATTTTTTGTAAAGGATTTAACATCCGAATTTATAGAAATTAGGATATGAAATCCTTCCAATACTCATCTATAAACATTCTTATTACAACCTATTATGATGGGATATTCAAATAATTTTAATCAAAGATTCATAATTGAAAAGTCAATTTAACGAATTACTATAACTTATGTTGTAATCTCAACTTTTAGGTACATATACAGCGTATCTTTACAATCGCGACAATAAATGAACACACATATAGAGGATAACTTTTTAAAATTTTATTAAACATTTACATTATTTAAAAATCAATATTTACAGAGTTATTAAATTTTCCAAAAAAAAGAATTTAAGAACAGCCTTACGTACAAAACTGTAACGTAAAGTTCATTTGTAAAGGTCACAAAGCATAATTATGAATGGGTTGAATAAATTTAAAAGAGACAAAACATACTGTTAGAAGGAGATGCGGCGCTGTGGCAACGAATAAAAAAGTCTCCGAATGTATGAATCAGTCAGTTGTAGTTGTATAGCAAATTTTGTTTTTTTTTTTTTTACTTAATTAGTTTGTTTGAAAAAAATTTTTTTTAATTATGTATTTTTTTAACGTTAATATTTTTTTATGATTATTGGCAACGAGCGTTAGACGTGTGTTCATTTATTGTCGCGATGGTAACGACACGCTGTATAATATTCAGGTAAAATGGGCGAAATATAAATTCTTGTAATAAATTCTAATACTGTATATAAATTCTTGTAAATAAGAAATGTAAATCCTTTTTGGCGGTAATTTAAGCATATGTGAATCAAAACTAAGGACTGTGGATTTTTTCTCAATAAAATACAATAGTAATTGTATAGGATTATTTTATTATTTGTCTCTACATAATATTTATGTAAATATAATGAAAACTTTTCAATCTGTTCTGTTTACATTGATATAGTAATTGTGAGGGATTGAAAAGTTTTGTTTAAACAAACGAAATATCATATAATATCAGCAACTAATACTTGAATGAAATAAAACAAACAGATTCCATATAAAATTTATTTATGTAAGAGCATAATCGAGTGTTTTTGATAATATAATCTCAACATGATATAACACATTCACTATTTTTATATTAGAATATATCGTCGCTTGTTGCGCTGCGTATACATGTTGGAACTGTGACATACATTAAGACATTAATACGTAATAGTTCTCTATTTATAAAAATATAAATTCAACCTTTTCCCCAACAATAATAGCGGAAGAGTCCGCTTCGTCGTGGTCGCCAACATGACGCCCAGCGAAAGGTGTTTGTAACAAGACAAACGATCACAACGCATTTCGTCGGTGTATCGAGTTGCCACTTGTTAGAAACGTCCATATTGTAAAGAAAACGATGCCCAAACTTGAGCTATATATCGAACAACTACATTGAGCCTCTTATTACATTAAATTCTATCTATATTAATTAAAACATATATCTGGTTACAATAACAATTGGACTTAGGTATATGTTCTGATAACTTTCTCGTTTGGCATTCTTAATTATGGCAATAATAATTAAACGCAGCTTATTCAGATAAAGTAAAAGTTTTTTCATGAATTTAAAACATTGTTGAGCCTTAATGGCCGCGTCACACGAGGCGAGTTTACTAGCTGGAGTGTTTGTTAGGACAAGCTAGCTGACACCTCAGTTTTCAAGCTTGAAAGCATAACTAATGGACATGTACAATTTGTAGCGTTAGACTTTCTGCTGGATGCGAATAAGAGCCAATCGGAAAGCAGTATTTCATCGCTTGTTTTAACATGCGCATACAGCGTGAGAGTGAGATGAGTGACATCGACAACTGTTAGCTTTAAAATTCACACAATGTGAAGCTAACCCTATAGAAAATATTACTGAATATAGGAAATTTGCATGTTATATTTCAGACATCCTGTGGCTGTTTGAAACATAACAGGCATACAGGCATGGCAGTAAACTTGCCTTGCTCGTGTGAGGCGCGCTTTAGATTAATAAAATTTAAAATATCTTTTAATTCATAATTAATATACTCAATTTACAATTTTTAATATTCATATTTTCATAAAAACATTAGGTATAAATCCATTCATTAACTTGATAAAATTACTTATGTAGAATTAGAATTATTCGATTAGTGTCAAAGCGCGTAGAAGATGCAGCCTGCATTGTCCTTTTTCACGAATTTCACAGTCATGTACTTATTTACAACAGGCATTTGTTTCTTTAGGGACAAGTGCTTATTTAAAATTATTTTTAGTTTAAAGTCAAATATACGGAAAAAGTATAAAACATATTGAAAATAACGGTATAATATTCAAATAAAAAGTCAAGTCAAAAGTAAAACACATACATATACAAGTCATTACATCTGGACGCACAATATTTTCCTTTGCAATACTTTGACATTTACCTAACGACAAATAAAAAACATCTTTACCATATTTAGTGACTTTATAAATGTACATTTGACTAAAACTTAAAATGATATGTGTAAAGGAAGATGTAGACAATCATTATTAAAGACAATCGGACGATAGTAGGAAAAAACACGAGCCAAAATTAAAGTTAAGAAATATTTGTATGCAATATTAAAGCTTCAGAATCAACTATTCAAATCACAATTTATATGATCAGACCTAAACAAGAATACTTATCGAATAAATGTAGTTTTAAATACTGCAGCGCCATAATTTTGCTTTATTTGTTAATTTTAAGAAAAACTTGTATTAGAAGACAAAAGGTGAACTACTTAATTTTGTGCGCGTTTGACACCGTTGAACAATAGATAATGTATTTGAAGGCCGTAACGAAATGCAAAGGGAAAGAACTTTTGATTATATCTAGTAAAGAAATAGTAACCGCGGCGAAAAGATTTAATTATTTGCAATGATACAATTTGAGCAAACAACTATCATACACTCGCCATGTATAAGCAGCTTACTTTAATAATAAATATGCTATGTATAAAATTGAGCGCGTCTTACTCGTGCCGGTGCGCCTCAACGGCAACAATTTAATAATAAAACATCGCGACGCACCGGCGGCTAGGTCGAGGTATAAAGGAACGTCAATGAAAACATTAAATCGCTTACGCATAATGGCCGATCGCTAACTACAAGCACTTTATTGTAAATACATCTTATAGTCTAAGACCTTACTAATATTTTTTTCCAAAGAATACACTTCATTCATTGCGCGTGATTACGTCAAGATTTCATCTTCGCGGTCCGGGATCGGATTGGGAGCCGCCGAGCAAAGTACGACCGCGGCTTGGACGCTAAATGCACACTACTTGTATATTTATTGTACGTAATACTGGACGTTTAGTATTCGCATGCACCGACGGCCCGACCATCATTTACGGCCAATACATCGGCTTTATTCAAATCGCACAATCACAATCGATACTCGCGTTCGTTCAACAAATTACATCAACATGGACAAAATTTACATGGATTTCCCTCGCCGAGCTCTAGCAAATATCCCGGTTGAGCAATTTAATATTTGAACAACATTTTTTACTATTTAGCTCTACTAAAAAGAAGAAAATATTATAGTATATTACTTTAAATAATGATCTGTTGCGGTTGAAATTTAATTAATGCTCTTACTCTTTGCATGATTTTCGTCGGAATTCAATACGTTGTTAAAAAGTAAGTATCAACTTGCATGAACAGAAGAATTATCATTTTGCAAGATTCTTGCTGATCATATATATTTTAATCGTATGTTATATTATATACAGAGGTATTAAATTATGAAATAAGTAAGTTTATATGTAAGTTTTTTATGTATCGATGTCGCTATAAACATGGTTTTAGGATGGCTTCAACTTTTCGGACGAAAGCTCTCTGTCTCGTGGCGACGATTGTTCTATTTACTTCTGTTGCACTATTACACGGAATCACGTATATAACATGTAAATAATTCGAACTTTACCCAGTCGCCGTCGTCGTGATCTCGCAAAACACTTATATAGTCGTCAGCCTTTTGGCGCAACGAGTCCCGTGGCTTTCGAGTCACTTGGAGCCGAGGAAGCGCGCACGCGAGCGTCAGTCGCGCGGGCCGCGGGGGGCTTGGGGGGCGTGGGGGGCTTGGGGGGCGTCGGGGGCGAGAGGGACTCGGGGGGCGTGGGGGGCGTCGGGGGCGTGGGGGGCGTGAGGGGCGTGGGGGGCGTGCGGGGGGCGCTGCGGGCGCCTCGCGGCCGCGTGCGCCACCGAGTAGCTCTCGGGCTGGAAGGTGGGCGGGCACTGCAGGTGCGGGTAGGCGCCGCGCCCGCTCTCCTGCTCAACAAAACTCTTCGGCTAAGCGCATTCTTAGCTTAGCACGCCTCAATTGTTACATGGATCAATCTTCTTTGAGCCGATCGATTTCAATTGACCTAAATTATTTGTACTAAAATTACTTCGAAAATACAATTCTGATTGAAAATTGTTTACTATCCAGGGGAAAACGATTCGAAGAAGAATCTCTTGAGATAAATGCTCATACCTGCCGAGCGCCGCCGAACATGAGCCGCAGCCGCGACACGCCGGGCCCGCCGCCCGCCCCCGCTCCCGCCCCCGCCCCCGCTCCCGCCCCCGCTCCCGCTCCGCTCGCCGCCGCCGCACCCGCCCCCGCCCCCACTACCGTTCCCGCCCCCGCCACGTCACCCGCCCCGCCCCGCGCTGTGGCCGACCCGCCTCCGCCCGCCACCCAACTGCTAATCGCAAACGTCAAGAAAAGTACGTCAGAAATACACAATATCAATTCAATTACATTCACAGCTTGTAAACTCTTTCGCAAGAAAACGGGGCACGCAAGCAAACTACCAAACTATTAATAATTAAAAGTACTCTTATCCTAAGGACTTAATAAATTAAGCAGTAAGGTGTAGGTTTATCATTTCAGTTTGATTTTTTTTACTTTTTTACTGGTGTTTTGCTTTCAGTCCGTAACGGTCTTCCTGTACGGACCAACCCAAACGACGAATTCCTAACTACATAAGTACATAATTATGCTATAGCATATGTACATAAACGAGGTCATACTAGTGCTCGTACATGGACTCGTAAAATCTAACGCTCACTTCATCGTCACGTCTAACACTACTTGCCAATAATCATAAAAAATATAGACGTTAAAAAATCCATAACTAAAAAATATATTTTTCAAACAAATTAATTAAATAAAAAAGAAACAAAATATGCAACATCCTATACAACAACAACTGACTGATTCAGCGACTTTTTCATTCGTTGCCACAGCGTCGCATTACAAATGTCTCCTTCCAACAATATGTTTTATCTGTTTTAAATTCATTAAACCCATTTATATGCTTTGTGACCTTTACAAATAAACTGTACGTTAAAGTTTTATACGTGTTTTATACGGGGCATTTAAGGGTGTTCAAAAATTGTTTGTTTTGTAAAATTTAATAACTCGGTAAATATTGATGTTTTAATAATGTAAATGTTTAATACAATTTTAAAAAGTTATCCTTTATATGTGCGTTCATTTATTGTCGCGGTTGTAACGACACGTTATATACAAATTTCGTGTTACAATGTATGTTAGCGATAAACTCCGAAACTACTGAACCAATTTTTATTAAATTTTCTAAGCATTTGTAATTTGGTCTAACTTGGTCGATAGGGTAGTTTTTATCTCAATTATTGGTTCAAATATTTGTTATTGCAAATTATTTGTTTATTAGATGACAAAGAGCTATCTGTGAGTCCCATAAGATTCTAACAGATGGCGGTGTTAGATAAATTTATCGGCTGGATTGAGTAAGTATCCGATAATAGATGGCGCTATGCTAAAAGTAGAAACCGTATGGACCGGGTAGAATTGGCGCAGACGAAGTTGACAGGCCAGCTAGTATATGCATAATTATGTACTCTTCCACACCACTAGACCAGTGGGAGCGAGCGCTGTCATCCCGCGTTTTCACGTGGTAACTATAGCTTGTACTAAATTTTTCTTAATGATAAGTTAAATAGTAAATGTAAATTTTTTACATCCACCTCAATTTCATATCTTTTTCAAATTATAATTAAAAATTAATATTGTAGAACAACTCGTTACTCATGTCTGTGGTTTGTGAATTTAGTAAGGAAAACAAGGACAGGTAACGAACTTTGTTTCAAAAACTTTATACTTATATTTTCAAGATTTTGTTTCACAGTAAAGTCATACCTTTATTTAAATCCGGTAGTACTTCGGATCCCACTAACTTTAGACCTATTTATATACTACCAGTACCAACATTTAGTAAAATTTTCGAAAACCTTCTCGATCAGTTGTTAAAACATTATAATTTAAACAAATTATTACACCACAATACAATCTGGTTTTACAAGGAGTCACACAAAATAATAAAGGACCGCGGAGGGGGAGACACGTGTGTCCTCGTGACCAACCATACACCTTGAATATAAAAAAGTGAACAGATTTTTATCAATTTTGGTATTCCACAAGGTTCGGTTCTTGGCCCAACTTTATTTTTGGTTTATTTAAATGATTTGAATAAAATCAATATGAATAACACAAAAATTTTATCTTTTGCTGATGATACTGTGCTTGTTTTTGATGCTAGGCGCCTGGGACGAAGTACGGAGACTAAGTGAAGACGGATTAACAAAGGTTTCAAACTGGCTTAACAAACATGTTTTAACGCTTAATTTTTCGAAAACAAAATAATGACATTTAGTATATACAACAATACTCAACCATTAGACTTCAACATAAAACACCATACTTGTGACAAATTTTCTTTGTGTCAATGTCATGTACTGGAATCCGTTACATCTATTAAGTATTTAGGCGTTACTCTTGACCAAAACTTTAACTGGAAGTGCCATATAGATTTACTTTGTAGTCGAATTAGAAAGCTTATCTGCATATTTAAGAAAATAAGACATATTAAAGACACTAGTTTAATTAAAATAGTTTATTATACTTTGTGTCAGTCCTTATTAACATATAGCATAATAGCTTGGGGCGGTGCTAAAAAAAACGTATCTCATTAAATTAGAGCGAGCGCAAAGAGCTATCATCAAAGTTGCAAATTTCAAGGAATTGTGTTATCCTACAGATGATTTGTATCGAGAATTCTCAGTACTCACAGTTCGACAGTTATTTTTAAGATCATTAATACTAAGGCAACATCGTATTACAACGCCAAAAACATCTGACCAACGACGATCGCCGACTGTTTATATTCCATTGTGTAGAACTATGTTTGTTTGCAGTTTTATCTATATTTTGGGTCCCCGGGTGTACAATCGAGTCTGTCGAATTATTGAATCTTTGCCGGGTGAAACTTATTTCAATTGCAAAAAAAAATTGTTACCGAGTACTTATTAACCTTAAATTACTCAGCTACTGAAGAGTTACTTAAAATATGAGGCATATATAATACATATTTATTAAATATATTTATGTATATTTTAGTCCTAATTGTAATTAAATAAGAATGTAATACAAACTCCGTATAATTGTTAATAAATATATGTAATATAATACTCATGTATGTTTATGTATGTTTTAAAATATATTTTAATAAATATTACAGTCTCATTCAAAGTTATATGTATTTATATGTACATATATTAACAAATAATATAGTTTAACACTCATATTGACACATTAATTACTTTAGTTCAAAATTGTTTAAAAAATTTTTTAGTAATAAGTATAACGTTCTATTTGTTTTGGGTATAGTGTCATTCATTTTTATTTTTGCACTTAATAACAGTAACCATACGACATTGACCTGTCAAACCACAACTTCTTTATGTTAATCACGTCTTACTTAAGTTGGACAATACGGAACGGTGATACTGCTCTGCCGCAAAACAGTTCTTACTAGCGCGGAGGGTAGTTGTAATTTTTCTGCTGTTGCCACTTACTACTATCGAATACACTACACACAATATATAATACAATACATAATATCGAATGTAATCTTGTGTTTATTAGTGCAAATCTTTTCTTTACTAGATCAAACTAAGCTAAGTTATCCTAAATGTTATAAGCATTATGAACATATGTCGCAGCAAACAATGTTTCTTTTCAAAATAAATTATTTATTATTATTATTGGGGGGGGGGGGATTATTATTATTATTATTTATTATTATTATTATTAATATATTTTTATTCCTTCGAGGTTATTTTGAGCTCGCGTGCAATAACCTGCGATTTCTCTACGCTTGACCCGTTAGAATTCGACGCATGATTTTCTTCCAGAAACAGCCTTCTCTTGACAGAACCAGATAACACTGCTAGGTCCTTTGAGATGGCGTACAAAACGCACATTTACCCTCTAAGTGACAAAACTTTGGCTAGAACTCATCGTAAGAAGCGTAAGTGGTTTTTATCACTTTAACGTTTATGTATTTTTATGCCTTTTTTTAACATACATATTTAAATTTAGGATTGTTCGAAACTATGTTATAAAACTTAACCTCACCTGTCGGGTGCTTGTCGGCCACCTGAGTGCACCTGAAATAGATTGGATATTAATAAGTGTGGTTCCGTAGGTAAATTGTCGAAAAAGTTTTTGGTGCGCCAGTATTTGAAACCACGTCTTCCGAAACTTGAACCTGCGCCATCTGCCCACGTTACCCGGAAGATGCAGCTTCGAATTCTCGCAGAATCGAATATTTTTCGGCACTATCTATTCAACATACATTTAAATTTCATATTGAGTGCAGACTGGCACCAAGATAAAAAATAACTATATATAATATATATGTCGCAGAAATCAAGATATGGCGCCATAATTTGATTACAGCACCATCTATTATAAGTTCTCGGAAACGTCAACAACTTTTAATTTGCGCCTACAACATGTCCGACGAGGGATCTGACTACGAATTATCCTGTGTGGCCTCTCCATCTCCAACATGTAAGAATGAAACATAACATGTAAGATATTATCTGATATAATCAAAATAATTTGCCTCATTCCGTCTTTCTTTTCGGACAGCATGTAACAAGTAATGAATCTTTAACTATTGTAGAGCTATAAAAAAATGCATAATTGACCTATGCATTTTGCAGCATTTATGATCATATCAAGATGGGATTTTTATTCAAATTCTAGCCAGTACCGAACCAGGCCCACATTGTTTGCAACACAATTTGGGAAAGAGAGCAAATCGACCTCAGCACCTTGTCATTTCTGCGCAGAGAATCGCGCCAGCTCTCGCCGCGTCCGTCCGGGTACGCGATCTTCTCATATCTGTAATTAAATTATTTCAATACAGATCCTTACTCTAAGGACAAATCGTTGAAAAAAAAAAAAAACGAAGCATATAAGGCACTGATGCAATTTGCGAACTACTTTATTCACATCAACAAAGAACTAAAACTGGCATATGCTTTACAAAATGAACTCTGAAACTTCGAGAATAGTGAGAGTCGCGGAGGAATACGATGCGACGCAGGGTCTCGAGAGGCTAAAGAGGTCTGCCCTAAGGATGAAGAGACTAGTTTTATGTAGGCTCGGTTTTATATAACGGTGGTAGGGCCACGCAGCAGCCTCGGCTGTTGCACGAATGGGCAGGCCCGTCCGGGTAAGTACCACGACCTCACAGAAGACCAGCGTAAAGTGGAAGTATGACAAATACTTTCGCGTTTCGTCTGGTGAGTGAGGTTGCCGGAGCCCAATTTTAAAAAGGTTGTTAACGCATCTGTAACCCTCGGGTGTGGCAGGTGTCCATGGGCGGTGGTATTCACTTAACATCAGGTGACCCGTCTGCTCGTTTGGCAACTTTTCGCATAAAAAAAAAAAAAAAAAAAAAAAAAAAAGGCTGAACTGGTTAAACCAATATAAATAAGTCTACATCAGGATCAGCCGGTTTGGATTCGGACTGAGAAATCTCTTATTTTCATGTCTTATCATTTTTATTATTTTCATTTCATTTCCTATTTTAAGTTTAATTATTCTCTATTAGTATAGACTTGGTCAAATTAATTTATCCTTAAGTGTACTTATTTATATTAGGTCGAACCAGTAAAGCCTAGGTTAAACTGGTGTGTACTATCGGCCACAAGACGGTTAACTTATTATTGATTACTCTCCTTTTTAGTCTGGTGATTGCAGAGGAACATTAAATTTAATAACACATTGTGTTACCGAGGCATTACTTTCTCAATTAGTATAATCTTTTATTTACATTTTTTTTGTCATTTTATTTTTTTGGTTCATTATACCATACTTTAAGTTTATTTTCATCGTCATGTAAAATATATTTTCTTTGTCTTTGGTGTTTTCGTTTCGTCACATATGCAATTGGCTATGACTTAAGTTTCATCTTTATATATGAACAAATAAATAAATAAGTCTCGCTCACCCGTCCCTGTCGCGGCGCGGCTCCTTAAGGCGCAGCTCACCGTAGACGACGTCGGGCACGACGCGCTGCAGCAGCTGCGCCTGCAGGTGCTGCTGCTGCAGCTGGTGCCGCTGCAGCTGCTCGCGCTCGCGGCCCAGCAGCGCGCGGCCGCTGCTGCGCTGTTGCCGCTCCTCCGCCTGGCGCTGCAGCATGAACTGCTCCAGCGTCACCAGCCCCACCAGGCTGTCCGGCTTGTGCGCCTTGCGCCGCGGCACCTGCCCCACGCGGCCGGTCAGTCCCGCCGCCACCGCCCCCCGCCCCGCCCCGCCCCGCCCCGCCCCGCCCCGCCCCTCACCTGTATCGCCGGCCTCGTCACGAAGTCGCTCTTCTCGAAGTCCACCAGGTTCGGGTTCGACGCGTGGATGTAGTTGATCGGCTTCGGCAGCTTGTTCGCCGCGGCGAGGCGCGCCTGCTCCGGCGGGGCGCGGGAAGGGCTCGCCTGCAGACTCAAGCGCCGTGTAGAGGACTAAACCGACTTAATACATACATACGTACATACGTACACACGTACATACCTTGCTCTGTTTCGATTCCTGCTCTTTGTTCCTGTTCCTGGAGAAAAACCTCAGGTACTTCCTGTCGAGGCTGGTGGACGCGTGGCCGACGTTCTCTTGGGATTCGCTCCGCTGCATTCGGTGCGTGAGCTTCTTCAAAGAGCCGAACTTGGACTTATCCTTCTCCTTGTCCTTCTCTTTCTCCCTCTCCCTCTCCCTCTCCCTCTCCCTCTCTCTCGGCTCGCTACGCTTCTCGAGGTTCTCGGAATCGGACTCTGTGTCCGAGTAGTCAGTTTCCGAAAACTGCTTATACAACTCCATCTACGCACAAAACAACATGAATATTGTCCTCAAACGAATCTACTTAAATCGTCGATGATTTCGAAACGCTGAAAAGATGTACGTTATAATATACAGAATAAGAATAAAGAAAATTTGAATAACAAAATGAACATTTAATCTCCTATACATTTTTATGTGAAAAGTTGGCAAGAGAGATGACGATTCACCTTATATTAAGTGATAATCGCTCCCATGGATATTTGCAACACTCGTAGGGTTGCAGATGCGTTTCTACTTTATAATAAAGTTGACCCATATATTATGTACGCTCCCATACATTAACATATTGTTAAAGTTAACGCAAATTTTTGTTATTAAGTAAAATATGCTTTTTTAATATATAAAGCTATATAAAGTCTAAAACTTGATTATAGCTGAGTTAATAATGCTACTAAAAATATTATTCAGGAAAACTCTTTCAAAGAGTAGTGGTCCTAAATATAAGCCTTGCGGCATTACAGAAGCAGGTTACGTACATATCGCGCAGAGTAATGCAGAGTAAGTATATAAACGCTCACGTTGGCGCTGGGCGGCGGCAGCAGCGAGGGCAGCAGCGTGGCGCGGTGGATGAGCTGCACCCAGGCCAGCATGGCGTCGCGCGAGTCGCACGCGAAGTAGAAGGCGGTGCCGGTGTGGTACACTTTGAAGGCGTGAGCGCGCGACTTCACCTCCGCCGCCGCGCTGGCCGTGAAGCCCTCCAGGTAGATCATGCAGTCGGCGCGCGCGCACTGAGGGCGCAGCGGGGGAGTGAGAGGGGGCGACGGGGCGAGCTAAGTGAGAGCGAGAGGGCACGCACGTCGGGCGAGCGGTACGCGTAGAGCAGGTTGTGCGCCAGCAGCAGGTGGCGGCGCGCCCAGCGCGGCTGCTGCGCGTGGCGCGCCCTGACGCGCTGCCACACTCCGCCCGCCGCGCCCGCGCCCCGCGCCACCACCGCGCGCGCGCCCACCTCGCGCCGCTCTGACACAAAATACTAACATTTTAATAATTATTTGTGCACGTATACATAAACATGGGTTCATGCGTTATGTGAAAACTGAGGTCCTAAGACCTTAGAACTGATTTTCGGTCGGATCCTCTTCGGTGTCGTTACAAACGGACAAAAAAGTGCAGGGTTATTCTCGCCCACTTCTCCACCGGGTGTTGGAGAAGCGGACATACACGGAGGGAGAAAGACGGCACACTCACTGGCCAGGATGGAATTCTTCTTCTTGAGGCTGCGCGTCTTGGCGGAGGGGAAGAGGCCGGCGCGGCCGGCGGTGGGCTGCGGCGTGGCAGTGGGCGTGGGCGTGGGCGTGGACGTGGGCGTGGGCGGCGACTGCGGCGCCTCCGCCTCGCCGTTGATGGGCGGCAGCGCGCGCCGCTCGTTCGACACCAGCCGGATCTCGTGCTTCGCGATGGGCCGCACCAGCGACCCCTGCTTCTTGCGAATCACAAAGCGATATTGGCCATGTCCGATGGCCTCCTCGCTCCTGACCGAACGGTGGTCGGACGAGGCATCGGCATAAACTCATATCTATCGGGATAACTCATTAACAAAAAGTCCAACAGATAAGTTACATCATCTAACTGCTAACATGTCTAATATATATATGACTAACATGTCTATATCTATCAACTGGTGTAAAATTATTTACCATAGAAAGTCTTCAACGGATCCACCTCTCTCTGTTCTCATTTTTGAGACTTATTTGCATGAGCCTTGCAAATCTTCAATAATCTTATTTTAGTACACTGGCATAAACCATCATACACAAAAATACATCATAATACAATCAATTCTTATTTTAAAACACTGAAGAAGGTTATATATGTGATGCTTTTAACAAATTGTCAATGCAGCATATTATAAACAATGGATTAGCTAATGAACCTGATCATGAACCACAGACATGTTTATTTACTTTGTAAAAGTCTTCTACTGAACCATAGACGCCACCTTATTATGAGAGAGAATTCATATGAGCTGTGACAAGCAATACAGATTGAAATTGAAATAGAAATGCCCTAAGGCGTGCAATGGTTATGTTTATGATGTAATAATTATTTTGATTTCATTGTATATTTTTATATTGTCATCAGTATTAAAGGCACCATTACTATTCTAATTAAATTCATTGCTACAAATGAATACAATTTTTTTTAAATGATTTTTTTTTTTGGTCATAATAATAATGATGTGAAACATTTCTATTAATACAAGATGTTCTATGGTTGTTTTAGGTAAATTCATCACAACATTTATCAGATGTCCCTAATAACTCAATAGAGCTGCAATGCATACTATCCAGCAATATATTCATCGGCAAACAGAGCCACAGCCAGAGCCAGAACCAGGGCCAAGCCTAAGCCAGAGCCACACACATTATGTACAATTGTGCACATTAAGTCCCCACAAAAATGGTTTATACATAAATAAATAAACAAATTTTTTAATTTCAACTACAATTATATTATGAGTTGATTTTATTTTAGGTATTGAGGAATACCTTTGAGTCAATTGCCCAAGCCACTAAGCTGAACTGAAGTCATGACCTAAATTGTAAAGGACGATCGACCAGATCACGGCATGAAAAAGTGTTGATAATATCAGTTATGTACAATTAGTGATTTTGTTTTAAATCTAGTTAAGTTACGATTAAGCATAACTATTCAGCGAGGAAATGCAGCTAGCGTTCTTGGCACCATGCCGCGTGGATTAGGTTTATTAGATAATATGTAATTTTAGATAGATTTAATCTTGTAAATATTAGATCAATAAAGATTGTCTTTTCAAAGATTAAAAAAAAAAAAAAAAAAAAAAAAAAAAAAAGAATTGAACATTTACACTCAAATAAAAATCTAGTTAAAAAGTTACTATGACCATATGTAAATGTGTATAAATATAATTTAAAAACATCATTTTATTTAAGTTTGCTACATAAACAAAAATGGTAAATGGCTTCTACATTTTTTACCATACTGCCGCCCGGTTTCTGAAACACTGATCAACGTAGATGTCAACTAACCAGCTGTCAAATGGCTTTCAATTTTCATTTCAATTGCCAAAAGGATGGTTAAACTCTTATGATTGATCGTTCTGATCATTAGGAGATCATTCTGGTCAATTTAGAGAGTATAACCGTCCTTTTGGCAACTAAAATGAAATTTGAAAAGACGTTTGACGGCTGATTTTTTTTTCTTCTTTTTTTAACACTGCCCTTACTTTAGGATAATATTATCCTGTGTTGTAAAGGACGTTTTACAAACATAAATTTCACGCGGACAAACACCTAGATGCGAAACAACTATCTGTGGGTCACACAAATAGTTGTCCCTGGGAATCGAACCCACGACCCCCGACGCCGAAGCCAATACCTTGGCAACTGCGCCACGGAGTCATCAAAATGATTAGTTGACATCTACGATGATCAGTGTTTCAGAAACCGGGCGTAAGAAATAAATAGTAATTGAAACAACCTATTTATGGACCTCCAACAAGATTTTTTGTATTATTAAAATACCTCTGCTAATTAGATATTATTTTTAAAAGGGATGATATTTGCGATGTAATAACATCATATCACTATCATTTATTTCTCTTGACACCGAAAGTAAATCTATCAGCCAGGGCCAGCTTCCATTGGACCATTGGACCGATGGTCCATTGTTGTTGTTAATAAAAATGTTACTTGTAAAAAATATGGCGACATCTCTTGAGGACAATACAATTTAGCTCTAGGAATCTATAGAATATCTATGTTTCATTTTGGGTTCATATATTCTACGGATGGATAGCGTTATGTTAAATTTGTTGTTTTGCCTTCCATTTTTTGCTTAGATTATTATTTAGGTACTTGTCATTTTATTGTCTCAAAATATAAGAATATAATTTTAATTTTGTTGGTTTCCTATTAAGTAAGTTTTTATTCCGGCAAGCTGATGATATACTTCTTCTGGTATTGTTTTTTTGATCTGTACTCAATGTCAGCAACTTTTTTTTTTTTGGATTTCATGGCCCGGTATCAAGGACCTTTAGGCCAAAATGTCAGCTACTACTCTTGTAAATTACATGTTTATGTGTTTAATATAGATACCTAAGGAAGTGTAGTTAATAATAATAGCATGTATAATAATCATACATAACACAATTGTTTAAGTGCTGTGGAGCTTTATTTAATTTTAGTAACTTTTAATATAGTTTAACTGACAGCCATATATGAATGATGTTACATCTATTGTATTAATTAATAAATTCGAAGACTGTACAGCTAGTAGTTTTGTTTCTATTAAGCAAATCCCATAGAATTAGCATCATTTTGTCTTGCTCGGGACGGGCTGGCTCCTGTTCAATATAAATTCTGTCCGTCCCTGTGATTGGGTCCAATTTTTGTTTTTTATTTTTTCTTTATTTATAAGTTGTTGCCAGATTTAAGGGGCGTATACAGGACAACGTTTTTCGGATCCGCTAGTATAGCGGATTATGCGTAAGGATGTTCTTAAATTGTTTGTTTTGAAAAATTTAATAACTCTGTAAATATAGATGTTTAAAGAATGTAAATTTTTAATATAATTTTAAAAAGTTATCATCTATATGTGTGTTCATTTATTTTCGCGGTTGTAACGACACGCTGTATATAGTATAAAAGTCGCGTAGTACATATAAGTATAAAAGCAGCGAGTGACGCACCTGCGAGTCCCGTGGGGCGCGGAGGGGTGCGGACGGGGCGGACGGGGCGGAGGGGGCGCAGGGGGCGCAGGGGGCGCAGGGGGCGCAGGGGGCGCAGGGGGCGCAGGGGGCGGAGGGCGCGGAGGGGGCGTTCGACTCCGGCGAAGACACGGGCCCTCCTGGTGGGACGAAACACGCGCAATCCGATAAAATTTTCGAATACTTAGGCTAAAATTTAGAGCTGATTGTCGTGCAGTGTAAATCTATTACGCAATCTGAGCCGTTCCTCAGCAAGGCGGAGATTTCCACTAAAGCAATCACTTAAGACTAATTTGCATGGGTAAATATGGAGAAACTTTTTTTTTGTCAGAAAAACTTTATGTCACAAACTTTAATTGTGTCAGAACAAAATGCAAAAGCTACGCGGCAAGTTCTCACGGCTATTTAGGGAAGTACCACCACACTTGTTTAAAGCAGATATATTAAGTTTTTGAAATTTGGTAAGTGAGGTAACCAAGGGTGTCTTTAGAGTTCGTAGATAGTTTGCCGACACGTTCGTACCCGTCATGCGCGGCTCCCGCGGCGGCGGCGAGGGCGCGCGCCCCGCCCGCCCCTCGTCGGGGGCGGGCGGCGGCGACTCGGGGATGGGCGGGGCGGGGGCGGCGGCGGGGGCAGGGGCGGGCGGGGGCTCGGGCCCATAGGCGGGCGTGGAGAGGCTCTTGTCGAGGCGGCCGCGCGCCGTGCGCCCCCGCGCCGACAGCTGCAGCCCCGTGCTGCACGACACCGCCTGTCACAGACGCCTCTCGCTCGCTCTCTCGCTCTCTTGCCCTCTCGCTCTCTCCGAGGGAATCACGCTCCAAAGTAATGCAAATTGTACTCGCAGGCAAGTGCCGCTTGCAGGAGTGGCTATTGCAGGAGTGGCGCTTGCAGGAGTGGTTTTTACCCTTGTTGGGTACTTTCTACACTAATCGAAAACTGGATGAGAAAGAACAATGCCCATTTTTGACCTGATTGTGTATAGAAGTGAAATAAATATTAAAATTTAGCTAATTTCATTTTATAGTAATTACACTAATCACAATGTTAAAAGAAGGTCGGGAAAAAAAAATATTTTTTGATATTTCTTTACGCTTATTTTACTTCAAGGGTAAACATATTACCATGTTTTGAACGCACCTTAACACTCCTTTGCATAGGACGTTCCATTTTTCACACTACCTACTTGACTGTATTCAACTTTTTCTGAGTTTTGTACGTGATATTACGCTTTAGAGAAGTGAGTAAGCACCTATTTAACAGTGTTTGTATAAAAATTAAGATCAATCTTATTAGTAGTACAGATTTATTAAAAATAAAATAATAAATTATTAATGCAGCATGTAATAAAGTTCGCACGGCTGACATAAATGGATTTTTTTGACATTTGACAGTTCTGCGAGTGACTCATACTCATCGGTATTCGCCAGTGATTGTGAGTATTTATGTTTATTATTTTTAATCTAAAAATGTCAATCATGTCCTAATCAAACTAATAAAAGCTCCTATAAATTATACCTGTGACATAACACAAACAACTGTGCAAAAGATCTATATATCCAAAATATGTATTATAAACTCAAAATATATTTTTTTATTTCAGATTACTGAGGAAGATTACATTTGTAAATTTTGTAATGAACTCTTTATGAGAAGAATAAACCAGGAATTAACATGCTGTAATGTTGTTCAAGCTTCAGGATTATCTCAACCAGGTCGAAGAACACAGTTTTTGATAATCCTTCAGAAAAGCAAAGACATAAATTCTATTATACAAACAAGTTAACAACATCACATACTCATGTTTCTACATTGTTAATCATTTGCCAGTATAAAACTTGATATTATTACTCTAGATTATTTCTCTTTTGTATTTTAGATGTAAATTATTATATCTGTTATTAATTGACTGATGCTGTAATAATTTTAACCACAAATAAATACATAATTGAGTTTTTAAAAAATATATTATTAAGATGAATAATAATTATTGCTTTATTACTTGTTTTGTAGATAGTTTTCTTTTGTAGATATCATCATCTGATAGAATATGCCATTCATGCAGGATGAGTTGTAAGAGTGCTGCCACACATATCAGGAATGTTGCTGAAGTTTGTGGTGTTTCTACTACTGAAGATAATTTATTTTTTATGTTTCTTAGAGATTAAGTTATTAGTGAACTTATACTATTTGCATTAGGTACCAAATAAGGCAAGCCAAATCCTGTTATGGCGAACATATTCGCTTTCATGTATCACATAGAATAGAAATATGTAGGGACACCGGAGTTTTCTAGGAATAATCTGAGAGAAAGTGGTGACATAACACTAATAAGAGGAAAAATTAAGTCCTGGCACATTTAAAGAAAACAATATTATGTCTACATTTTAATAGAAAATAATTTGTCTGGCAGAGCTAGTATAGTCGAATACTGTTGTAATTGTTTAGTTGGTTGGCGAACCATAGGATGTTGCACTCATGTTATGACTAGTGTTGTGCTTCGGATGAACTATCAAGAAAATATCTCTGTTATAGCAGAATTTCTGGATAACATAGTTATGACATTTAAGTGAAGATGATGATAATTAATAAAGCATTCCACTGTAACATAGTGTTTTATTTTTTCCCCCGTTTTATTAATCAAGTATTATAATTATCGATTATTATGTATTGCAGTGCAGGCCAATGAAATGTGTGGGGCAGATAAATGATCACTTTTATCTTACGTTTTTTTAGTATAGGTACTTATGTGGGCTGTTGAAACAGCGGATAATGCTCTTCACTCAATTTATAGTGACAATAATCAAGTCTAAGCAGTGACGTAAGGGCAGTCGGTTTCTAGGAATTCACAAGTAAAAAAGACGTTTTTGACCTTAGACAGGCTAATATTATTATTTTAGAATAAACTTGAGCGTAAATAGCTTTTTAAAATAGCTTGATACTTCCAGCACATTTATTTCGTTATATTAGGTAACTGCAAATCCTAACCTAAAAAGTAACATTTTTTAATAATTTTTGGACTTCGTAGACCAGCAATCGTAAAACTGACTATATGATATTAATTTACTAACTTAAAGGTCTTTCTGCTATACCTTGTAACTATACATACACTTTCATTATCAGGTTTTTAAATGTATGGGAAGTGGGCATTGTTCTTTTGGTATTTAAGAGATGCAAAGTGATGAGGAGACATGTCAATATTATTAAATAAATTTTCGTGGAATTAATGGAATGTCATATCTACACTCCTCACACACATCATACCGTTGCTTAATAATTTGTACAGTTTCATTACCACTTTAAAGTACTACATCTAACTTCAAAATTTTATATTTTCAATCTTTTTTTAATCCAAAATTTGAAAGAAATAAAAAAAAAATTCTATAGTCATTTCACTCTTCTGAAATATGTAATGAAGATTTTCTTTGAGAGTGATTGTTGTCAAACTTAAAATAATCAGTTTGTGCAGATAGATTGTAATAATTTAGATGTGCGCCTAAATACCTTGTCCCTGCGGTAGAGGGCGCCGTCCTCCGGCTGCGGCTCCCGCCCCCGCACCCAGCGCTGCTGCTGCAGCTCCTGCCAGAACTGCGAACGCACGGTGGGGACGGATCGATCGAGTGTTTAAGGCCCATTTCGATTCCTTTTCGTTCCACTGAGAGAGATCAGTAGCCCACCGTTGCGAAGGGGACTTAGATACGCCGGACCCACCGCCGGGGGTCCCGCCGGACAACACTACACCCACAGTTAGTGCAACAACAAACACGCTAGTTCGCCCTCACCTCCGAGCACGGCGAGACCAACACAACGCGTACACAAGGTACACCCGCGTTCCGGGGCGGTTCTCACCGCCCCCAGCCACCGATTAGCTAAAAACACAGTCGACGGCCATCGGGGTCTCGGTCCGCACCGCAACTTCGATGGCCCTTAGATGACACACCATAGTAGTTAAACGCACGCATGAGCACATGCGTGGCCCTACCCACAGCGGGGGGCCCAAACCCGTGGGTTCTAGCTAGCCCACCGGTTCTGCGTCCGATGAAGCTTTAATAGTCTCGGGACTGAAAGCAAAAACATCAGTTAATACAAGATACAAGATACCGTTGCGAAGTGTAAGTATGTCACTTTCGCGTTCCGCGTGGCGAGTGAGGTGGGAGTGAGGCGGGAGTGAGGCGGGAGTGAGGTGGGAGTGAGGTGGGAGTGAGGCGGGAGTGAGGCGGGCGGGTGTGGCGCGGCGCGCACCTGCAGCAGCGGCGAGCGGCGCGCGGCGGGCGGGCTGGCGCCGCTGACGCTGTGGCGCCGCCGCCGCACCGGGCACGTCCTGCGCGGGCAACATTCGATTCATACTGTAAGGTATGCACATAACAACTGCAACTTCGAATGCCACGCATTAACTCTCGCTCTGCCTCTGTCTGTTCCCCGGGAGCGTTCAACGTTCAACACAACAATGCTTTCATTCCCCCTCCATGGTAGCGTTAAACGTTTAACGCAATCTTGTTGGAAGTTGCATTTGAAGTTTCAGTTCAAAAAGTATGTTTGTTGCTATTCTATAAACAGAAGTCTAAAATTTTTTTTATGCACTTCTCAACAACATTCACAATGAAAAAGCTTGGTAAATAAAAATTATCTTTCCTTCTACTTGATTATAACAAAAATATATTTAATATTATAAATCATGAACCAAATCGATCTCCAAATATTTAACATCTATTGAGCTTTGAATTACCAGGTAAGGTTAACAATACAACCAATATAAATTAAATTGGTTTCTAATATTATCATAATAACAAAAAAAAGAAAACCATAACTAACTTTTTAAAAGCTATGATCTACTACTGTACCATGTTCAATAATTAACAATTTTATCATCAATACCAATTGAAAGTATGTGAGACAACTTGAATAGAGTAATCTGAAACATTTAGTTTTAGTCATTTAAAAGTAAATTATGAGTCACAAACCAGCCCGGCAGAACATCTAGTATTTTGTGCCGGGAGGTTATTTGGTTGATCCAACGTTTCATTTTTCTTATTAACTTTAAACAAGTGTCCATTTAACTCTACAAACTTTTTTGTCATTCACAAGTTTGTCAAGACACGAATCATTTATATAAACTAAAATATAGAAATGGACCCAAGATAAATCCCTGAGGAACACCCATTTATACTATTGATCAGGATGACAATATGCCTTTTACTATTACTTTTTGTTCCATATCGGTAAGAACTGTCATATTGCAATTTCATTGGTGGATATTAATCTCGGGTTGTTCATTAAAAGTGGTCGCCGGACCCCTGACCTACGGTTGATTAGTGACGGAAGTGCTGAATTACCATGTGGTCACTTTGAAATAGAAAAAGATGTGTGCCAAGCCGAAGTACCTGGCGCTGTCGAGGTGCAGCTGCGTGGGCGAGGCGGGCGGCGAGAGCGGCTCGCTGTCCTCGGAGGAGGAGGCGTGCGGCTCGTCGGCGGCGAGGGGCGGGGGCGGCGCCGGGGCCGGGGCGGGGGCGGGCGGCGGCGAGGGGCGGCGGTGGGGGCGGGGGCGGGGGCGGGGCGGCGCGGGGGCGCGCGGGCGGCGCGGCGCCAGCAGGGGCGGGGCGCGCGCGGGCCCGCCGCCGCCGCCGCGCCGCCGCAGCCGCAGCGCCAGCTCGCCGCCGCCCGCCTCGGCCGCCGTGCGCGCGCACAGCCGCTCCACCGCCTCGCCGCCCCACCCGATCACGCAGCGCCCGCCCACCTAAGCGCCACCCGCACACGTTAGTTACGGCATGCTTCACGGCGTCATGGCCCCATTCATATATTCATACAAAAACATCACCAACTTTCCCTGTGCCCAAACATACTCTACAAACAAATACTTCTACAACTATAGACATTTTGACAAAATATTCCCTTACTTCATTACTGTTATTTTTCTTTAAACTTACAAATAACTATTAATAACTACTAATAAATATTTAAAAATATTGACTCCATTAATTTAAATTTCCAATTCCCACACAAAACAACTAATTGCTCGGTTCTTTCTGTGGTTAACGCCACAGCAGAAGCCGAGTGAATACCTATTTAACATTGCACTGCCTGTCAAAATGTATAGCGAAATCGCAATTAGTATAGAGAATGTTTCTTTAAACTGTTGACTTCGACAAAAGAAAATCTCTGTCAAACTATTTCAACAAATAAAGTCAAACAGAGATTTTCTTGCAATAAATTAGGTAAAAATCAAACAACGGAGAAGCATCGTCCAGCAAAACGTTACTGGTAGAATTATTTTTAGAAAAAAATAAATATGATATTGTTTGTCTGACTGAACACTGGCTTGCAGACTACGAAATGTTAATTAACTATGAAAATTATTTTATAGCCAGTTCCTTCAACCGCAAGCCAAATCATCACTTAAATATAGGCGGTGGATCTTTAATATTATTGCGTAAAAATATTAAGTTTAAAGCTCCTAAAAAAAATATCCTTGATATAGTAGGACTTTCGGTTGAACGAAGTGTTGAGGTATCTTGTATCGAGCTGGAAAATCAAGTTGTAGTGTGCGTATACAGGCCACCATATTATCACAATTTTCCTACTTTCGAGAATGTTATGGGAGATGTCCTAAAAATAGCTTGCAGCACAAAGAAACAAGTCATTGTAAGCGGTGATTTCAATGTAGATATTTTAAAAATAGAAAACCTTACAAATAGATTATTACACTTATTTCAGTCATTTAATTTGAGTCACGTGTTTCACGGACCGACTAGAGTGACGTCATCTTCGTCCACTTGTGTCGACAATTTCTTTTGTAGTTGTATTTACTCAAGTAAATCAATAATCAATGCGTTACCATCTGATCACAGTGGACAAGAAGTTATTTTTCCTGCCACTCAATCAAACTTAAAACTGGAAATACAAACTAGGCCAATCACATCTGGTCGATTGGAGAAATTTAACAATGTTTTGGTTGATAAATTGCCTTCCATTCAATTTAATTTAAGTAATCCAAATATTTTTTATGCAAATTTTTTTTCTATTATATCTGCAGAATATAACAAAATTTTTCAAATTAAAAATAAAAGCATTGGTATGTCATTTAAGTTTAGTGACTGGGCGACACCAGGTATAAGGAAAAGCAGAGAGAAACTTTTTGAAATTTACGAATTAAGGAATTATAAAATTAGCGATAAATTTAATGACTACGTCAAATGTTATTCGAAAACTTTAAAAAAAATTTGCATTACTGCTAAAGCCCTTTACATTAGTAATAAAATTAAGATGGCCGACAATAAAATAAAAGCAGTTTGGAATATTATAAATAATGAAACTGGCAAAACAAAACAGCGCGATAGTGATTACAAACTAAATTTAGACAAGGGGCCTGTAAGTTCTAATTTAGAGGTAGCTCAAGAATTTGAAAACTTTTTTGTTAATAGTCCTATTAAAACCACTGCATCGCTGAATTCCTCACCAATTCTTTCTGCGACAACACTCAAAAATCATGTTAAACCCTGTAACGCTGATTTTAAATTTGAACATGTAAATGAAAAAAACAGTAATTAAAGCTCGTAGGGAAATTAAAGTAAAGGTTACAGAGGATTTATTTGGAATGTCAGTCAAAGTTTGTAGTTCGATAATTGACACTCTGGCGCCATATCTTGCCCTCATTTTTAATACATGTATAGATGAAGGAATTTTCCCTGACTTGATGAAATACAGTAAAGTAATACCATTATTTAAGACAGGTGATAGAGGCGATCCTAGTAATTTTAGACCTGTATCTATTTTACCCGTATTAAGTAGTTTTTGAGAAAATTATATTGAATCAACTTCTATCACATTTCAATAAAAATTTTCTTTTACATAATAAGCAGTTCGGCTTCACCAAAGGGCGCTCTACTACTGACGCCAGTGTTGCGCTTGTAAAGCATATTTTTAGTGCATGGGAAGATTCTTATGACGCTATAGGGGTTTTTTGTGATCTTTCAAAGGCGTTCGATTGTGTACAACACTAAACCTTATTACTTAAACTATATCATTACGGTGTCAAAAATAGTGCACTTAAACTTATCAAATCATATTTAGAACAGAGAATTCAGAAGAAACACGTAAATGGCTCATATTCACAGGGATCCCTGCTTAAAATGGGAGTACCACAAGGATCTATTTTGGGGCCTTTTCTATTTTTAGTTTATATAAATGACTTACCACATGTGGTGCAGGATCTGACAAACATAGTATTATTTGCAGACGATACTTCTCTTATTTTTAAAATTTGTAGAAAAACTAGTAACTACGATGACATAAATAACACTCTTCAACTAATTCACAATTGGTTCACTGTAAACAACCTAGTACTGAATGCTAAAGAGACTAAATGTATTAAATTTACTTTGCCAAACGTGAAAAGTAATGATGGTTTAGGAATTGTATTGAATAATGAACGGCTTGATTTGGTTGACAGTACAGTATTCTTAGGGATAACTATTGATGCAAAACTCCAATGGGGTCCCCATATATTCTTCTCTGTCTGGAAGGCTTAGCTCGGCTGCATATGCAGTTAGAAAGATTCGACAGTTAACTGACGAAGCAACGGCCAGATTAGTTTATTTTAGCTACTTTCATAGCGTTATGTCTTATGGTATCCTGCTATGGGGCCGAGCGGCTGATATTGAATCCATCTTCATTTTGCAGAAGAGAGCTGTTAGAGCAATTTATCAACTTCGCTGTAGGGACTCGCTTAAAAAAATATTTAAGAGGATACAGATTTTCACAGTTCCATGTCAATATATTTTTGCAAATATTATGTATGTTAGGAAGAATATCCATGACTTTAGTAAATATTCTGATATTCATGACCGTAATACAAGAAACAAGAATAATTTAGTTCTTTCTCGCTGTAGACTAGCTAAGGTTAGGACTTCATTCGTGGGGCTCTGTGTGTGCTACTACAACAAAATTCCTGATGATATTTTAAATCTACCGGACAAAAAGTTCAAATTTATTGTAAAGCAGACACTGTTTAAAAAAGCTTATTATAAGTTAGATGATTATTTAAATGACAAAGAGGCTTGGTGTTCCGATACTCCAGCACGGCATGAGAGACACATATTATAAGACATATTGTAAGACGTCGAAAAACGGTTTGAAAAAATCTTACTTCGAATAAATGATTTTGATTGATTTGATTTGACAGTAAGGATAGCCTAATATTTATAATTTCAATGTGCATTCTTTTTTCCTGAATGTCTTATTTTTTATTTTCGATGTAAAATAAATTTCTTTAACAAAAAAGAACATTAAAACCAATCTTGAATGTTCCAAAAAGGAAATAAAGTTGACAGCCTGATTAGCATAGTGGAATACACCGTTCCATATAGCCACGGTAGGAGGTCGTCGGAGGCAGGTGCAGTAAGCGGCAGTAAGCGGCAGTAAGGGCTACCTGCACGATCTCGTCGCCGTCGTGCACCGCGCCCGAGGCGTGGGCCGGCGAGCCGAAGCGCACGTGCGCCAGCTGGTGGTGGCCGCAGAGGGAGGGCAGCACCTCGAAGCCCAGCGGCCGCGCGCCCTGGCGCAGCGTCACCGCCTCCACGCACGCCGGCTGCAGGATGGTGGGGTCCGACACGTCCTGCGGCGACGCACCACCTCGTAATGCTAGGCCGCTCGCGGGCCGAAGCCGGTCCACCGAGCGCCGGGGCACCTGTATGATGTAGTCGGCCAGCTGCGCGGCGGCGGCGGCGGCGGCTGCCACGGCCCGCGCCGGCTGCTCGGCGAAGCGGTCGCGCTGCGCGCACGTGGCCGCCTCCAGCGCCAGCTTGAGCAGCGCCGCCCTGCGCTCGGCCAGCGGCGCGCCGGGGCCCGCCCACCTGCCGGGCAGCGGAGGTCACGCGGGTCGCAGGGGCGCAGGGGCGCAGGGGCGCAGGGGCCGAGGGGCGGAGGGGCAAGGCACCTGTCCAGCCAGCACACGAGCGGCTTGACGGCGTGCACGGCACGCGCCACGTCGGCCAGCGAGTGCGTCTCGAGGCGTGCGTCGCTGTGGTGGCGCAGCGCGCGCGCCACGCACGTGGCGGCGCTCGACACGCGCAGCGCCAGCTGCTGCACGCACTCGCGCGACACCTCGTACACCTGCAACCGCCAATCGTACGCTCGTACCGACACCTCGCCGCTTGCCACCGATGTTGCATTTTAAGATTGTGTGGAATGTCAAGGAAATCATATCAGCCCATCATCCATGAATGGCATCATTTGCTTAATATCACAAATAAGTATTAAACTTTATTATCGTAAACTAAAATAAGTCCAGTTCAAACATGTATTTATCTCAAATAGACTGGTTATGTTTTTTACATACATCTTTTTATACCCATTAGCAACCATGAAGCAAATCAACTTTCACAGTAGTGAAATACTGTGTATCATAAATGTTTAAGTACCATAATCTATAAATTGAAGGTTTTCTTACTATTAATAACAAAAAAAAACAAATATGACATTAAATCAGTCACTATACAACTTTCATTTCATTTTGAACAGTTCATTGTCATATCTCCGGAATTCAAGGCCCAAAGCCAATGAAATTAATATAGGAACACATAGCTGTGAAACTGAATGCAATGCAAAAAAACTTTTTAAAACTGCTTCATATTTAACAAAGTTGTGAAGTAACAAATATAAAAAATATATACAACTAAAGTCCTCCTTTTTTCTATTCGGTTGATATATTTGAGAAAAGAAATAACTGACATTCGAAACAATAAATTCAGAAGAAAATTCTCAACAGCTTGCATATTTTAGAGTTTAAATTAGTCATAAGTAATGTTAGAACAAAGTAGAAGCCATTAAAATCCGAAAACTTCGTTATATCAAAATTAAAGTCGATCTTAAAATTCATTTGTGAAATTTTTAAACAAAATTGCTAGGTTTTACTTAATTAAATCGAACATAAGTGTGAAAGTGTGTTTACTGGACTAAATCACGAGTTACGTACAAAGTTTCGTAAATGTTCCACTGCTTCGAGAAGCAGTTCCTGGTGACCAATTATGTGAATACCGAGGTACTCAAGATCATCACAACGAAGCGTAAGTAATTTCGAGCCATTGAGGCCGCGTTGCCTCAGTGCTGGCGCGTAGCTCGCCACCGTCGGCCCCAAACCTGCAAAGATAGATTGTGAGTCACCACGGAAAAACAACTGAATCAAAACAGTATTTCATTTACAAACCAGACAGCCACTCTGCCACCTGGTCTGGAGACCACTCCGCAATATTTAGGCTTCCCATTTTGACTATCGTGAATATTTACTTTTATTTCTATCACAGCGCATTTTAATAATAAAACAAGTTGTATAACAAAATATAATCAACCGAGCCGACGAATCTGCACCGATGTTTATTGTCACTACTGTCACGTAAATGCTATAGAGTATAAATAATATCGCAAAACTAGAAAACAGATTAAAGAAAAATCAAGACAATGTTATTTTTAATGTAAAATGTAAACAGCACAATACAAGTCAGAAAAGGTTATGTTACTGTATAGTTTTAAAAATATTTGTAAGTGAAAAACGAATTTGGAAAGAAAACTAATTTAAATGGGCCAAAATTTAAATGGTAAAAAATTAATAGGGATATCTTATCTAGACTAAACTTTGAATTGTAATTTGTGCAAATTTCAACAATATAAAATAAATATTATTGAGAGAATGGCGAGTAAGTTTTTGGCGCGTGTGGCGTGGTAATTTAAACGTCTTTTTTTAATTTTTTTATATTAAATTAAAAACCGAACAGACGGCGCACGAGGTTCTTTTAAGCGGTGATGTTTAGTGATTACGAACGCCCTTGGACGTCTACAGCGCATTGTCAACTTTTAAAAAAAGCGAACCCCGGTACCTCACTTACCAGGCGAAATGTGGAAGAAATAGTACTTCCACTGCACGTCAGTCTTTTGCGAAGCCATGATGCTTCCCTGCCCATTCGTGCGACAGGAGCTGCTGCATGGTAATATTACAGTTAAACCGAACCTTTTGTTATATTTAAGCTATTTATCTCTTAATTTATACTGGACTACAATTTCTTTTTGAAAATTTTTAATAAAATGAACCAATAGGTATGGTTTTAAAAAAAGTTTTCTCTATCATTTTTCATAAGCTTTAAAAAATTCGTCTAAATACAAAAGTCTGAATGTATAATAAATTTATATTTCTTGCTTAACCATTTTCTTAATCAAATAAAATATAAAAAGACAAGGATACTTTTCTAGTATTAAAAATATTATACAACAAATAATCACTTCAGCAGTTATGGAGACCGACAGAAGTGATAACTTGAAACAAGAATAACTGTGTTTATTAGTCTCAATTCTTGTATGAACAATAATTTTGAGTAACTATTTTTATATACGTTTGCCTACAGAAGTTTTCACTTCAGAATTGTTTTTGGACCAAACATTTAACATAAAACATTATAATATAACAACGTACTCTATCGGAAGTGGACGACTGCAATAAATATATTTCCATCTTTTAGCCAACAGATAGCGCTAGCGGTTAATGAAATTGGCCCATTATTGGCCCATGCCCATTACGTTGCTTTTTAAGGTACTGGCACGTTAAAGCAGTGATAGTTTCATTTCACCAACTATTTAAATATTTCTCCTTCCAACAATTTTAACATAATCTATTATTTTATTTCTCACAATTATAAACGATAAACAATAATTTTAAGTAACAAATTTTTATATAAGTTTGGCTACAGAAGTTTTCACTTCAAAATTGTTTTTGACAAGGTAAAAGATTTCTCTTCAGATACTCTGTTGGTGTTTTAATTTAGTTCGTCTAATTTAGTTGTCACTAATATTTAGCGTAAATTAAAATGTAATTTACGGATGTCAGTAATAACAGACATTCATACAAAATATACAAATGTTCTCTATCGGCGACTGCAATAAATATATTTCCATTTTTTTGTAATAGATGGCGTTAGTGATTAATGAAATTTGACCATTTCTTTGCGTTTTTTTTTTATTATTAGCACGACAAAATAATAATATTATACTCCAAATTTTTAAATTTTTAAATACATTTAATACTGTGTTATGGAATTCATACTTAATTTAATAATAAATAATTTCATAGCAAAGTAGAAGTTTATCAAACAGACGGACAGAGAGACAAATAATTACATTACATATGAATAAGATCTTAAGGCCAGAAGAAACTACTTTGTTGTTAAATATGTCTGTATTGAATCGTTTTACAAATCTCTCAGCCTTGCTTAGTTAAATTCACATTGCTACCGTGTTTGCTGCAACTTTGCAATTAGCCTCTAACTGTCGTTTGCATCAATGTCAGCAAGACTCCGCTCTGGCTAAAAACGGCCAGGAAAATGCATTTGAAGCGGGTAGCATTTGAACTCGTCCAATAAAATTAGTAAGCAATAAGCGTTTATTGGCCTAGTCGCCCACTTCCAGCAGCGTACTTTCATGTTTATTCATGGCTTTACCTAAAGAATTCCTCGTCGTTAGCTATCCACCCCGTTATATTGTGGCCGCGGTGCATTACTAATATAGAGTTGGGCACGAGCCGTTCGTTTTTCGAATTCTGCCAGTTGGCGCGCATCGACCTATAAGTGCATAACGAAGACGACGTCCTAGCCCATACGGGAGCGGCGGCCCCTTCCGGCTGCTTTAAGTTGGTCATGAGAACTCTTTGTTTGAGGCGGAGCTTAGTAACAATTTAACAATTGGCGCCAGACTGAGAGATCTCAAAACTCAACTCCATATCAAAAATACGACGAAATAATATGGTGAGTACGCAGATAATTATGTATCGTTTTATTACAACGTTTGATGGTCATAAAATGGAAAAACAACGTCTAGGACCATGTTTTGTACGCAACGTTGTTGACTTACCAAAATACGCACATGAAATAGACAATGGTATCGAATTTATTCCGCGTAGGAATAGCGACAAAGTCGAGAGGGAACTTTACCTATTCAAGTTGTGGACGTCCTATAAAGCATCCGTGAAAGAACAATCAACTCAAAGTTATTTATAAATACAATATTTTCGGGACATAAATTCATGTCATTGTTGAACAAGGGTTGTAGATAGATTGTGTACATGTCAGTAAAATCTTTTAGCCATTATCTTTGTTCCGATTGTACAAAGAGGAAATGGAATATGAATTTCAGCATAATTGGATAACAAGTGAACTCCCCCGCTTTACGCCGAGCTAAGGGCCTGATTTACCTGCGGCCGTTTCCATTGTTTCGCAAGTCTATTGATAAGTCTTCCTCTGTTCTTACTTCATAATCTCCTGGTCTCTTGTTTTAATGCAGTATGCTCGCTCAAATCTACTGATTGTTAGTGTTGCCGTGAGACAATTAGTATTTAAATAGATGATAGAATATATCGAGCATAGGAATTCATTACGATTACTTTCATAATAGCATAATTTAAATACTTTTTACTTACAATAGTACTATAACGCTCAGGTATATAATCGTATCAATGTTATGTTCAAACAACCGCCTACTGTGAATTAAGATTCACATAACACGCAGAAATGCTACTGTGGCTCTCGGAAGGAATTCTAACTCTTTTAAATTACACTTTTTCTTATTTCTAATGTTTACATTTTTTTAAATAGTTTTATTCGTAATATAAGCTTAAAAAGGACAAACCTTTTTTTATGTATAATTATCTTAGCTATATCGATTATATGAAGGTTCAGCGAGTATTTTTTTTCTTTTACATGCCTAAAGAGTTTGAATAATTAAGGACTAATAGGCCCGAAGCGAGTGATAAAAAACTACAAGCATTTTCTAAAGGAATGTTTTGATATTATATCAAACCCCTCAAACATTACGTGTTTTTCTATAATTTATAAATATGTATATCGATTTATTAAATGTATTCTTTATTAGACAATGTACAATACGTAATAAATAATTGCAACTCTATGTAGGTATTTACAAAATGGTTACAGTTTTTTTGTTTTATAACTACTTACATTGACTAAAAATAGAGCTATTAGTCACTTGAAATGTACTCTGTGTTTTGTACTCTACCAGCTTACTTTTACTGTATGTGAAAAAATTTTGAGATGTTTTTGTTTCCATTTACCGTGTGATTTGACAAACGCTCAAAACACAGGGTTAACCGAAACAAGGGTGGGCGGTTGCAAGTACGAATTTTAAAAAGCAGTATCAGGCGGGTCTCACGCGGTTATGATTACGTATCAAACATACAAATCTATTGCGTTAATTCCACATTATACGAGTATGTCCCCCTCTATCACTTTGTAGTCCCTTGCTAGGATATGTTTTTTGAAAAACTGACCAATTTCATGTTAATGCGATCGCGCTTTATATATCGATTGTAGTGCTCAAGGCGGTAAAGTCACAAACTCTCCCGACGTCGTTCTTGGCAGTGCCGTAATTATTTTGGGTCATCAGGTCGCAAGTGACACCCATAGAACTTTAGGTTAGGGAAACATCATGAAACGTCAAATGTCATTTGTGAATTATTCTGTACACAGATTAGTAGCGAACGTTACTTTTATATTATTAGGTCGATTGGGATCTTGTAGATCTTGGGATCTTGGGATCTTCTCTAGGAGTAGCTGCTCTGAGCAACAAAATGACATTTTAGTATTACTTTCGTAATAAAAAGTTGGGTCGGGTAAAGAATCAAGCGAGTCAATTGGCGGTAGTAACTACTGACGACCGGCATGGTAGTCGAAAAATCTTTTATGTATAACATAAAAGTCAGTTAAATTTTTGCAGAGTTCTGATAGTGAACGTACCTTTGTTGTATATCAATAGGTGCTATTTTGCCACTGCTTGAAATGTTACTTATTAGCCTTTACAATCCGATAAAGCAGAGAGATGCATTTTTAAAATCGCTCGCAAAAGTACACTTTACCTACCGAGACTGATTCAGGAGTTTATTGAAATAAAGACATTCAACGTTCAATAGAAAAGATGGTTGGGTTAGGTTAGATTCCATTATCGATACAATTAAATCCAGTGGGCTGATCCATCAGTGTAACTTCCACGACCTCACAGAAAGCCGGCCTGAATACTTCTGCGTTTAGTCAGGTGAGTGAGATAGCCGGAGCCATTCTATTAAAAGGTGGCAACACATTTGCAATCAATTGTTGCAAAAGTTGCAATATCAAGACTTTTATGAGTATAAATATAAATGTTATATACCTATATAGTGGGATATTTTTAAGGAAGCCTGCAGCAGCCATAGGCGGACATTACGTACAACAAACACATTTGTAACGAACGCTTTCGAAACTTGAAGACTGGCAGCGGTGGATAACAGGTTAAGCGAGTAGATATGGTCAGCCCTCGATGAACAAACAATAATTAAATTGGAGAAGAAATCAGGCAGAAATTAAACTATGACGTCATAGTTTTTCAGCAACAACTGTCCGAACTGGCACCTCGCTTAATACCAGAATTAGAACGAGTGTTTGAACAGGTTACACCATGTAGAGTCAGGAAAAGGTTCACTCTACTTCTGCAAGATGCTTCCAGAAGTACGGAAAAAACATTTTTGTTAAATCTTTTGCTGGCGCAAGTAAGAAACGAAAAAACAAATTCCTGTAGCCGCAGCTTCCTCAGCTTTCGTCGCCACGCTGCTGAGCGGAATAATCAACGTAGGTATATCTCTGTCAGATATAATTATGTACCTACCTACATATGCTTACAAACTATTTTGCTATTGATATTAAAATGTAGTTCACCAATTATCTAGTCAAAACATCAATATTTATTATAAGTACCTTCGCGCCTTTTTATGGCGAATTTGGCAGACGGGCACTGCCACCGCCGCCCGACAACACTGGCAACACCAAGTGACTATTAGTCACTACACTGGAATGGTAAATAAAATAAATAAATGGAGCGAGAATCTCGCAAGGTACTTCTTACTCGTGGACGAAGCGCTCATGTGATCGGACCGGACTGACTTGTATCATTAATCACATTCTGTTCTTTTAGCGCTTTCGCGTTTTTCTTGTGGGTATTAAAGTTATAATGTTTCATCAAGGGGTCTCCTAAAATTCTTTATGGGGTAATTGTGTCAAACGGGTCCTTTGATTCCTCTACGGTGTGAAGTACATATTTTACTAGAACATTTGTGCTTTTATTACTCTAGTACCCCTTCGAAACACGAAGCCCTTCATTATTTATATATCACGACGTATACGATATCTAAGATTCCGGGGGTGCAATTGACCAGTGTATTATTCATTTAAAACAATTCATCGGATCTAATCAATACTTACTATTTGTATATCTTTTTAATTAATTTACTTGTTATTTTGTTAATTGTTATCTGGAGTTAAAGGGCGTATATTTTTACCATTATCTATAAAAACAGCAAAAAAAATCATGTCTGTTGTATGAGAGCCCCACTTAAATATTTTTAATTCTGTTTTTAGTATTTGTTGGTATAGCGGCAACAGAAATACTTCATCTGTCTAACTATCACGGTTCATGAGAAACAGCCTGGTGACAGTCTGACAGACAAAAAGACAGCGGAGTATTTGTAGTAGGGTCCCGTTTTACCCTTTGGGTACGAAAACCTAAAAGGATCTATTTCAAAGATGAAACTTACAGTAAATTGTACTTATGGTATACACCTTATTATTTTAATAAATTTATATACTTAGTATTGCTTTTGTTTTGAGTTTTCCTATAAAATAGAGTTGTCTGTACAAAGATATAAATTAAATGAGACCATTCGACACGGGCATAATTGAGTAGCAACAGAAATAGAATAACGGGCGAAGATGCTTTTATTATTGACGCCTAAAGTGATTTCAGCATTGGCACCGCGCACGGTATGGGTACCTATATTTAGCTAAGTACATGTGAGAACTGATAACTCTGTCATTTTTAACTGTAAATAATAATAAAGCCTTACCATATCTCTTAAGATATGAAATAACAATATATTTTGCAATGTAATAATTTAAGTATTTCAATGAGTTCATGCATTTGTTGCTGGAAGTGTTCGGTATTTACCCACACCTAAACCTCTTGGTAATTTTTAAGCCTATCGTACAAGCATACATGAAGTTGTTTAATGAATGTTATTTTTATTATCTTAGGTTGTAACCATGTAATGCGGAATGCACAACTGATAGCGCGTAGGTGATTAACAGACATTTTTCAATCGTAAATAATTCCGTAGACGCCCAGGCTGGAGGTAATAAATTGAATCCGCTAAATTCAAAACTTGTAAAGGAACGTTTGTGTGTTAATGGCTATTATAGTATTAGTGATTATTTGAATGATAACACACTCTGGAAATGAATTGATCGCTCCAGGCTCTTTCATGTGGAATTTAATAAATTGTACACATATTTGCAATTTTTTTATCAAGTTAAAACAAAATGTAACGCTGAGTTTCTTACGCCGGTTCTTTTCAGGTAAGTGGCTCTCCTTCCGAACCGGTGGTAGAGTTTTTTGACTATCAATAAGTAAGTGTATGCTTCTATATTGAATAAAGATATTTGACTTTGAGTTATATTTATGTTACTCGAGTACCTTTGAGATAATTTCTTTGTCCTTGGGTGCGTTAGGACAACCCTGTTATGGTAAAAATACCTATTTAGGTTAAGTGTTGAACAATGGCTGTAGGTACCTGTTGGGAGCTAGTACCTAGCAGTAGGCGAGTAGCGGATACCTACACGAGCTGTGGCGTGTGCCGTATGGGCGCCTTAGGCCGCGGTGGCGTCGCGTCCAGGGGGCGGGTCGCCACGGACGGGCAGCGGCGCCGTGACGCGGCGACCGTTCCGCCGCGGCCCAATGGAGGGCCCATTGGGGCCTGGTGGCCGGCGGGGCCGTGGCGGGGCCTCCGGGAGGTTTTGCGCGGGCGGCAGGGGACGCGGTGGGGCGGAGGGGGCGGAGGGGGCGGAGGGGCGGCGCCGGCCAATGGCGGCGGCGGGCGGCCTGGTGCGCCCGGCGCGCCAGTCTCGCGCGGCGCGCCGCACAGGACGCATTCCTCACGCGCAACGCTCCCCGAGTGAGAAGGCGCGCGCCGCGACCGCGCGCCTCCGCGAGTGCCCAGTGCTGTGATATCTACATACTTATTGTGCGCCGAGCCGGAGTGCCCGCGCGGAACAACGCCGCCGAAGCGAAGGCTCAACTCGCGCCACACCCGCTGTGCACCCGACACCACCGACCTCCGGATAAGGTGGGAAACGGACGGCACCGCGGCGAAAAACGCCGCCCTTCGGCCATTTCACCAATAGAATTTAACATTCGAAAAAGTTTTTTTCATATAAGTAATAAAACAAATACCAGATGGGGAATTTTAAAAGATTCCAATAGGAATGAAAATAAAATGTACATACATAAAACTTTTACCTCATGATACTAAGCGAATGAAATTTTTTGGTCAGTATAGGCAAGCTTTTCATGTAATTTGTAATAAGTATAAAACTTTCAATTTATTAGGTTCACGCTAAATATTCCAAAGATACCAATCCCTCTTAAATGAGCACACTTAGTAAATTTAATCAGAATCAAGTCTAGTACAAATAACATAGGTAGAAGCTATTAACCAGTCGGCAGATACTTACAAGCATTATGGAATCATTCGCCACTCATTGACAAATTAACAGATAATAGGAGCGATTACCATGGAGCCTGTTGCCGCAAAAACATTAAACAAACTATTAACCACACGAATGCTATTAAGTAGGTACTGTCCAAATAACACTAGTGAATTCAATTAATGTTGACAAATTAATGAATAATTAAATTACTGATTAATTATGTCAATTTTTGTGGAAAAGTTGTCGAAATTGTTAAATTGTCGCACAGCGCTACACAATAATCAGAGGTGAAGTAATTTTAATACCTACCGAAATTTATAAAATATTTATGACCATGAACGAGGCGAGTAATCAAGAGTAGCACCCAAGTTTCTACAATTCTCCGGCGGCGCGACTTGTCGCCACCGCTTTAGATAATCTTGTACCTATTAATTTGTATCAAAAGTGCTTTAAATATTAAAAAAAAAGTCTTATTAAATAAAGTATTTATATGATCGTGTAAAGCGATGAAATTATATTCCTTAACTTTTAGCGTAGCTTAAATATTTTCAATGATAAATTAGATTGGTTAAAATTAACGAAATATACCTAAAGAAAATATCATTTATGCTTAGGATATAAATTAAACACACACGCAGTGACCGCTTTGGTGTCTACTTCTTAATAAACGCTTAAATTAAGAAATATCAATTCATGAAAAGGCGCAATGTGATTTAAACATAATAGGTACCTCTGCTGGCTACTAATTACGACACCTGTAAATAAATAATTAAGTATGCGGGAGTGTTTATTCAGTAAGCAGAATAATTAATTATAATTAAGTATCATTTGACGAAACTGCAACGTCTTTAGGTTATTTACAGCATATTAATTTATACTTAACCAGTATTTGGTCCATCATTTTCGTTGTTATTTTTTAGTACTTTCCATTTTAGCAAAAATTCTCTACCCGGGCTCTTTGAAAACTATGTAATGTTTTAGTAATCAAATATAAAAATTTGGTGTAAATAAAATCCAGAAAAAGAAAATAGTACATTTTTCATGAATCTAATAAAAGTTTGTTTGTGGGATTTCCGAGAACAAAGATCACATGGCGCCCTTTCTTGGTGAAATTGTATCGTAGTTGCATCATCATACGCGAATGGTGCATTATTCGTAGTTCACTATAGGTATGCACTGAGTTACTGACTTCACATTCACATTAAAATCAAAGTAGAGACACCGGACGAGCCTCAATGGATCCTGCCACCATTGGGCACATTTGGATATGGAGGTACTAACGGATTAATCAATTTTAATATATGTATTAAATAGGCAGACGTAGGTAATTTCTTAAAGTTATGATTCAATTTATTTAATTGGCACAGTAAATGTACGCAACAAATGATTATGATAAATGTTTAAAGTATTGCATTCAATTAATTTTTCTAAAGAGTAAACGACACCAACTTAAATAGTTATCAAGTATGCAAAATGAACCAATCATTTAGTGCAAACGTTTGCGATTCGTTACACAATATCGGTTTCCGCCGATTAAGCGCTGATGCAGTGGAGCAAAGGTTGCGGCGAGGGAGTGGTGTGCGTCCAGGGGTGAGCCTCGTTCGAGCCACCCTGCCACCCTGCAGGTGTAGAAATCGCTTAAGCTCCAATAAATATTGAACACTTCGTTGTGCAAAGGCGGGGATGCAGTTGTGCCTTCGCAGAAATTCAACGAATCGCCGTGAATAAAGAAATGGAGGCTTCAAACAAGGCAACGTATTCCTGTGAAACTTTCGTTTTGCATAGTACCTAAATATCAAACAATTATTCGAATCAAAATTACGTACACATCATTTGTGTTTACCTTTTTTAATAAAAATTCATCCATGCATTTGATACTAGATAAGTACTTACTGCCATGTTGAGATTAGATAGTCTCAAAAGGTCTTTTTCACCGCTTCGCCAAATTTTAAATTGTCTTCTATAAATCATTATTTAAAAATCGAAAATAGATTGAAACTGGCGAGAGTTACCAATGAAAATGCTGATTTAGTTTTTAGGTTTTTGTGGAGCAGCACACCAGAACAATTAATTGCCAGGGCCTTGATTATATGCGAGATATCTTTTTCATAATCATTTGCAAATTATCGAAAATTTGTAAAGACAGAAAGCAATGAAACAAAAGTTAATCAATGATCGTCATACAATATTGAAATATGTCTGATGTTTTTAGATAATATCTAAAAACATCAGACTTAAAGAATCAAATTTGATTAGAGTACTTTAAAAGCTTACTTTAAAATCGGCCTGCTAGTATAATAATTAGGCCTAGTGTTTAGCATGTTTCTGTGTGCAATTCAAGGTCACAGAGATAAAATATTAAACAGCATAGATATGAGTAATACATATATACTGGTCTACACATATTCCCTACTTCAGACGCATTTAAAATAATAAGCGGAATTTAGGCGTTTGTTCAGATGCTGGATATTCAAAACTATAAATATTCTAAATAGTTTTATTGATGAATACGCGGTCATGATAAAGAGTAGTGATGAAATCAGATTTACGATGAGTGATCATGATGTCGAGTTATTGAGGGGTTGAGAGGAGCGGCAGTCATGAAGATAAGCCTCGGTCTTAAGGGAACTCCGCCCCTCTCTCTCTTTGCATCATTATAACACCTCATCAAGGGAAACGGTACAAAGTGCCGGAGAATACTTTCAAAAGTATCACTCAATTTGTGTCACCTCCGTTTTCAAGTGTTCTTTCAGTTTAACAATGTAAACTTTATTTAACTAAAACTGCGGTAACTTAGCAAAAACAACACAATTTTCAAACTTATTTTTGTATGTAAATGTGGCAAACGAGCCAACCGCCAGGATTAACCTGGTGTTAAGCTAGGGTTGAAGATGCATTGCCACCTTTTAATAAAGTGGGCCCCGGCCTACCGACTACTTCTACTTCACGCCGGTCTGCTTTTTCGCCGGACCTGCCCATTCGTGCAACACCGAAGACTGTTGCGTGGCCCTACCACAGTTAATTATTTTAGTTATGATTCAATTAAAACATTGTCCTTTTATTTAACAATAACTAAAATAATGAATAAGTCATTGAAATTTAATCTTACAAGTTTCACTCATTAGTATATTTTATATAAGCATTTCAATTAAAGTCTAATGTACCTTAAATGCGATTCACAAACATCTAATCATTTTAATTAAAATTATGCGCTCATCTGTATCTGGATTGCTTTCTCATTTGGAAAACGAACCCCGGAGTTCTTTTGCGTCCTACTTCTCCGTAACCATCTCAATTCCCTTTTTGTTTGTTTAACGAAGCACAGATTTATCTACTTCTAAAAAAATAGTTGTATCAATTTTAAGAGTATAACAAAGATAGATATCATAGCAATATACGTTAAGATATAATACCTAATTATATTTCTTATTATATTTTATGACTTTGATACTATCTTTCTTTTAATTTCTGATGTGACAGCATCTATGGGTATTTTAAAAATCTTCAGTTTTATTACATAAAATTTTTAATGTTACATTTATTTAGTTTGTTTCTAATTGAGATTGAACTGTTGCCAATGGCGTGCCACAAGCAAGAAGTTTCCCGCTCACTTCAAAATGAAGCAATCCACCGGACAATCTGGCAACTCAAGGCCTGCACCGAAGCCGCTTGCCCTTTTGGCACGACCAAGTTCCCGGCGTGCCTCCGTTACCATCCCACATTTTTCTACAATGTGTCACTAGTATCTACCGCCGCCACTGGCTGACCTTTGAAATGACGATAAGTAATGATTTGAAACAGTTTTAACTTTGCGACTAATTTGCTTGTTCTCATTTATTTTGATGATTTTGCTTGATCGATGCAAGACCTGGAAACCGTGGTAAAAATAATGGCCAGCATCTTTGACTGTGTTCACCATTCCAATCAGAGACACAAAAATTACTTGTGAAATAACAATAATGTGGCTTATTTTTAACGTCATTGATCCAGCAGTATTTTTCTCATGTAAGAGTGATATGTTGAAGCTTATTTCTAAGGCACATAGTTTCCACCATTTTGCGTATTGGACTGTTATATTTGAGGTAACTTAGTTCAGCTTTTCAGAGCTTTAAGGGATTAGAAGAAAAGTTTAAGGGTGTGATACCTACCTATGTATACAGAGAAGCATTCATAAAATCAATTATATTTATAACTGAACATATTTTATAACGCAACTTATGGTATATTCGATTTTTTTTTTATTTAAACGTAAAAGACTCATGTGTTTGTATTGTACATATATGTAACTTCTAGTCTTCTGGATTTCTTCAGGATCAGCTAATTTACTTTGCAATTAAGGAATTCTACTATTATGCAACCTATTTTACGGTATTTTAACAAAATAAAATTGTTATATGGTTTTCTAATTAAGGCAGCCAACCTCAGTACGAAACATTGGTACATTTAAAAAAAAGATTATCGATAGATGAAATGTATATTTCTTAGTTAGATAATTGATTTGATTTGATCAGTACCTAGTTTAGTCTAGTAAAACACCAAGCAAAAGTGATCAACTAATAGATCTATCAATATGCAAATGCAATATTAGATTTTTAATTGAGTATTTTTTTAAAACTTTACGCATTAAGTTCCTTCTCTAAAAGAATAAAACCTTGTAAATTCCGCATCAAGATGCGACTCATGATTTGGCGTTATCGAAATCATTACCGCCCATATTTGCGGTTGTGAATTGCTCTTGCATGATAATAAAATGCCGTAGCACCCGTAAGTCCGAACAGCGGCCGCGTCCCGCCGGGAGAGCTCAGCGCACCGCTTCGATGCGGCACACGCTGATTCTACCTATAACCAAGTTCAAATATACAGAACAGACAATATATACATAACGTTGGAGTTTATTAATGTCTTCAACAATAGCTGTTACTTGATATGATTAGTCGCGGAGCTCGAGTATCTAAACGACAATTGTGACATAGGTTTTATTAACTTTAAATTTGCTTGTGCCCTGTGCCTGATAAATATTAACACAGTGAGCGGAGTAAAACATTATCCAATAAATTGTCAAATAGGTTCGATTGAGTGGAATTCACCAAAATTTAACAGATGTCCCACGAGAGATGCAAAACAGCATTGAATATGACGGGCGCGGCACCTGCGTCGTCCGTCGACACGACCGTCCGTCCATTTGTAGCAGCCGTCCATTCGGGCACAAGGTGCTCGTGTCGGTAACTGACAAACGACAACTCAAATGAGCGGACAATAGTGTTTGTGCCGCGGCGGGGAACCTATTCCCGTGCGCATAAATCTGCCCTGCGACACTCGACGCCCTATTTCGATCGCCCCCTTTCCGGCAGCGACCTCCGCATTCGGATTGTCCTTTTATAGTAAGAATAGCTCACCTTTCGTTGCACCGAAGGTGTTACGGATGCGTTACTAGCCCTCAAAAAAGGAGGTCATGTATGTATGATGAAATGACGCCATTAGTAATGAAGTAGAGTAGGCCGTCGCCGCAGAGCGGAGGTATGGGAGGTTTTTGCCAATGCCTTGAACAGCGCCGAAAACGTTCAGGTGCGACTGTGACGCTAATCATATTGAGGAATGCGCCCCTCGCCGCTCGGAAGCCTCCTGAGCCCGACCGCCACATTGTTTTGGTCTATTTTGAGCAGTTCTTATAATGCGGACACAGCGTGCGAACTCCGCGGTCGCTTCGGCTGATTCATGCATTGGGTATGCTACGTGTGTCCCTTAAAATGGACGCCGATAAAATAGTTACGTACGTTTTTTTTATCAACGTTCAGTGGGTTTTTATCCTAAACGTGTTTTTAAAAATTTCCCTCGATAAATTTAATTTTCTCCACGAACAATTCTCTCTTAAATCTTCTTATCAAAGGTGGTATCGTTGTTTCGTAGAAACATTTATTTTACACGTGTCAGGTTACAAATTAACGAAGATCGGAAGATATAACTTTAAATGAATATATATAGATGTGCTAGAGAAGGTAAAATTCGTCTTCAAATGATAAGTATTTCATTAATTTGGAAACTTCTTTAAGTAGTATGAAGTGACATTTCCTAGTGAGACGCATCTCGTTATCGAGCTGCGCGAACCGTTGGAACGGTCAAAATGCCGGCGCGCGTGTATTATAATTAGGACATCGTTAAAAATCAATGAGCGAAGCGATTAGTTGGGTGCGATAGTGGACCGGTGGCGGCGGCGGCGCGTTCGCTCGAAATCGAGATGTATGCTAACGTAGTATTCGAATCGCCGAATCGCCACGCGTTTGGATTGGGACTGCCACGGGGCCACCGGTAAGAAAGACAAACCCGAGGTCCTCTAGAGCCCTAGGACTTCGGCTATAATGTTTTTACGTCATCATTTAGAAACTGTCTGATTTTGGTCAGTTTATCTCTTTGTCTTTCAATCTACGTTTTAATTAGAGTTCAATGTGATATCGCGTCGACTCCAGAAGTCCAGCGTTATTCTCGGCTCGCGTCCTTGTGCATCAAGAATACCCTGAATGTAGGATTAAAGTTAGATGCAGGCACTTGGAATGTTTTCCGCGGGGGCTACTGCGACTCGTGGCCAGACGCGCCGTCCGCGCTGACACAATTACCTTACGCCTCGCGTTTTGTGGGCAGACGTTCGACACGCGCTCTCAACTCCATAAGACCACTTGACGCATTGAAAATGTCGTAGGACGACCAAATCACATGTTCCTATTGATTAATTATGTTGTACACAGGTTGTGCATATGATACACAACCTGTGTACAACATTTGTGATCTTATATTATGAAAAACCATTAATAATTTACCGTGTCCAATTCTAAGCAGCATTCCATCAGCTTTTAAACATTGACATTGACATAAAAATCAAAGTAAAGAGCCAAAAATACGATAAACTAGATTAATCTAACAATAAAATTTGGCTTTTGTAGTAACCGCCTTTTTGGTTTGTACCTGTGTAGAGAGGTCGTTAGGTGTGATGGCGATCGGTTGTTCTGTCTCCGAGGGCGAATCGCCAGTTGGTCGGAGTGAGGCAGCCGAGTATGGGTTCGCGGGCGGGGGCGTGACCAGGGCCAATAAAATTTTCTGATAAAAAATTGCCTGTCCTTTCTCAGCCTTCAGTCCTTCAGGCTTTAGACTATCTGTGTACCAAATTTCATTTAAATCGGCTCAGTAGTTTTGGTGTGAAAGCGACACAGACAGACAAGAGTTACTTTCGCATTTATAATATGAGTATGGATTGATAAAGAATACAACGATAGTTACCCATATACTATATTTGTAACCGATAGGCCGTCTATTAGGCGTGGTATTATTTCTGATTAACTTGATTCATGGAGGTTGTATTAACGCTATATATTTTGACCCGATTGCGGCGAGGCCGAAAAAGGAAGGTTATGTGTTTAACCTGTATGTGTGCAGGGACGGAGACATAATTAACAAACGGCTGAACTCATTTTGATGAATGATAAGTCGTTGGATTCGTCTTTATTGTGCGGGTATCACTGCTACTGGTACCTTTACCAAAATTATAAAGTTTGCCAAAATATATGTTTTCAAAATCGTAGTTGGGTTTTGTTTTAGTTTTTATAATGATAGAATTGTTTATTGAGATGGAGGTTCATAACTTTTAGTTATAAAATTAGTAAAATAGATATTTTACACTCAATTTACTCCCATTACCAATTCAATGTTTTATATTAATCATCTCATATTTTGTAAATACTACTAGAATCAGGCGAAAATGAGAGAGCGAATTAATTGATCGAGATCCGTTTTATCTTAAATGTCATGCGTAATATAGCTCTGAATGGCACCCGCGTTCTTGGCACTTCCTTTCAATGCCAAGCTTTTGGACGCAAAATCTATGAGGCTTTGATTGTTTTAGGTTCAACAATGCGTGAAAACTACGCCCTTGCTGCTGCCAGTACGAGAGGACCGCCCCTTTCAAGACGCGATCAGTTAAAACGCGCGATTTTAAATTGCATGTTCATTGTTCCTTGGCTGAAAAAAATATTTCTTACACATACAGATTCCCTTAGCCGGTGCTTTACTTTATTGCTCTGAACGACACACGGTGTACGGGAAATTACGTAAAATCGAAGCGTTCGGCGAAATAAACATTTCGTTTGGAAACGGTCCAGTCTCCTATGCACTCGGATGTGGTGTCAGGGTGAGGTTTGTGTCGCCCTGACACAAACCGCTCTTATTTGGCGATGAGGGTCATGAAGGTGCTCCGCGCGGTACCGTTGCTCAATACCATATTAATGGAGCACAACCTTCCCTAGTTAACGTGCTCGGCGCGCGTATCCAAAGGGGTTAATTAAATTAAGGACAGAACACATCAACGCCATTTGACTATTCGCCATTACATGGTCTCGATGGGAATAGCTGTTTGTGTCATATTCGGAGAATTTCATTTCTGGCCCTTTATGAGGTGGCATCGAAATTATTAATGCGTTTAAGTTAAGCGAGTCTTGGCTTTTCGCAAATGAGAAATAACCCATAATGGAGTCTTTATTCACGTCCTTTATTTCGCACAGTCACCCACTTTTCAATACACTTTTTTCAAACTTTTTTTTCTGTGGGAAGTTTCTTTTTTATTATATCTTAAAATGATTAATAGAGCGTGTATGGTAAACTTACAATGTTGCTCTTGCGTCTTCATTTATTACCATCGGAACAAAACTGAGAATTATAAATATCCAGTCTCGAGAACTACTAGACTACACGGCCCGCCTCTCAGTCCGTCGACCGCAGTTAGTGCGAATAAAGTTTTTAATGAGCATAACAAAGGATATGGCACGAAAAAGTGCAATTAAAGCGGAATTAAAAAGTGCGCGGACGCTTGACGGACGGCCGCGGGAACCGGCCGCAGCGGCGAGGGTGACCACCCACCATCTATGGCACCAGCGCTGAGCACGAAGTAACCGTTGCCCTGCAATCTACCTTTCTAGCCGTTTCGCTTACCACTTGCTACTCCACAGCTACCACCGATCAGGGCAACGTATGGTAACAGAAACAATGGCTTAAATCAAGTGCCAATGTTCATAACGATTTGTTCTTAAATAATTCTTATTTAACAGATTTACTTATTTTGATATTTTTATAATTATTTTTGTCATTAACAATAAAATCAAGTTTTCCGATTCCAAAAATAAGTTTTGTGAAACAGTCCGTGTTTTTACAAAGTTATTTACAAAGGTTTGTGTACAATTTTCGCATCAGTACGGTATCCCACAGTTGAAATGTCCCGTGGAGGCATCGCGGGTGGCCAGCCTAGCGACGGCACGATCTCGCTTAAGTAAGGAGCTAAGTGTAGCAAGTTTTTACAATTTCCATGAGTTCTGTGAACGCGTCGCCCTCAGCGTTCTGATCACGACTCGCGATTCCAACCTTTCAGTTGGGCCTTATGGATGGACGTGTTGCTTTTTGCTAAGGTCCGCGCGTCTGCTCGCCGACCGCGAACGCGCGAATCTCATATGAAGCCAAGGGACGTGTTGAACTAAAGTTATAACAGTTTCCTTAGATTGTACCTTGGCCTCTGTGACTCTACGAGCTTTACCTTTTAACAAAGCGCAACGTTATCGTAAACTATCTATTACTCTCACTATATCTACTCCCCACTCTATATATAAAGTGCGGGGACGTGACATCTCCATCGTGGAGCTGTCCCCTGAGGCGCAACATTGTATCGCGTAGCAATAAGTCCATCCAATTGTGCGGACGACGACTGCAGGAGCACGCTTTTTGCCTCCCTTCGCACTTTTTGTGCGATTCAAACGGAGCTATTCGGATTTCATTCTTCCAGTTAATAAATTGAGTGCTGTATGTAATTTGCGATTAATTTTGTTAGACATTATTCCACGGCAAGCGAATCAAATGCAAATATCTTAGGTTGACGCATGCTGTAAAATGACAGCACGTGTACAACTATTTAGAGCTTTGTTGAAAAAGAACCATCGGGCAAATGCGGCAAAAACAGGCACAAGTACACGTTTTCCCATATGCAATTTTACTTACGGATCTACATCTCGCCTCAGTCTGATCTGCCTGCGTCCAAAAAACGTTAGCTTGATTAATTGCTTCGCGACATCGATCAAATTGCAGGGATGCCTTGGCTACCTTTGCCGCCTTTCGATAAAATGAATAATCCATCAGACACCTGAGAATCAGTAATGTCTACTGATTCGCTCAGTGTTACCGTGAGATCAATGTTCCCTGTGGTGGGCTCACTAAACAGTTTCCGCACTTGCACAATTGGGTAGAAGTGTTCGGGGCCCACTGTTTTAAAAGAAAGCAGCATGCTCGTTGTCGGTGTCCACGGGCAGCGATAATCACATATCATCAGGAGAACCGCCTACCCGCTTGCCAAAATTTTCACATGAAAATAAGCTTCCAAGAATGCTTTGTTGTGCGTATCATCCGACAAGGTTCGACGTCTTTGTCCGAGTTGATCTATAGAATTGTAATGTTAATCGTTGTCGTTTGCAATAGTGGTGGCATTCATTGGCGGCTAAGAGTCATCGGTGCGACGGAGGCCTTGGCCGCTTCCGCATTCAATGAATCTAATTCAATTATGAGCGGCTTAGAAAAACCGTACAGCGATGCAGCGCGGGGCGGTCGCAGTGTGAACGCGTAAGAGCTCGTTAAGGAAATATATGTGGTGACCTTGCGCCGGCCATAACAACATTTATGAGAATATTATGCGGTGGGCAGCGGACGCAAAAAGTTACGTCGCCTCTAGAGTCACTCACGCCACTCTTGGCGAATTCCCCTCCCGCCTGTGCGATACACAACTTCACCGCCACCACTCTGAGATCGGTCAATTGGCAATTGCTCACTGTAAGAGCGATTACTTGGACTGACTGAGTGGGTGGAGCTCCAACTAACCTTAATTTGCTACTCTTTCTTCGGTGTAATGCATTGCGAACTCACACAACGTAATATGTTATGGTATTCATTTAGAACATATATATTTGATGCTTTTATTAATTATGAGGTGACATTCATCGACGGTTATATCTAAATGTGTAATTTATGTAATTTCTCATATAATGCATACCTAAAGCAGCAACTCGTTTTTACTCGGATCCGTCCACAGTGTTATAATGTAAAAGTTAAATTTACGTTTCACGTATCATTTGCATTCTGTAATAATATATTCATCATTCTGCCCAGTTCTGATGTCGTGAGCATCGATTTAAGTCATAAATACTCTCGAGAATGAGAATTGGAATCTGTTCAAATTTATTTATTGCCGCCGCTCAATTTGCTACATAGATAAAGATAATTTGCACGATTGTTGGTAGTTCCCGCTCCTTGGGAAGGAATAGTATAAACCCTTTGAAATTATCACAACTTCTAGCAGCCTCTGTTCTGCGCTTGTGTGTCGGCTCATCCCGGAGCTGCCACATAGGTACAGAGGTGGTCGTGTCTGGTGATGAGCCCTCGCTCAGGGGTGAGCGGAAGGGCTACAGCGTGGGTGTGGTTGCAGGGTTGCCGGTTGCCGTGTGCCGCCGGCGGGTGCGGTGGGGGCGGCTAGGGCGCGGCGTGGCGGCATGGGGCGGGCGCGCTCTTCTGCGCGGCGCTGAGGCGCGGGATGTACGGCGCCTACTACCCCTACCTGTACGGCCGCGGCGCCGCGCGCTCCTTCCACCACGCGCCGCACTTCCAGTACGATCGGGTGAGTTGCCGCCGCGGGACAGCGCGCCGGACAACCAGGAAGCGTCGAGCGTACTTCCTTCTTCGATTTATTTTGTAATTGCACCAAAGGCGATATGCAACGTTACATTATAGTTAAAGCAAAATCAATCTTAGGTGTGTGGTTAAAGCGATCGCATATATCACACAAACAGTATTCATTGGTGATTCTGTGAACGCGGAATGGCGACAATTGCCTAGCCGCTCTGAATGTTCGTATGCTATAATATTTCAACTCCAACGTCAATTCCTAATGGTCATTAATTAAATAGTCCTGAGGTTAAGCTGGAATGCTGTTAATCTATTGCAAGTTGCTGTCAGATATGTACGCCGTCGTGTCGACATGTTCAGGCGAATACATTGTATCACATCAAGCATTACCGTCACATTTGTAAAAGTCAACATTAAAAGATCAATCAATACTATTGAATACATGTCCCTTCTAATAAATCATTGACATTTGATACCTATTCGTTTTTCTGCATTTGCGGAAAAGCGCGCATATTGCGCAATTTCACAATAATCGTGAAATTTTAATTACACCGAGAGAATAGAATGAAATACATATCCATTGTAAATGAATAATTTGATAACCCTCTTTTACCGTCTCAATGGTTTATTTTTTTTATGTGAAAAGTTGCCAAGCGAGATGACATTTTATCTGATGTTAAGTGAGTACCACCGCCCATTGACATCTGCCACACTCGAGGGTTCCAGATGCGTTGACAACCTTTTGAAAATTGGGCTCCGGCCACCTCACTCACCAGACGAAACGCGAGAGTATTATACTTCCACTTTACGCCGGTCTTCTGTGAGGTCGTGGTAATTACCCGGACGAGCTTGCCCATCAGCTGTGCAACAGTCGAGGCTGCTGCGTGGCCGTAACGTATTTGAGTAAGTGTAAGACTATACTTAGTATTCTGGGAAAAGTCACTCTTGTAATTTTATGGAGGGCCATTGTGCGGTTTGTGACCGCGTGCCGTCGTCAAGTAGATTAGAGCAAGTGACAATCCTCCGCGGCTTGACACCCATTATCATTTTCATTTGTTCTCCGTAATTATTGCCCTGCTTATTTTGACACAATCCCAAGAGCCCAAACAGAGCAACGGACTTTCGCAATGGTCATACAGGATCTACTTTCATCACAAGTGAAAATCTTATTAAGAATCACGTCACTTCTGTGCCTAGTCAACGAATCAAAAGCAGTATCGTCTTTTCACTTTGAAGACGAACTGAATCCGGCACATGGTCCTTGGTCCGTCATCGCTATAGCATACCCTCGGAATCTGTATAAAATATGTCTAAAATTTTACATAATTGAAAAGTTTATTTTCAACACTTTAGCCGCTGAGGTGCATCAATTTGATTAAAAACTTAAAATCAATCAGAATAATCTGCGGTGCATTATTTTCCAAGTTTTGTTTAATTACTAATTATAAATATATTATTGAAAATGTAGGTACGCAGAACTCAGAGATGAGATCCGGTGCGGGCGGTGACAGCCGCCCTGGACCTAAAACCCGGGTGTACCTTGTTTGCGTGTTATATAGGTATTCTTAATGTAGTGATTTCTTTTTCTTGGAGATAATTGTAATAGGATCTCCAGTCAAAATCCCTTCGCTCTGAAGATATTTTCAGATCATCGTTGGTAGAGATCAGTGTTATTTTGCAAGGATTTGTATTCTGTCACATTGTATGGACGTAATGATTCGGGTGACTTATTGTGTACGGGCTAAACTGAAAAACCGTTACAGTAAACGCAATTATATTCGTATAGGCCGTTATCTATGTGCGTCTCTTAAGTGTTCGAAAAAGTTTTTTTACAATGCAAGTGCATACCACGACAATTGTCCACAATTAGAGAGACGTTGCAAGCGCCATATGAAGCGATGAATGATCGCCGCTGGAAGATCCGACGTGAGCGTAATGAATGTAAGGAGAGCGCTTCTGTTGGCGGCCGAGTGCAAGTTGAATTGTGCCCCCGGCGGAGGTTGCGCGGCAATCCGTGAGCATGACACAAATGAGAATTTTAATCTGTTACGTTTATGGGCATCAAAGCGCGAACCAGTGTATGCGCGCGCGCGTGTGCGTGCCGCTCCGTGAACGGCACCCACGTGTGTGTGCCGCGTCCGCGTCGGACCTCTTGCTCGTGCAAATGGGACCCCTGTTAGCGACCGCAGCGCCCCGCCGATTGACACTTTACACTTTCATCGGCTTTTTGCCGTTCGGGCACTGCTCATGCGCCCAGCGGAGCCGCCATCGACGATGCGCGCACCTGCCGACCGGCCCTGGGTCGCCGCATCGCTTTTGCCACTCGCTAATAGTCAACAAATACGAAGCTCTGTGTTCCAACACAAAACGACGTTGCGAATGAATTATTCAAAATATGCCGCAGGAATGTTACACTGGTGGTTTAAAGCAAACGAGGAAAACAATTCAATTGGCTCCAACGCACGGTCAGGCGTTGTTTTATGTATATGCGGCCATCGGATAATTGCATGATTGTAGTTTCACTATCGAGTGCGAAACGAAGCGGGCGTCGGCGTTTGTTTGGAATAGGAATGTGTTAAATGGACGGCGGCGACGAGGCGACGCGTCCTGTGCGGAAAATCGTATTAAGTGATCGTATTAAGCGGCCCCTCCTGCTTTAGTTTCGAAGCATTACGCGGCATCAGGCCTTGTGCGGAGAGGGCAAAAAGCGGCCGAGCGCCACTCGCCGCTCCCGCGTCGCCGGCCCGGCAGCGCCTCGCCCGCACCGCCGCTTCGGGAGCAGTCAGTACAGTACATACATATCGTAGCTTATTACTATATTATGTAAATACCCCTGAAAATTTATGAGTTTTATCAATTTCTTTGGGTTTACTGTCCTTCTACAAAAATGTATGCTTATCCTATTCGATTATCCACTTCTCCAAATCCGTTGCAACTTAAACACATATTACGCTAGAAAAAAAAATGATTTGACAGATGACTGACTGCGTCGCTGTTCATCTTGGTCAATCATTTTGATTAAAGCCATCAGGAATTACAGCGATGAATATACTTATAACTTTTGATACAAGGGAAGACGTAAAGACGAAAACGTTCTATGTCAGGGGTGAGCAACCTTTTTAATCAATGGGCCAATTTAAATTAAAATTTTTTTGGCGGGCCGTACTTAATAATTTACGAAACTTTATTTATAATAAATATTTAAATAAAAAAATATAAAATAAAAAATGTAAAAATTTCATATACAAATTTTAATGCAAGGTAAAAACAAACAAGAAAAGAATAGAAAAACGATCAAAAAATATTTCGGTTCAGTATGTACTACCATTTTATTATAATTAATTTTATAACACTATACTGATGGGAGAAATTCGATAAAATAAATTCAATTTTAAAAATGCTTGGCGGGCCGCATAAACATGTTTAACGCGCCGCAAGCGGCCCGTGGGCCGCGCGTTGCTCATCCTTGTTCTATGTGAATCGGATCTCAGGTAGAATAGAATAGAATTTCTTTCACAACGATCGGTTTCTTATAATAATTATCTCTCGAACACTAAAAGACTTAATACTTATACCGGCAAGGACAACTTGGGTGATGCCGTAATTCGACATGGATGTAACGACAAGTGCCCTGACAGAAGGTAAGAAGAGTGGCGAGTTCCTTTGGCCGTAGTACGTAGAGTTTGCGAGCTAGCGGAAGGCTGGCCGGGCGGCTCCCCGCTTTTTGCCCTCAATGGCGGCCTTCCTCCTAAGGCGCACGTCGTTCTGCTTTTAATGTGAGACGCCGTGGGCACACGCTGCCCTTCTCAATGAGCTAGATAGCTACGAACTATAAAATTAATGCACCATTATTTTCTATCGAGTTCGTAGAACATAAAAATACTTGTGTACTCCTGCAAGCTTCTAAGTTTATGATACACAAAATTTCCACACTTTCATTGAATATTTTTCAAAAACTCTAAATAAATTTTCGCGTGATTTTCAAGTAGTTTTGAAAGTGCCACATGCGATCAGTGTGCTTTTACTGAGTGGATGTACCTAGAATAAAAAATAAATTAATTCTTGGCGCACACTAATAATACAGGAGTATATGAAAATCTGTTGTCTTTTCCAAATGTGCAAGAGCGTGTCTTTTTCTCTTGTTCGCCCCACGCGCTGTGAAATGTCATGATAAATCATGTCGGGGTAATTTTTATATTCCTCGCATTGTTTTCCACGACGATGTGTGTTTGCCAAAACGTTTAATCATGCGACCTGGTTATTTTTGAAATATTTACATAATTTACGCTGGCATATTTGGATTAAGTATTAGCAGCGTGTCGTTGCCTCTGCTCTCCGTTGCTGCTTATCGGTAGGGGGCTCTGCGCTTCGATCCTTATCGCGCGAGTACAATGTGCGAGCCGCTTTAAAGAGCGTCGGCCATTTAGAGGGGACGGTGAGGGGCGGGGGGGGGGGGGGGGGAGGTGGTCGGTGGCGGTAGATAAGTCGTTATTAACTTGTCTAGCTCGGGAACCTGTCAGGCGCAACTTTCCTGTCCGTTTTAGCCGCCTCGACAATTTTTTCTCATAATTAGAGCTTTATATACATTTTTAATTGCCCATTAAGCGGATTTGTAAACATTTAGCGCACTGATACCAACGCGGGGTGCATTCCGCCCGCCGGCCGTCTCTCGGCCGCGCCCTCTGGCGACACATGACCACGTCCGATCACTACCAACTCGCTGACACACAAATGTTTTGACCGCTTCCACACTTTTAACGCCTCCACCCTACAAGTTTTAATATCGTCTGAGATAAAATTAATTGAACACTGAACGCGTTAAATGCCACGCTCGTCGTGAGTTAAAGCTTAATTGATTAAACTTATTTCATTATTAATAATTGACTGCTTGAATTTTATTTAAATTTATTTCTAGAACCACAAACAAGTTTACAATTTATACAATATTTTATAATGATTACTAAGATTATCATTATTATAAAATATTATTTAAAAATGATAAATATTGACAAACACTCGTAAATAATTTAATACATTCATTTGAACTTATCTCAAAAAATTCGTGATTTATTGGCAACTCGTTTATAATATTATATATATATATATATATATATATATATATATATATATATATATATATATATATATATAGTATGTAGTGCGACATGTTGAAGACCCGTTTACTAAGCCATATATTTTATAGGCATTGGATATAATATTTTCAAAATGAATATCAAAGTGTTGATAATCGTAGATTTATAACCCTTAATAACTCCGTTCTGAGGTTGATTGGTAATAAAACCAAAATGATCCTATAAAAGTCATTACAGACTCTGTCTATTTGTTTTCCTGCGTATAGTCCGTTAAATAACTCGGTAGTGTAAGTAAGAAAATTATTTAGTTTCTTATCTTTTTTCTGTGAAATGGTGGCAAGTGAGCCGGCGGTTTACCTGATGTTAAGTAATAACAAGAGGTACAAATGTGTTGTCACCTTTCAATATAGTGAACCTCGGTTACTTCACGACATCTACTTATTTTATTATGTTATTATAAAAATAACTCTTGGCTTATCCACTTTTTTATAATTATTAAACACCTAAAAGTAGGCTGTAGGCACGTACTTGAACTTAAGGTAGGGTAAGAGTGACCGTAATTATGTTACCTTGGTTGATTTATTCCTAAGCTGCTGAATCTCATTAGCTCAGTTTTCCTTTCCTTTCGTTCGAATCATCCGTTTCACTGTAGAGCATTAGAGGGCGCTACATGCGAGGCACTCCCGTTCTCAAAAGATCCTGAGAGATGGGAATCCTCCCACGGCGGCGTTCGGCTTTGATCGTTGGATAAATGGGAGACGGCTACTGTAATTGCCGACACGTAAATTGCCCCAACACTAAAAACCCACCTGGTTGCACTTTATAAGCACGAGACTTTTTGCTATCGTCGTTTTTTTTTTCTAGCGTTCCCTTACGTCTAGAACTACATATATTTTAAATTTCATTAAATATTCTCAACAATCGGAGAGCTGTACCGTGATTTATTAACGTAGTTCGATGCCGTGCTGCTACGACTCGGCCCAAATCGGAATGTAGTAGAACTTTACCCGAAACAGAGTTTTAAATTTAATTAAGCTTTACGCGTTATTTTAACGACCGAACGGAGCACCGCCTCTAAGCGTTTCCGAAGCGGATTGTTTATTGTTAGGCCGCTTGGATTTACCATCGTGTGTCGCCCGGCGGCATATTTATCAGCTCCCTGCGGTATGCTCGTGCCGCTATAAAGGCTATTTTTAGTGGCGGTTTCAATTTTATTGCGTCACGTGCCCCCGGACAAAGCGACATTTCCCCGGTGTCGAAGGTGTTCCGATGTAATAAAGAATTAATATCGCGATCGAGCGATGGCAGAGCGGAGCGGGCGACGCCGTGGGGCGCAGTATGCTCGCGAGAAATGCGACGAATTGAGACGCCAAACAATTTTCAACTTTTGACATAATATTGCATCTTATTGCATTGAACAATATCGCACTCCACATTTTATTTCATTGCGGGCGACGTTTGAAGTAATTGCCTCACGAAATAGAGAATTAACGACGGAGACCGTAAACCACAGGTGCATTCTCGCGTTGGAAATGATTATCATTTAGATATTCGACAGAGATGAACGATCGTCGCAGGCTCACATTCCGCTGAAGAGACAATTTAAGTTTAGAGGCATTCCCTCGATTGGTAAGTATTTATTTGGACAAAAGCCAATGACTTATGTTTATGAATATCGGACGCCGCATGTAATAGTGGCAGCTTACTCGTAAGCACTTTAAGCCACCACTTATTCTAATCCACTCATAAATGTGTTCCATGACACGAGTGTAACATTATACACCGGTCGATCAGATACCGGGCACTATTTGAGGTTTCCTAACAAGTGGAAAAGGCGACGTAACGCGGTTATCTCCACACGTCGATGGGGCTTAATGAATGCGTCTTTGTTCGACGGATTGCTACGTGTAATTTAAACGGGGAATGGGCCCTAATTCTTCTTTATCGCCGTTTCGACATGGAATAATTGAATATTAAAGAAAATTTGGAAGGAAATGCGCGGTGACTGGCGGCCGCGAGGGCGGCAGGTGCTCCGCCGGCCACTTTGCATTTTTATGCGATGGACAGATCGACGCAGCGATAGCGTCTCATCGGATCCGATAACGCCGCCGTTGTACCCTACGAGGCAATCTAAGGCGACGCAGCCGCGCCCAGCGGCGGCCTTCTCCTCCGTTCGATCACTCTCGCTATCTCGCATGCGTTTGGTCCGATGAGGAGCGCGTGTCAGACAAATTGCTTCGCGCGCTCCTCACACTTCTTTATCGCTCTCGTCACTCATTTGGATACGTCAAACAGGCCCCTACCGTCCCGCCGGATCTCATCTCTTCTTTTATAGATCCCTTCGCTTAAATATAAATCAAGTAATGAACTTTGATTATCTGTTAAGACGTAAAAATGCCCTATGTTCTTGCAATTGTGCCATTTGCCTACATACTTATAAAACATATATAATAGCTCAAACGTCTTTAACTCACGTATTATTTAATGCTACCAACTTACAAAAGAACTTGTAAGTAGAGACAATTTTCATACGCAACACAATTCGTAAACAATATGTACCTACGAGTATTTAGGAATGTTAAAGTAAAATGGATAACAAGTCTTTCAGTTGCGAGATAATGATAATTCTTGATTCTTATCGATTCAGCTGTTCCGTATTATACGAAAACGTTCATTAATAAACAAACAACGATTTAATATAAAATTCTGATTAGACGCGTAACATAATACGCTATATGTAAACTAGGTGCTAATGTTTCTCCTAATACATCTGTCCCCTAATTTACGAAAGCAGTTGTAAAATGTTGCCAGAGAAACGTTTTAATATTTTCGAGTCATTTGCTAAATTTAAAATTAATTCTGCTTCTTATCAGTTTTTCTTTTGACTGGATGAAATTTGTATTTTGATGATTTGATTTATTGAGTTTGGAACCATCAAATTTGTCCCAGATCGTCGGTCATTATTCTATATATCCAAATAATATTGGATCAGTTTAAAAATAAGAATGAGACACTGGTGAGACCACCAACACAAATTAAATTCAGAAAATAAAATACTGATAAATAAAAATAGTCATAAATATTTGCAAGTATCAAGAATGCATCATCCAGCTGTCGGCTTTTTCATTTCTCTTTTACAATAAGAAAAGATTAAAACACTCCTTAGAATTAAGTTATACCGAAGGACTATGGTCGCGTGCGTTTCCAAATTCCACACCTTATAGGGCTACTCAGGACACTAAAACAATGGCAGTCAGTGCTTGCCGTGCTATTAGAGTTTCGTAATTGGGAATTTTTCACGTGGACCTTTCTCATTGATGATAATGTCTTATTTACACTAATAAATCTAAAATAAAATTCAGAAGGATGTTATGCTGAAAACTTAAAAGATATTGTTTGTCTCGTGATGATCGTAACGAGGTACGGCACGAAAATTCTGCGCGTTGTTTTGGTATTTAATTCTATCGATGAGAAATAAGGATTGCTATTTCAGTAGGTATAGTACAAATTACTTCTATAATTTCTTTTTTTCTGTCGATTGTAAACTACAAAAATTTTAAATTGCATTTATAATTTTTATCATTTTAAGTAGACACTACTAGTAAAAATGCCTCGGTGGCGCAATTGCTAAGCTTTTGGCTTCGGCTCAGGGGTCGTGGTCGATTCCTACACGGGATAAGAATTTTGTGTGATCTACAGATAATTGTTTGTTTGATTCCCAAGAAGGGTTGACGTTAGGCAGGCGGCCCGTCGTAAAAAACCAAGCCAAAACCATTTACAACATGATTCACGTGCCGACCCAGGAGGAATAAGGGCAGGAGGATTACTGCCCTTATCCCTCCTGGGTATATATAATAATAATCATCATCATCCGATGATGATTATTTTAAACAACTGAAACATGTTTGATAGTATCCAACTAATTTTTTTCTTCTAAAAAGTCCAGAGTTATCTTCACTATTCAACACTGGTTCCATACGTTTAGTAAGAAAAATGCCCGATGTCAGCTTACTATCACACTCTCAGGCCATCTCTGCTTTCCGCACAGTACCAATTTGAATCGAATCAAAACTTATTCGCTACTATTTACCTAATCCGAATTTTAGAACTCACAAACGCTGGGCATAAAGGTCTCAGTTTTAAATTGAAATACGAAAGCCTACTATTAGTAAATGCAGGAAAATAAATTGTAGGCGTTGAGTTTCGACTTGCTCTGCCAGCAATAGAGGTCGATATTATCTGTCGTGAAATGTTATGTCATCTAACACTTATACGTCCCCATGCATAAAACTTTCGACGTCTATGAACAGGGCGATGCGTATCGACACTATTTTGACCGCGTCCTCACCAGTAGCACCGCTTTTGGTATCGATATAACTTAACGCTTATCTGGCGTCAGAAATCAAATATCCTCTAACGTGGTAAGACTATTCGGCCATACAACCCATGGCCGAAACCCTTCACTTTGCTACTTATCGCCAGAATAAAAACTACTAGTTATGAGGACAGTTTACATTTTTTTTATGTGAGAAAGTGGCAAACGAGGTGGCGGTTTACTTGACATTAAACGATAACCGCCGCCCGTTGATCCTACTATTCTTTCTTTTACTTCTATTAAAAAGTGGCATCGCATTTGCAACTCGCGTTGCCTGCGTTGCGACCTTTTAATAAAGCGGGCTAACCCCCTCACCAGACCAAACGCAGAAGTGTTCGTTCGTGCTTCTACGTTCCCCCGGTCTTCTATGAGGTCGTGGTACTTACCCGGAGGGACCTGCCCGTGCAACAGCGAATAGTATTGCATGATCTCATCACAGTTAATTTGTTTTATTAGATTGATTCGTTTACCTACTTAATCTCTGCAGAGAAGGCAGTGGATATTTTTACCTATTGGTGTCCTAAAAATGTATTCAACTTATTTACAATTTTTAAATTATCTTTGACTAAATTTGTTCAATTTCTGATGTTTTTTTTTTTGGCATTTTACGAGCACGATGAAACCCGTTAGTTTTGTTAGAAGACTCCGTTGATCCATAGTGCGTGGTCACTCGGTCCTGTCGTGAAGGGCGGCTATCGAGTATCTGTCGTGCTATCGAGCAACGGTGTGACACGTGGCCGTGTTTCAGCTGAACGTGCAAGGTGGCAATGGCAGCGAATACGGCGCCGGGGCGGCGGCGCTCAGCTCGGGCTCAGCATCTTCGGGCGCACAGTCGCCGGCATCGCCTCCACACGCGCACCTGCCCCTCGCGCCACATGCGCATGCCCACGCCCACGCGCACGCCCACGCGCATGCACACGCCCACGCGCATGCGCACGCGCCCCACGCTCACACTGCGCACCAGTCGCCGAGGCTCCGCGCCAAGGAGGAGGACTTGTCCGCTCACGGCCGCGCCAGCGCTGACGGTGAGTGTCCGTGTGCCACTTAAGTATACAGGAAGTACCTTACGTACCTTAAGTATAGGAAACTATTCTATTAAAACAAGTTGTTATTAGTGTTGTTGGCATGCGTTCGCTTTTAAGGAAGATCACCTGAACGTTTTGTTCGCCTAATCCACAGTCTGAAAACATTTGGAATAGAATAGAATAGAATAGAAAATCTTTATTGATCGTAAACAAACACCGTTTACAAAAAAAAAGAGAATAAAATAACTAATTTACATATAAATACAATTAATAATTTTCTTAATATCGAATAATAAATACAAAGTCGGTGTATGCGACGACCAAAAGGTAGTCAGCTCAGCATAATGCTACGGTTGAGGTAGCACTGATTTTCAGCTGACGCCTACGAAAGTGAGTCAGTCACGGACAATCTGGATGCCTAGTAGAAATTAAAGAAAAATATATACACATATAAGAAATATATAATACATGATATACATATACATTAGATATATATACATACACACACATATATGCACATATATATACACACACATATATATGTATTTCACCAATGTTGTATAAGGACCAGTGCTTTGCCAATTTATGTGTCGGAGTTTAATTTTAAATTGTATTGAGCCATTTTTGCTGTCACAGGGGAAGGTTCAAGAGAAAGTGTGTCGTCCAGTTCATGTCATTTTTTGTGTCAGTAAAAGATAGTTTTTTAGCTTAAACTTGAAAGCAGCCCACGATTTGGTAATCCGTAATGGTGGTGGAAGGTTGTTCCAGCATTTTGTGGACGCATATCTGAAACTTCCCCGAAATGCAGCAGTACGGTGAAGTTGTGTACAAAGTAAGTACTGTGACGCTCGCGTGCTATGCTGGTTATGATCCTTTGACCAACTCAACTTATTCCAAAGGTATGGAGGGGATTGATTTTTAACAACGCCAAAAAGCAATGACGCAAAATGAAGTTTTCTTCTCTCAGACATTTTAAGTCTGTTAGCCTGATTGAGATAGGGCGTTATGTGTGACCGAGGTGGCACTGGGAAACAGAACCGAATGCATGCATTTTGGACTCTTTGTATCAGACGTTCTGTTTTTGAGAACAAGCACGGGCCATATACTGCATCTCCATAATTCAGTTTAGATAGTATCACAGATTCACATAAGTTCATACGAACATCTACACTTAAGTAATTACGAACTTGGTATAAGAGCTTGAGAAGGTAAAAGCAGTTTCGCACTGCTTCAGTTATGTGATTTTCAAAACGTAAGTTACTATCCAGTATCACACCTAAGTTACGTGCTTCCGAAACCTGTTCTATAGGCACACCGTTTATATTCACATTAAACCTAAAATTGGAAACTTCTGCAATCTATTTCCTAAAACCAAATAACAGATACTTGGACTTCACGGGATTCAAAACTGGACAGTTATTGAATGACCATGTAGCTATACGCTTGAGATCATTGTTTATGTTATCTATGGCTGACAATGTATCTCCAGGATAGAAAGAATGATATAATTGCACATCATCAGCGTAAAGATGGAACCTACAGTTGCGTATACAAGATGTTATATCCGCACTGTAACATTTGGCAAATGAAATTGTTCAGGCGGCGGTTCCTCCGAGTCGGAGGGCGAGTGCGGCGGGGCGCGGGGGCGGGCCCAGTACGTCAGCGCCAACTGCGTGGTGTTCACGCACTACGCGGGCGACGTGGCCGCCGTGGTGGACGAACACTTTGCGCGGGCACTCGCCGTCGACAAGCCCAAAGGTAAGCAAGCCCCTTGCCTTTATTCCAGTAACAACAGTAAATCAACTCTATAAACAAAACACATCTATCTTCCTAACTATGACGCTTGCATTTCCCAGCTATGAATCTCCACATAGGTTCACAAAAACTATCACAAATGAACTATCATGACTACCATAAATGTCTCATGACATTCTTTTATTGTTCTATGCCTCATACCGCGAAGCGGTTGAGGTTGTGCTCTGCTCTCGCTCGATACGTTAAAGTGCTAAGTGCTCTTAAACCGCCTATACCGATATATATATATATATATAATAAGGATAAAGGCTAAATAAATAAATGAATAACAACAACTACTTACCTATTTAATATTAATAGCCTAATACCCGTTTTTTTATTAATATGGTTTTTTTATAGAAAACTAGCTGACCCGGCAAACGTTGTTTTGCCATATAAATTGTTTCTAGAGGAATCGGATCGCGTTCCAACATCGTTTGACAGGTTACACAGACATAGTTGTCAGGTACAGTTTGTATGGGAAAATAAAATTGTTGCTATTTCGATTTTCCATGCAATCTTTCCATAATTTCTCATAGTTTAAACCTTCCCAGGACTGCCACAAATATTTCAAAACCAAAATTAGCCAAATCGGTCCAGCCGTTCTCGAGTTTTAGCGAGACTAACGAACAGCAATCCATTTTTATATATAATAAGACTAGCGGCCCGCCCCGGCTTCGCACGGGTAACAATAAGTTTAACAAAAAATTTAAAAATTATCATACATAAAACCTACCGAATGTTTCGTCTGTGGTGAATAATTTTATGAATTTCTTAATCTTTTAATAAAATACCCTTGAAATTACGTCATGGAGATCGAAAGATCGCTGACCAGATAATGGTTCCGCTTTAATTACGGGACATTCGGGGTTACACGTAAAAGTGACAAATAAGTCTGGTCTCCCATAGCTTCAGACATAAATCATCGCATCTTTGGTTTTTCAATGCAGATAATTCGGAGAACCTGTAAATGAATATGACGTGTTAGATTACGCGTTGACCGATATTTGATGGGCCAATGTCTTGATTTAAAGCGTCTCTAAGATGAATTTTTCACCAGCCCTCAGTCTCTGATGATTACGACGTAATATGTAATTCAATCTTTCTGATATCTTTTTGCCATCGTATCGACAATGTAATGAATAAAAACCGGCCAAGTGCGAGTCGGATTCGCACACGAAGGGTTCCGTACCGACCTCACAGAAGACCAGGGTAAAATAGAAGTGTTATACTTCTACTTTTCGTCTGGTGAGAGAGATTGCCGGGGCCCACTTTATTTAAAGATGGCAACTCATTTGCAACCCTACAGGGCGGCGCTTATTACTTAACATCAGGTGAACCGCCAGATCATTTGCCACTCTATCCCATTAAAAAAATCATGTTTTAATATCTTTATTCAATATAGAAGTATTAGACTTACATATTGACAAAAACACTACTACTGTCAATATTATCTATAAAACCGGCAAAAAAATCATGTCTGTTTTTTGGGAGGCCCTCTTATTTATATTTTTTTTTTGTTTTTTAGTCTTTGTTGTTATAGCGGCAACAAATGACAAAGAAATACATCGTTTGTGAAAATTTCAACTCTCTAACTATCACGGTTCATGAGATACGGCCTGGTGACATATGGACAGACATACGGACATACAAACAGACAGCGGAGTCTTAGTAATGGGGTCCCGTTTTACCCTTTGGGTACGGAACCCTAATAAGTCCCAGTAATAATGTAATGGATTAAAACAGGTAGCTCTAACCATCGACCTAAATGCATAAAATTGCATGCATGTCACAGTTTTGTTACACACAGTACCTTGCTGAGGAATAGTCAAATATTAACCGTCTTCTCCTATTACGACTATTAAGAGATATTTTCGTGGATCATACAATCGGTGTAACTCAGAGACCCTTTTAAGTTGGCCATATCTACCGTGCAACAGTATATCTCTAGGGCCTTTTTAGGGTTCTGTACCCAAAGGGTAAAACGGGACCCCATTACTAAGACTCCGCTGTTGACAGAGGGACAAACAGACGTTTGTCCCTCTGTCAACAGGCTGTATCTCACGAACCGTGATAGTTACACCGTTGAAATTTGATCTGGGTATTTGTTTCCGAAGGAGGGTTGACGTCAGGCAGGCGGCTGGTTGTAAAAATATAGCCAAAAATGCTTACAACATAATTCATGTTGTATCGATCCCACCTAGGTGGGAGAGCGGCAGGAGGATGATGATAACTTGTATACTTGTCCCTCTATTTTAAAAGTTCACGCTAAACGAAATCATTTGAAAGAGGCTATTGCACTTTCGAATGTTGGTTAAAAATGTCTAGATGGTGAATGATTATTCGTTAGAAGATTTTTTATAGGCTGTGGCGGCTCCTCAATATTGGGGAGACTAACTTTTTCAGAAGCACAGCACATACCATTTCGTTCATCAATCCATTTTTTGGCAGAGCACTTAAAGCAGATCTTATTCATGGCTCCGAATTGGACAAAAGACTGTTGAGCTTAATGCATTAAAGCTGATCGGTTACTGTGAGCTAAAACTCTATTACGAACTCTAATCGTTGACGTTTGTTGTTTTTCCCTCTAATCTCGTAGGCGTTCGGAACGCTCAGAACTCGACTCCCTAGTGTGAATTTGTATATTTATATTATTATGCTCTTCAAGCCGCTGCAAACACTACTTGAGTCTCTCCGACTTGTAAGACTATTTTCAGGTTCCGGTAAAGATTCCTGATTACGACTTATTTTTGATGCCCTCGCCTGGGAACTATTTCTAGAAAGATGAGATCTTTAAAATGATAAAAAAAATTAAACTGCCTTTGTATTTGATAATTTGCTAACTGTCGAACAGGAATTACCAGTATAAATGTGACTGAAAAATTATAATAATAGTTAAATTAAATATACTAACATTTTTATACTTGTGATATCTCTCGAATGGAATGTCCGAATTTTATAATTCAAAAAGTTATATAAAGATATTGAAACAGTCTTAAATATGAAGTAATTTATTTTTATAAGGATTAATACCAAGATACAAATTAAGAGCCTTTTCTAGCGGCGGCATTTCAATCAAAATTTTAAAATAAATGAACACTTATTGTGGCATAACCATAATAGTTAGACATATGCTGTCGCGACACTTTTTGTAAATAATGATGTGTTCTGCAAAGTCGTAGTACATTATTTTATTCTATCATCAATAGTTTTCGCAGCGCACACGATGTAAAGAATATTTTAGGTAATTTTTGTACACTTTGGGTTACATTATTGAAGTTTTAGTAAGGATCCCTATTATAATATAGCCTATACCAACCGGGGATAATGTAGCTTCCCAACAGTGAAAGAATTTTTCAAATCGGCTCAGTAGTTTCGGAGCCTATTCGATACATACAAACAATCAAATCTTTCTTCTTTATAATATAGAAGACATAAAGTTCCCCATTTACACTTTTTTTACATATTTAAAATATACAATGTCATTGGTATAGTTGATTTTTCTTTTCTTATAATTTAAATGAGTGGCACGAGGTGTGCACTTTTGGATTTTTCAAATTTTTAATTTGTGCAATATAAAATAAAAATTAATTAAATTAAATTAAATACATTTAATTAAATACATCCTTTTCTTAATTATTATTATCTTGAATATTATTTGCTTTTATTTCCTCGTTATTTTGAAATCGTCTGTAAAACGTTGGTGACAAGAGCCGTAGATTATCAACATCCAATGTTCACGACGATTTATAGTCGAAGTGGTCGAATACGCGTTCCGTTCACTTCAATTTGTTCGAACGCCAATATTTACGTTCATTGGAGCTTAGAAAAATGTTACCAATCAATCAATCAATCAATCAATCAAAAATCTTTATTCAAATAGACGCTTGCGCGTTCTTATGAATCGTCAAAATTTTACATCAAAAATTATACATATAGATTCGTAAGGTACCACCGGCTCGGAAAGCAGTTTCTATTGAGAAGAGACCGGCAAGAAACTCAACAGTTATGCCAACTTAACCATGCTTAGGGCATATAATTGCTTTTCCACTTTTGACATTTACTTCCAGTAACACAGGTAGCTTACTTACGAACGTATTAATTTTTATGTAAAATTTTGACGTTTCATAAGAACCTATGTGGATAAAGATATTTTAAATTTGAATTTGAAGATAGAGTAAATTTAAATTCACTTAAATTAAGACGTTTCGGTATTTAAGTATTGTAATATCGTTAACAGTTTAGTCACAGTTGAAATTACATTTTATGTACAAGTTTTTATGAACGTTTATTTTGATCAGAAGCAGTTTAATTTGACTTTTTAATAATTGTAATTATCATTACATCTTTGTATTGAAATCTTATGAATTACTCCGTCATTTTTATTATTTTTCTGTTTATACTAGTAACAACATTCTAAACGAAAATAAACTGTACAGTTTTATGATTAAAAATGTCGTAAATGTAAAAATAGAATGTATCCGTTTCAGAATAGAACTCTATAAAAGGAAAAGATAAGTTAATAATAACAAATAATGACAAAAATAGCCGTGATAGCTCACTGTCCGGGTGCTCACTTTTAATTCAATATACTCGAACAACCTGAGTTCGGTTCCCGATAGCGGCATCAATGAAATTGTTAATTTTAAGTGCTGACTTATCACGTGCTCAGCGTTGAAGAAAAACATTAAGAGAAAACCTGCATATTTTCGAAATAATAACAAAAATATATTTCTAAAATATGTGAAGTCCATCAATCCACAGTGGTGGATTATGCTAAAGGGTATTAGCATACTTTACTTTAGTATCTAGTGTTTTTTTATAACAAATATAAAAATAACAAAATGAAAGGAGCTCAGTAGGGACTCGGGAGTTTCGATCAGGCCACTCCGCCTGCGAGGGAAGGACGCGGCTGCGCATAGTTTCCGATTTCCGAGGAGTCACACGAGTCCTCCATATAAATCAGCCGGCGATTCGCAGAATTAAATGGTTAGGTGGCTGCTGTCAAATGGGAATTTTATAACGTTCAATAGGGAAATCTCCGTGCCGGGGGTGGAGGGGAGCGGGTGTCGGAGAGTAGGAGGAGGAGGGGGGGAATGTTAATGTCCCGATGGGCTCGAGCCGAGAGATCAAACGGCGGCGGCTAATTAGCGATTCCCGCGGAGAAAAACGGGCAGCGGCGAGAGCGCTGCGAGCCCCGACGGTTGAATGGACGTTGCGTTACTCGTCGCCATGTCCTTAGCATCGGCACAGACGGACGCCGGCGTATGAGCGTGTCTTGGTGCTTCACGTGTTTTCCGTTTGCCATTATTAGTGGATAAGGGTATAAAGGCTTTTAATTTATAATGGCAAATCGCATCGAGAACGTTAATAACAACTTGACTTGAAGTTACACAAATCCACGATCGATAGTTTTATGTATTATTTAGTATCCAAATACCAGCAAAAGATAAGGTTGAACGCTTAGTACCGTTTCAACTGTCGCCACCAAAAGCCTCAAGAAAAGCATAATACTAGCAATGGACTGTTATGACCTTACGCGCCCATGACGCACGTTTGTTCCTGAAGATTTGCCACCAGACTTGAGCAGGTGAGAAGCTATCCAACAAACCCACAACATCAAAAACAAAACTGGAAGCGAGAGACGAGAAAGTCGACCTTCTCGATGTAACCGCAGGGTCAAGCAGGAAGCCACGCCGCGAGTGAATTGGCTTCACTCCAATGATCGTGTTGCTCCAGATCTGCCTTTTGATGTACATTCGCAGACTGATTCAAAGCTTTATACATTTTTGTGCCTTTTATTGGTAAATTCTCCAATACGGAGATTAATGAGTCGTCTTACTCTAATGTGCACACAATTAACCAGACCTTTTTTGTTTTTGTTTTTTATATAACTGATGTTACGCTTTCAGTCCTAAGACTATTAAAGCTTCATCTAACGCCGAACCGGTGGACTAGCCAGAAGGGCTCGTAGGCGACATGTTACAACTAGGGCCGCGCATGTACTCATCATCGGCTATCGAGGTTCGGCGCGGACCGTGACCCCGATGGCCGTTGACTGTGCTTGGTTAGTCGGTGGCTGGGGGCGATGAGAACCGCCCTGGTACGCGGCTGTACGTAGTGTACGCGTTGTGTTGGTTTCGCCGTGCTCGAAGGCGAGGACGAACTATGGTGTTTGTTGATGCATTAACTGAGTGTGTAGTGTTACCCCCGACGGTAGGTCCGATTTAACCAGACTATTAAAATTAGTAGTAGTTACTAAGATATGCACGCAACTTGTCTCTATTTAATTCATCTCTAGATAAAGCGTCTCAAAAACAATGTTGACAAATCCAATTCTCCCTCCCGGCCAACGTCTCGCTTAAAGCCTGTTCCATGTTTAGGTAATTCGGATTTAAGCGCTAATTGTACGCCACGCTCGTATTGCAGATACGCACACTCGGTTCGCGCTCGAAAGCATACGCGTTTAGCAACGGACGGAGCGCTGCCCCGCTGCGGGCTCTGCCATTATGTTAACGTATGCACATTTAGTTAGCGGCCGCCGGGTGTAATGACTCGCCTCGCCGCGTATATTCATCAGTTTCATTGACAGACGCAAAAACCGGCTCAACGCGAGTATTCGCAAAGCGCTGCGACGCCTCTCATTGCAATGGCGCTCTATCTTTCTCCTAAATACATCCGCAACGGACCACTTGCACCATACTTTACTAGGCACAGGGCAACAAATGGGTGAGTGGTTTAGATATTATGTCAAAATTTTGTATACATTACTTCTCGTCTTTTCCGGTGGCCGAAATGTGTATAAAAATGGCTGAATTAAGACTGAATAAAGTTGAGTAATTTACAAACCAACAGTGCAAGAGTGAGTGGACACAATTTCAGCGAATGGCATCGATAATACGACCTACGAGTACATACACAGAGGCAAAAGAGACGAGTACAGGAGAATTTTTTTTGGTAAATCATTTATTTTGGAAATAAAAACTAAAGAAATGATCTGGTATAGAAAAAAGAGTAAAAAAAAGTTTTAAAAAATAAGTGTGTAAATGATCGTAAGACGAACCGCGGCCGTCTGTTTTGGGGCCGCCCCATTACCGATCCAGCTATTATATTATATTTTTTGCGGCGAAATTTACTACTACTTTTAAAATGAAACTAGCTAGATCGATATTTCGCCCCCGAATCTACGCACATACTAAATTTCATGAAAATCGCTGGAGCCGTTTCCGAGATTCCGATTATATATACAGCGTGTTACCATCGCGACAATAAATGAACACACGTCTAACGCTACTTGCCAATAATTATAATAAAATATAAACGTTTAACAAAATCCATAATTAAAAGAAAATATTTTTCAAACAAACTAATTAAGTAAAAAAGAAACAAAATTTGTAACATTCTATACAACTCGCGCCACAGCGTCGCATTACAAGTCTCTCCTTCTAACAGTATGTTTTGTCTCTTTTTAATTCATTCAACCCATTCATATGCTTTGTGACCTTTACAAATGAACTTTACGTTACGCTTTTATAGGTAAGGGTGTTCTAAAATTCTTTGTTTTGGAAAATTTAATAACTCTTTAAATATTGATTTTTAAAGAATTTAAATGTTTAATACAACTTTAAAAAGTTATCCCCTATATATATAAAAAGGTCCCGTTTTGCAATGCAAATGCAAAAGTACAAATTCTTTACTCCGGCGCCGGTGCCCTTTAAGGCCGTGGTACCTTTGCATGGGACAGTCACGCGGCGGTTCTAACAGTAATTGATTATATAATAAATTACTGTGTGTGGATCATATAATCCTTCTGGTAACAATGTCAAGAAATCAGTGATCAGTAATGGATCACAATCGACTGTTTAGAATTTTGTCGTTGTAATAAAATTGTTTAGGATTTGTTTTTATTTTTAGTGCTAGTCTCTGCAGGTGGGTAGAACGCCTGGGCGCGAAACCAGAACACGCGGGTTCGAATCCCACAGCGCCGAAAGTTTATGTGTAGTTCATTTATCTACAAAATTTACAATTTATTGTAATAAAATTAATAAAAGGTTCTACTAGTTTTTATCCTACCAGCATAGAGATAGATAGTGGATGTTTCAGGTTATAGAATCTCAAACACTTGATGATAAAAATTCCGACAGAAATACGAAAAAAGGTAATTATACATGTATACATTGCACCTGTACGAAGCCAGGCTGGTCGCTAGGAATTAGTAAAAAAATAGTAGTAGTAGTAAAAAAATTAAATAAATAATAAAGTTTTGTACTGTGGTAGAACCACGCAACAATGTTCACTGTTGCATGAATGGGCAGGTCCGTCCGGGTAAGTACCGCGACCTCACAGAAGACCAACGTAAAGTCGAAGTGTTACACTTTCGCGTTTCGTCTGGTGAGTGAGGTAGCGGGGGCCCATTTTATTTATAGGTGGCAACACACCCCTACGGGATTTGTAAATGTCAATGGGCGGCGGTTATCAATTTTCACGTTTGCCACTTTCTCACATAAAAAAAAGTCTTTTAAGGATACGACTTGCGGTACAGCTTTATTTTTAACATTTCCTTTTCTTTCCGAAATAGAATGAAGTAAATGCAATCGCTATGATGACCAAAATTTAAACAGCCTGTGGCACAAATTAAACCATTTTTGGTTATTCTCTGTACTTTTAGATTAGGTCATCCTTTAGGCCAGTAAAAATTAAGGGCATAGTTTGCAAGATAACAGCCAAAAACGTTTTTTCAAGATGGCGTTTGAAGCATTCTGACAGCATTTTGGTTCTATAATCAGTAAGTGATCATAAATCTTATGGAAAATAAAATCTGAATCGGTAACTTAGTTCGAAAAATGAACGAAAATACGTCTATTTTTACTGGTGTACTTGCCGCTTTATTTAGTAGGTTAAATTACCTATTTTTTTTTAAATTTCACGCTGAAAGATGATAGTGGTGTCATAATAGACACTCATGTAGACAGCTATTTAAGCCGCGGGCCAAGGTCTGTGGCGAACCACGTCACTTGGCACCGGCGCACATCAAAGCGGTGAACCCTCTCCTCGGAAGCCAATAAGACAAGCGACAGTCGAATCGTCGGAATGTGCCCGTGGGAAGACGCGTACAGGGCGCGCGGCCGCGTTCCTGCAACCTGCTGCGATGCCCACGGCGCGCGCTCCCCATTTTTAAGGGTTTACTTAACTAGAAACATGGGAATCAGAAGCAAACAACACGATTTATTCGAGGGAAAAAGGAAAAGAAATAGCAATTTAACTGTACATTATAAAATTAACTGTGCAAGTGAGATTTGCCTAGCAGATCAGTCTTCATAAATAGGGCAAAAATAAATTATACTAAAGCTGGAAGTATAACGAACGTTCTAATTTCAGAATAAAATCTGAAATTAGAACGTTTACCACCTAAGATCAGTATTGTGGCCAATGAATTATAATAAAAACCGGCCAAGAGCAAGTCGGACTTGCCCACGAAGAGTTCCGTACACTTTTTTAATTAATAAATAAAAATGAATGTTAGTAAGCGCATAAGTCAAGAACGGCTGGACCAATTCAGCTAATTTATTTATTATATGTGCCTTAAGGTCCACGGAACGTTTTTAAACTATAAAAAAAGAACGAAGTCTGTCCGGGCAGCTATTTTTTTTTTATAAATTTTATTTACGTTATTGTCGTACATAAATAAAATTCACTGTTATCCCAACAACTGTTCAGTGGACTAAAGGTTATAAAGATAAATCATCATCATTCACTTACCCTTATCCCACCCAGGTCAGATGACAACATGTGAATAATATTGTTAATGGTATTAGCTAGGCTTTTATGACTGGAACAATCGATACGCCGCAGCCAATAGCTTAAGAACTCACCCTCGAGTTTATTATCCGATACATAAAGTTGACTTTTGTAAATTAATGTCCAATCTATTACATCTCCCTTCCTGCTGGATTGCAGTGTGTGCACAGTGTGTGCGCTTTTATAGTGATCGTCTGCAAACTCAAAGGCTTGTTTCTAAAAACGTTGCGCTATCAAAATCTCTAGTAACAATCCGCTAAGGATCGGAGCCGAGCTGGCCTTAGGTCCGGGGGCGAGCAATGTGACTTTTATCGGTGTTTTTGCCACGGCCCTGGGCGGCCGTTCAAAGCGCTGGCCGGCGGCGTTTTTGCAGGACCGCAGCCGCCGCCGCGTTTGGGGCGGGCGCGTTTTTCGCCCGGGCCGCAAGGAATCTGGGCCGCGGCCGCTGGTATATCACTGCTCCATTGTTCCGCGCTAATTGCCGCCGCCCCTCGCTGCACCTCCCCCCCCCCTCCCCCCACCACGCTTGGCCCCCTTTTTACGGTCGCACTTGGACGCCGAAGGAATTATTATGGCGAAAAGCTATGTGTTGCTGCCCGTGGTGGCCTAGTAGCCGAGACGATTCGCGATCCGAGCTCACGTTTTGGAATCCAAGCCATGTGAAGGGAGGAGTCTCCGCTTCGTGAGTATTACAGCGCAGAAGTGATGTTAACACTCTTCACCTGATCGAGCACCTAGGGTCTTCACATTTAACTATTGTGATTTAATCATTTATAAAAGGACGGTACCTTTTTATGTTAAAAAAGGAAAGAAAGGAGTAATTGTGAAATACTTAGTAATAAACAAAAAGCAATATAAATTGGACCTCACGAGTTTTCAAGCAATCGTTATAGTCCGCGATATGACATTGGTACACGGCGGCGGAATGCGGAACGCATAAAAACGGCTTGTTTGGCAGGGTTGCCGGAGTGACACGTTGCGAGGCTTGTTTCGGCCTCTCAACACTGCACTCTCAACTGCATAGACCTCTTAGGGTAGAAACTCATTTACGACGGAATCAGCAGTGGAGTGAGCTTAAGGAGGGCAGGTGGGAAACGGCCAGCAAGGAAGGGCCGAGTGCTGATTTATCGGACGCGTGTTCCGCGAAACGGCCGTGTGTTTTTTCGCTTCGCGGTAGCCAGGACCGGCGCGGCGCGAGCACCGCGGACGGACGGACGGACGGGGGGGGGGGGGGGGGGGGGGGTGGTCGACGATAATCGCCAAAGCTATTCTCTATTGTACCTACCTACACTCCGCCATGTTCGATCATCGCCTCTCAAAGACGGATCGAAAATTTTAATATGGTAACAAAGTAACGGATTCTTATTGGAACCTATGTGGTCACAATAATAAATGTAATTTTTGGGTAAATCGAGACATGCACTAGTTTAGTAATGACATTTAAAAGACCTTAATCAATTGGCAACTTTCGCGCCACCTCGGGATGGCAGCGCCAGTGGCGTGGGACGTTCGACATCGACGATCGACGATCGTTGATCGGCATCGAGACGTGACGGCGCACGCTCCCGACGGAGGAGCGAGCGGTTTTTCCTAGCGGCTATCTGCTATGGAATATATTGTTATGAATATGTATCGCGTATCGCGCGTGGGCGGCCTCTTGACGACTCCATTGCCCGCGCAAATCTAATTCAAAGACTTAGTTCGACTCTCGGACGTGATTAATATGCATACCGGACGTCAACACAGCGGCGGGCACACTTATCCGTCATTTTAGCACGAGCAAACTCTGGTGAATAGTATACATAAGTAATTCTCTCTATACATGTGACCATACTAACAAAGATCATAGGTAAGGCCTTCAAAAGTCAATTTTTGAAGGCCTTACCTATGATCTTTGGATCCAATGATTGCATTGGTACATCGTGTAATGATTAGAACTAGATTTCTACATTCCTATACTAAATCAATTCGTTTAAATTTGAAGTTAACTAAAACCGTGAAGTTCAGGAAATTTAGACTCATGACTTTTGAAGAGCAATATTACGTTATTAGGTACATTTGTTCTTAATTCCCTTCATACATTCATTAAGACGATTCGCGTATACAACAACATTAAACTTCCCCGTTCAAATGAGATCGTCTGCGGCAAAGGTGACACATTCGTTATAAACAACCCTACATAATACTTTTGTTACTCCAACGCACTGACGACTCTTTGGTATGCGGTGGAAAACTTTCCGATGACTTAATACGTAAGCATAAACATACCACGTGTTTAATTTACTTGCATAATCTAGCACAAAATGAATTATTGAATTGTTTTCAGGTAGAAAAGTGCAACTTTCTTCTTTATTCTTATCGAAATAAGAAAGTTTATGTCGTGATATTTCACTGTTCAGTAAACATAATCAGGCTATGAAAAAATTCCAATCAATTATTAATGTACTGGCTTTTTATTTGTGTCATACCGGACGTAAATAACATTCGGCCAAGTTTCTCATTACGTGTCGAATGTCCATTTTTATCTCAACAAGTCTAACAAACTCATTTGTTTTAATTCTAATTTCATTTCTTTGATTAAATCATTCACTTGCTTACATTTTTTGTATAATAGAGTAATTATTAGTTAATCTTATTCAAGAGCATTGTCAGTAAACTTTAAACTGTTTCCCATTGCTTATTTATATTTTCTACTAAACGGTTAACATTTCACGCGCCATTAGAATCGCCTTTTTGATTTGTGTTTTTTATCGTTTTATAAGCTACGTTTACGTTTCCTAAGCTTTCGTTTACATAGAACGGCAATAACAATAAACAATCATACAACTGGTACTATGGATATTTATCAACTGGTTATTCCCGGAATATGAGTTTGTATTGAAATAGGTATCTACTTACAATTTCAGTTATATATTTATTTTAAGTGATTACCCCTGCCCATTGATATCTTCAACACCCGTGGGGTTGCAGTAAAGTTACTTTGTGGGTTAACGGGCTTTAACGGGCTATAACGGGCTTCCGGTTACCTCACTCTCCTGACAGTACGCGAATGTATACTTCTGTGCGTAAAAGCCACCCGTTTCTGTGCCGTGTTCATGCGGCCTGGGCGCTTCCCCAGACGAGACCAAGCTAAGAGCAGAAGAGGCTGCATGTCCATGCTACAAAGAAAATTTCTTAATTATTTTTTACAACATGTACAAGGATTAAATGTATTTACAAATTATAAATAAACCATGATTTGTTTAAGAACACGATTATACGATTAGATATACGATTAAGTGATGGCTGATGAGTTTTAATAAATTTTTTATCCCTTTAAAATAAGTATTTTTCTAAATGATCTATTTAATACCACAACTAAAATATTTAATGTTAACGATAACATTTTATACTAAAAAGATGTTAAAACATGCTTTGTTGTGGATCACTGGTGCCTGTATTAGGTATTAAATACCGGTAAGACACAGTCACCCGGTCACCACCCTATGGAATCTTTTAATACAAAACCAAAAGCTTGTACCATTCAAGAGAACAAAGTAATGACAGGAAAACATACAAAAAATACAGAAATTGAAATAAAAGCTTAAATAAATTTCTACATACCTATGCGCGCCCTTATGCGTGTGACAATAATTAAGAATCTCCATAGGTATGTCTTCAAAATATGCGAGTTATTTTAAAGGTATATCGAGGTTCTCTTAAACCCGTGTTTTTTTTTTTTAATAAATGTCTCTTGAAGAAGGTAATCGTTTGTACAGGTATTAAAGTATATTTGTATATCAATAAAGATCTTTGAAGACCCTTTCATTATAAATGCTTTGTCTTATTGAATTATTTCTAATCAGAGAATAAACTATTCTGAAAGGTCGAGGTATCCGTCATTTCTTTGTTCTTATTCTACACGGAAATGCCGTTTGTAGTTTTGGAGGGTTCTTTAAACACACAATATCTTTAAGGGCGAATTTATCAAAGAGTAAAGTTTTTATTATTCTATGAGCAAGCGCGCTTTTCTTTGTTTATCTAATGCCAATTCTGGATTACGTCTAATTTTTCTAACCACTGTAAAAGTGCAGGGAAACTCTCAGCCTTATCTCTGGATTGCGGACTGGCGATTGTTTGCTCGCTTCTTAGAAGTAGTGGCACGATGTTGAGGTGGTGCGCGGTTGCAGAGAGCGTGCCGCTGGCGTCGCGCAACCTGCCCGCGTCGTTCTTCAACGCGGCGGCGTGCGGGGCGGGCGGCGGCGGCGCGGGCGGCGGGGCGGGCGGCGGCGGCTGCGGCCTCGAGCTCTACGAGTACGACCCGTGGCACCACCAGCCGTACGGCTACGCGCGCGACTACGGCGGCCACGTGGGCTACGGCGGCCTGCTGCTCGGCCGCGGCGGCCTCCACGCCCAGTACAAGCCCGTCGAGTGGGGCGCACAGCACGCGCACCACACCCACCTCGACCCCGCCGCCTGCGCGCCCTACTCCTACCCGGCGGTGCCCGGTCAGTACCACGCCACCACCACCGCCGCCACGCGGACAAACAAACACACGCGCACACACACCAGTCAGCGTCCCATTCATCAAAGACCTTCATTGTTAGGAGGCTTACCTTTGCACCTTGCCATCCACAATAATCGTGAGTTCTCAGTGGCAATGCAACCTTCTACATAGTAGGCCCCACTCACGTCAGATAAAACGCAAAAGTGTAAACAGTTTAACTTAACACGGGTCTTCATCAAACCTTCGACCCTGATCGACCGACCGGTAAGATGCCTATTCGTGCGATAGCAACATCTGGTGCGTGGCTCTGCTAAGACTAATTATTGAAATCTACACGTTTTAGTCATGCACAGTTTAAAACTAGAAGAACTCTAACCTAAGTTAATGACTAAAGAGACAAAACAAATTTTAAATTATGTCATTTGAAATTATGTCGCTTGTTTTTTTACGAATATAGGCAAGCAGGCACCCTTTTGTGTTGGTGTCCTAATTTTATATAACAATAGCTGTGCCCGCGACTTCGTACGCATGGAATTTAAAATAAATAAAATATATCACATCAGCTATCCGCCAGTGAAAGTCCCGTCAAAATCGGTCCAGCCGTTTCAGAGATTAGCTGGAACAAACAGACAGACAAATATTGTAAAAAATATTACTTTGGTGCATACACCAAAATAATGCATATGCACGTATACACAGTACATATACTGTGTATATAGCGTGTCTTTACAATCGCGACAATAAATGAACACACATAAAGATGACAACTTTTTAAAATTGTATTAAACATTTACTTTCTTTAAACATCAATATTTACAGAGTTATTAAATTTTCCAAAACAAAGAATTTTAGAACACCTTTACGTATAAAACTATAACGTAAAGTTCATTTGTAAAGGTCACAAAGTATGTGAATCATCATCATCATCATCATTTCAGCCTGTTTGAGTCCACTGCTGAACATAGGCCTCCCCCACAGACTGCCATGAAGTACGATCCTGAGCCACCTGCATCCATCGACTTCCCGCACACTTGCACAGGTCGTCACTCCATCTAGTGGGGGGTCGTCCTACACTGCGATGGCCAGTACGAGGCTGCCACTCGAGAACCTTTCTTCCCCAACGGTTATCGGTTCTACGAGCTATATGGCCGGCCCATCGCCACTTCAGCTTGCTAATCCTCTGAGCTATGTCGGCTACCTTGGTTCTACTGCGGATGTCTTCGTTACGAACTCTACCCACGCAGAGAAATACCGAGCATAGCCCGCTCCATAGTTCGCTGAGCGACTTTGAGCTTCCTCATACGGCCAGCAGTGAAGGACCACGTCTCGGCTCCGTAGGTCATCACTGGCAACACGCATGTGAATGGGTTGAATGAATTTAAAAGAGACAAAACATATTGTTAGAAGGAGAGGCTTTTAAAGCGACGCTGTGGCAACAATTGAAAGTCTCTGAATGTATGAATCAATCAGTTGTAGTTGTATAGTTGTTACAAATTTTGTTTCTTTTTTACTTAATTAGTTTGTTTGAAAAATATTTTTTTTAATTATGGATTTTTTTAACGTTAATATTTTTTTATGATTATTGACGTGTGTTAGACGTGTGTTCATTTATTGTCGCGATGGTAACGACACGCTGCATATGCATATGCATATGCATATGCATTTACTAAAAACCATTTATTTTAATATTACAAACAGACACTTCAATTTTATTTATCTTTATAGATTACATTTTATGTAATTTTTTTGTCCATTTTATTCCCATCGGAGGTACTTCAAATGATGCGCAAGGCGCGATCTCATCGATTCACACAACTCAATTTGGATCATTTGGTGAACTTACAAGTACATTACCATCATTCTTCCCTCGATTCTCTGCAACGTAAATAAAAAAAACATTGACTGCAACGATTTTATTGCGCATCTAACAGAATATAAAAAAAGTTTATGCGTCATAATAATTGTTGTTCCCATGATAAAACTGTGATAGCTCAGTGTCCGGGCGCTCGCTCCACCGATAAAGATAAGACTTGAACTTTTGTAGGAATATTCTTCGGATTTTATGAAATACCATTAAACAACGTTTGCCGGATCATCTAGTTCAATATACTCGAGCAACCTAAGTTCAAACATCGTGCCGTGAAATAGTTTCGAACGTAGTTCTTTGTTGTTTTTTAAATGCATAGAGCCGCGATGGTTCCCTATGGTTTTTTGCGCCAATTTGGGCCCTGGCCAGCCGTTGGGGCGGCGCGCATCAAAGCGGCCATCGCGTGACCTCGCATTGTTCCCGCGCGCGCGCTTTTTGCCCGACCTCCGCAGAAACTCCCCCCCCCCCCCACCCCTCCTCTCACCCTCCACCTCCCATCGGCCAGTTCTCTCCTCATTCCTTAACTACTCTGTTCATATGGTTCATTGGTGTCCGTCCACCTTATCTCGCCAATCTTAGGCGGTGGTTTTTTGGTCACGCGAGTCGTAAATATCTTCTCTACTTGCCGGCCCGGTGTCTCTTTGTAGCGGGAAGCGCTCGATCGTAAATCTCGATTATCGCCCTCCTGTCCGTCTGCCCAGCGCCGGGGAGCGCCCGAAGCCCTCCGAGGGGCGAGCGCAGAGGCACGCCCCGCGCACACGCAACGAGAGCACTTGCGCGCCATCAAAGGGAATCCGTGCGCGGCGCGGATGCTTCAATTCCGATGATTTCGCCGCGGCGGTGCCCTTTGTGCCCCCGCGCACACACGACCCCCCCCCCCCCCCCTCGGCCCGCTCGGAAATTAAGTGTATCAGCCGAGAGAGAAGATTCATCACGTCACCCGTGCAAGTGATCCGCCGCTCCAATCATTTCATGCGCGTCGAGTGAGTCAGCGTGCGCCTGTCGCTGCCGAGTGCGCTGGAGCGATCCGTCACCATTGGGCCGTGATGGGCCTTGCGTTGGAAGAGTTATACAAGTTCGATGTGCATACAGGAAGACTCACAGCATCACATTGTGAATTCTTGTCACTTTTTGAATCAATCCACAATGTCAAGCAATGCAATTTCAGCACTGCATGTAGTATTTTATTACCTATATAGCATTCATTTGTGTTAGATACTTTTAAAAAGTGTAAATACTGAAACATCTTTATTATCTTACTACATACTACATTTAAGAGAACACAACAATGACGAAAACTTGATCTACTTTTTGATGAAGACTTTTGAAGCATGTAAGCAAACATTTTATTTTGGGTTTCATGACCGTTTACCACTTTTAGCCAGGATAGCTACACACGTGTATAGGTATTTATTTATTTATTTAATCTTTATTGCACTAAAAATTGTACAAAGGCGAGCTTAATGCTATATTGCATTCTCTACCAGCTAACCCTATGTAGAATAGAGACATAATGACAAGGTATATCGGTGTTAGCGTTAGATATCTTATTGTTAGGTCAATAGAAAAATCCAGTCAATTGGGATGGCCCCTCGTGGCGCATTAGTCGCTGACCGGCCTGCTAGGTTCCCTCCGAGGCGACGCGACGTCCCGCGGCTGCGGCGGGCGAGGGGCGCGGGGTGCGGGAGGGGCAGCGGGAGATGTGCGCAAAAACCGCGGCGGCGACTTGAAAGCGCCCGCCGTCGGCCTCTAATGACGGTGATTAAAATTAATTTGCACCGCGAGGGGCGCGCCGCCGAATTAAATTCTTTAGCCGCCACTCGACATCCAACTGTCAGCACCCCCTCCCCCACCACCTCCACACCCCGTCACGCTCTACCCACCCACCATGCTCCCCCCGCGCCCCTCGACGGTTGCAACCCTCACGCGGGAGATGCGCGCTCGAGCCAACGTGATATGTGGTGTACTATTACTTCATAGTGGAGGCATGGAAATTAAGCCTCAAGCCTATAATTTTCTCAGACATAATTATAAACACCAAGTATACAACAAAAATTTATGAAGTCCCGTTAAACATTCCTTTTTCACTTCCCTATTTAGCTCCTCAACATTTTACGGGCCACTACTGTTATTCATTATGAGTTAACCAGTTGATATTGCAGACTCAGGAGACGCAGCAGTGGCTTAATATCCTAGTTACACAATAGCCGATACTATTCAGCCGCCCATATTTGTATTATACGCGTAACGTTTTAAAGATTAGGACTGGTTTGAGGTTAAAGATGAGAGACGTCCACTATGTCATAATATGTTAAAGAATTAATACGCAATGTTTACATCATCGCCTTTGATATTGTAGTTCACGTCAAAGCAACTGATCGCATGAACGCGCCGTGTATTTCCTGTTGCATAATGAATGCATACTCCTATATAGGGATATACTCGCATTACTGCTTACGCATGGCGGCCGCCCAAGGCAGCTCTGAATATTTCGTCCGCCAAACAGTGGGGTGGAGTGGGGGTGGTTCAGTGTTATTTATGACCTAATACTTTCTGCCACCCGCCCTTATCGCTCTCCGTGGAGCGCACCCCTCGTGCCACCAAGCGCCCCCTATGTGTGGTGCTTGTATTATAAATAACACTTTGTGTCAATCCTCCACTTCAATGATCACGCACCCTTATTTTCCCGAGTCATACACTTTTAAACAATTTTCTCCAAAATTATATAACAATCATGGTATGTACGTGAATTTGACCGTGAGTTGAATTCACAATAGGTACTTACTACTACAAGACCTTAACTGGCATAAAGTCTAATTAACGTTTATGTCTCGCTTCCCGAGAGGTTCACATAAAAATATTGAGCGATCATCGGCACCCAGGGGCATGTAAATTTATGGTATATATGTGATAGTTACGTTGACAAATTTTAAAGCAGTTAGCACGTGTAATCCTATGGAACATTTCAAATGCAAAATTAATACTTTCCACTGTGATCATTAATGGAATCTCAAATCTGTTATAACCAAAGTATTTTAGATTTTATATGGTGTTTTATTTTTTTACATAGAAGAAAGTTTTAATGAGCAAAATCTAGACTTACTTGTCTAAATTTTGCTTTTCTTCAATACATTTCTTGACAACTTTTTCTATACGTTTTTGAAACTTATTGTTAATCTCAATGGCTGTCTTCAATGTGTATATTGTACATTACATGTGCGTATAATAAATGTGATTGATACGCATGTATAAGTTGGGATAATATTGTGGGCAAATAGAGGAGCCGACGACATGGACGGGGCGTAATGTCGCCCTATACCCTCGCGTGTAGTGACATCGTGGCGTGGGGGTGAGGGGGTGAGGGGAAACGCTATATCCCTAATAAGAACAAAGATGCCAAAATGCGTGTTCAACGTATGAAAGAAGTTTTTTATTGTACATTTAAGACTTAAGCATACTAGAGGTGCACAGGTGTGTAAATATTTCATAGTAACCTACATAAATTAATCATTCAAGTAGGTACAGGAAAAAATAAAAGTAAAGAAAAAGTAAAGTAACAGCCTATACATGTCCCACTGCTGGGCAAAGGCCTCCTCTATACAGAGGGTATCAGGGCATAGTCCACCACGCGGCCCCACTGCGGATTGGCGGACTTCACATATTTTCGAAATACATTTTTTTTTTGTTATTATTCCGAAAATATACAGGTTTCCTCACGATGTTTTCCTTCACCGCGGAGCACGTGATAAATCAGCACTTAAAGTTAAAAACTTCATTGGTGCCGGCACCGGGGATCGAACTCAGGTTGCTCGAGTATACATTGAATTAAGGCGAGCGCCCGGACACTGAGCTATCACGGCTCCTGAGCTATCACGGCTCATGAAAAAATACAGTAGTATTTATTTGAAGGTTAAATAAAAAAAACATATTTTCGCTTATCGCCTTTTGTATTATTTGAAATAAACATATTGTGATTACTACTTGGTTATGATGACTAGCATGGTTTGGCTTAAATGTAGGCATTGCGGTTGACAAAAGTTCTTTCATCTGTGTATAATGGTTCCCGATCTGATTATCTATCTGTGAGTATTGTCTGTGTGTGTTAGAAAACCGCTCCTCAACCGCAACTTGGTTTTATTTTGATAAAGTTTGAAAAATAGGATTAGATTAAAGTGTTTCAGCGTCAGTGACGTATATCTCCGCAAGCCGTGACCCCTGGCGTGCCCTGGACTAATTTCTTCAATTTACTTTCGAGCACATGTCCTCTTCTTATGACAATCGATGCCCTTGCGTTGGCATCCAATTACGAGGGTCGTGGCGACATAGTCGGGTGGCACATGTGGGGTTTGCCCCTCGCCCCGCGGCGGTTTGCGGGGTCGGGGGAGGAGGTGGTCGGTCAATACGAAGCGGTGCCTCCGTAGGACTTTCGGCACTAGCGGAGCCCTGTATTGTATCTACAACTACGAGAATATTCATTCAAAGCGAATAGTGAAATGCCAATGCTTTGTAAAAGGAGTAGTTTAAAAATAAGTAAACGTTTAAATAGGAAACAAAGTCGATAATAGGTCAAAAAGGAACCAGCATAGACTTGGGCTTTAGCACGTGCCTAGACATGCCTAGATCAGAAAGTTAAAATTTAGTAATAGTTGTTTTAAGATGTGTGTAGTTACTGATTTTTAATAAAATACATAATAACAAGAAAATGTTGAATGACAAACAATTAAAAAAAGTTAATTAAGTAATTAAGTAATAATTTTTATGGCATCAAAGATTTTTTAATAAGACCAATTTTGAAATTACATAAATTTTTTGGTCTATTATAATTGATTGTTATTATATATTATTGATTATGGACAATTTCATTATAATTGAATTTTGTTAACTTTATATAAATAGTGCACTATAGTAACTTTATTTGATACCATTAATTATTAGGCTTATGATGAAGTTCAATATTAAAGATTTGTAACACCTAACCTTCATGTCCCATTCATATGAAACTGGTGTTTCTTATGCTCGATAATTTCTATTTTTATAACCGTTCATATATTGAAATATAACTCCCCGTGTTTACTAGTTAAATTAATAATTTTTCCAATTGTGACATGCTAGGGGTATTTTATGCCCATCTATTAAGGGCACCATCCATATTTTACGTATTGTCAGATGCTAAAAATACGCATTGATTAAAGTAAATTAAGTATCCGTTCTAATCAATATCATGAACGATACTTCAAACGGGACTAATTAGAGATTTGTACGAGGGCGCCATCTAGCGGCACCATTATGACAACAGAGACTTGAGCGGCCGCGGAGTACCTATAGACGCTTTAACATCGAATAGCCGTTAGTTTCCCGTAACAGTCTATTTGATTTCCTTGCAAGTCCATTAAGCGGCGGCCGCCCGGGGCCCACTGGAGCCGCGGCTCGGCGCTCCCGTCGTCCTGTCCGGCATTCGCTCCGCCGGCCGCTACCAGGCGCGCATAAGCGACGGGCGGTGTCCGGCCGCCGCAGCGTGGGCCGCGCTCTTGCGCCCACTTAGCGTTCGTCCAATCGCGACGCAGCGTGGCCCCGCCCGCGGGCGGCCCCGTCCCGCTGCCACTAAATCACGCGCCCTGTCAATTACCGCCTCCCCCCTCCCCGTCCGACCATCGACCGCCCCTCCCGCTCGCTCCGCACGCACGGCCAATTTAATTACTGCCTCTACCGCTCACGGGCGCTGCGGCCCCGGTACCGCACTCGCACTCACTTATCCCCCGCATAGTGTTTGTTCATCATTCCAGATTAACGGATGGATGGATCGAGGCCCTCTTAATAGAGGTTATAGACAGTTTTACAATCAAGATATCTGTTTAACATCCATAACTTGTTACTGTGTTTTTAATATGAATATTCGTTTTACGTCTAAACGTAACCCTGCCTTATTTTCTAATGCAAAAAATATCTCAATTTACTCACGTCGAAAAAATACACCATCTCATTCTTGCGTTGTATTGAAGTGTTTGGATATTTCTGGCGCAGTATTTAAATATCGCTCAATATCATTCATTCGTCGCGAGGTGTGCTTGCCGACGAGCAATGATCGCAATGCCTGGCTCGCTGCCAGAGCGCGCACTCCATCGACGCGGCTCATCTAACATCTATCTATTGTTTGGCTCGTCCAAATCATTGACATTATTCCGTAACCGATTACGAATATTACCAATGTTGTACACCTCCAAGTACCGTATCTAATTTTATATCTCCTTTTTTATATCTAATTTTTTTATATTTATTTTTATACGTCTGTTAGCTATCAACAACTTGATTATTTTTGTACTGCGTAAATTAAATAACCTCAGAACATAATTGTGGCAAGAGATGTTCATGCTCAATTAGCAAATTCTCGGTGTTTCTCTCCACACGGGTTGTTGGGCCCTCGTTAAACGTGAAACGAAATTATTGATTGTGTTATCATAATCATCGCTTTGGATTCACGCATCGACTGCAAAGTTAAAATGTTACTAGAGTAGCATAAAATTAAAGAGTCAAATGCAGATTTTGAGTTAAGAAATTGGCCTGAAAAGGTGGGGACAGGGATTAGGTAAAGAACCTATTTTATGATCACTATTTTATGGCTTTTCCTTCATTGCAATATATGATCCAAGTATGAAGCAATAATGTGATTTTTTAACTGTTTTTACGTTTACTAATTTACTAATAATTGAATTATGACTGTAGACTGCCTCATTGTCCTATTCATTGTCGTTTTGTTATAATTAAAAACGGCAGCAAGTGGGAGAACGTTCTCTCGTCCGTAGAGCGCGGAGCGAGATCGGTCGGGCACGGGGCGCGACGAGAAGCGGCGGGAGGGGACTTGATCGATGCCCACGCGTCAATTACACTTCATTGATTGATTTAGTTCGCGTCAATTCTTGAATTGATTGACGGGTGCTCGCTTCTCGCTGCTAGCCTCTGCTTGCCTGGTGGGTGCTCCGCAAAAGTCGCTACAGATTTATCATCATTTTTAATTTGAACGAACAGTCTCTTCTTGCATGATATTTACTTTCGTTACAGCTGCTGACACGGTCGAAACCCAAGGTCTTTTTGTAGACGCTCAATTTGACATGGTAATATGCTTGTACCCGAAAACGCGCGCCTCTCCAAACAGTGTTTATACGCAATATATCCGGCGGCTAATGAATTCGGTTATCGCATGTAACTTAAAACTTTTATTTGCCATTGATAATAATAAAAACACTTAAAGATATTAAAAATCAATACTTAACGACAGTAGCTACACACTGTTATGGTTTTCTGCGTTGTTTATTCAAAAAGCGACTTATTAGCACATACCCTTTAAAATTCTTACGTATTGCAAGTTTGTAAAGTAACCGATGTTGTACTTATTCTTATACCACACACGCATGTAGGTATTTAATCTTAACAGTAGTTATAATGCTAACGACATGTAATTAAACGTCGTTAACTATATATATTATAACAAAAGAGGTCTAAGTAGAACGTTGATTTAATTAAACTTAACTTTTGGAAATTAAAGTGATTGTTTGTTTTAAGCTAATATGTCCATTGTCCATAACTACAGACTAGACAGTAGGATATGTAAAGGCACGTTCTTGACCACCTTTGTTTGTCCGCAGGTCTGGAGGCGCAGGTGCAGGACACGTCCAAGGACCTGTACTGGTTCTGAGACGGCGGCGACCGACGCGAGCCGCAACGCTGCAAAGAAAGACATTACGTTAGTTCTAGGCATAACGTTACGTAGCGACCGATCTAGTTGTAATTAGGCTTAGCTTGTACGTAACGGGGGCTGGTGGGCGGGGGAGCCCCTCCCGCTGACGAGCTCCGAGACCCACCACCGTGTCCGGCTGCATCAGCGCCACCCGATTGTGCAGGCGGTTCGCAACTCTCCAGAACTTGTTCACTGAGTAAGGCGAGTTGTGCGCGCGACACGAGATACGCGAACAGCCGGTTTCACATAACATAAAGTGTAACGTTTAGTTTTATCGCTTCCGCAATGTTTCAAATGTAAAGTGAACGATACCAGAGAAACGAGTGACCACGAAGTGAGGTCGGAAAAACACATTGTAAATACGAATAGATAAGTACGCAAAGCTTAGGTGGGAACCTGTTCACAGCTTCGTTAGGTCGCGAAGCAATTGATTGTGAGAAAACAACGGCTCATGGCTGCTGCACGTGAACATAGACAGGCGTATGTAAATACACACCTGTGTATAGCGATAGGCGAGTCTATCCTTATATAGTATAGTTAGGTAGCGGTAGGGATAGTGGGGGTTGTACATAGGTAGTTAGCGAGGCAGCGGCTCGGTGTGCGCCGCCTGAGGCGTCCCTCCGCGGCCCACACTCTATTCGACATCTCTCTCTTCGTACGAGTAGATAGACCCTTTGTACGCATCGGTGTAGCAATATGTAATATTTCAGTATGGGCTTATCGCTGCATTGTACCTGTAATTAACTGAAACACGAATATCATGATATTGTTATTGTATTTAATTGTTACTTTAGAAGTTGTTGCACGTTCACTCAGTATTATTTCATAAAAAATATAATTATAATTGTATCACGTGTAACAATTTGAAGTTCAACAGCTTCTTTTGTTCGTAGTCGAAATATAGAATAAGCATTTCATTTCATTTGAATATATTGCGCCGTGAAAGTCTATCCTTTCTATAAATTGCAATTTAACCATTAGATAGCCTTTAATTTGTTAGGAATTCAGAAAAGCAGTATTTATATCTGTGGAGTTGTAAATATAGATAAAGTATAGCCAAAAATCAAAGGGCAGTTTTCATTAATTCAACTCTAAAATCCTGAAGATTTGCGGGTTAAAAACTTAAAATGGATTTTAGACATGTTCATAGAATGTGGTAAGAAACATTTTTTTTATTTTATTTTTAATTGTAATAATGTACAAGTATATAAAACTGCATATTCATTAGGTATACTATATAGAACATCTATTGGAAATGCATCCTTTCTCAAACTATCGTATTAACATTGCATGTTACTTATATTGTTCACATGAGGGAAAAATTGTAATTGTAGATATTAATGAACGTTTAAAAACACGCGTGTCCGCCGATCTGTCTGTCTGCCTGTCAGTCTGTGCGGACACAGGACGCATGTCCTACGGCCTTTGAGAGGGAAGGCGGTCGCAGGCGCATGTACCTACTGAGCTGTCTCAATAAATGTAACATTTTAAATATATGTATAAGCTGTTTCATTAATACCCCTTCCAATATCCGTTATAGGTACTAAACAATGATAAAATTTTATAAAAGATTGGATTAGAATTACAACGGTCACCTGTTACTGGACTTAACTGTACCTGAATCGTTCAAACTTGTTGTCAATTCACTCGCGTTAACAGGAATAATTTAATAACATATAATATAAACCTTCTTAAATGCGAGGAAATTTCAATAAATCAGTTGGTTTACATATGATACCTGATTCGCGGAATTATTAATGTATTCGTTTCTTATCAAATTATTAAATTGAAGTACAATTATTAAATTAAATTAAGTGAAATCAAAGTATTAAAAAGAAATCAATAAACTAAATGTTTAGAATTTCCCTAATAAAACAGTTTAGAATGGAATGTTACATACATTTTTTAATCAATTAACATTAATGACACTCTTACTAACAAAAAACAAAACTAACTTCGAATATCTCACTCACAATACGTTTCCTAGTCTATTTGATTTTGTTGAGTTTTCACTAGACGAGTGACTATCTGAGTGCGGGAAGTCGATGGAGCATTTGACTCAGGATCGTTCTTAGTAGTATGTGATGGCCTCCATGTTCAGCAGTGGACTCCAAGAAGCCGAAATGATGACGATGGTGTTGAAACATTCAAAAAATTCGACATAATTGCGTACTTCCTCCTTTTTAAAGTCTGTTGACAATGGCTCAATGCTTTGATACGAAACTTGGGTTACCGATTAATAATAATAATAACACTTTATTTTTAAAAATATGTCTGTAATTGCTGTAAATGAAATCAACGTGATGTTTAATATATATGTCAAAGATCCTTAAGCATCGCGTTTCTTTGCACAAGTCGAGCGTATAAAAATTATAGTGCTTTTCATAGTATCTAAATTGAAAACAATAACCAGAGAAATTACAAAAAGAAAGCAAAAATATATGAAAAATTAAAAAATGTCCACATTACAACATAAAGCATCTAATCAAATCATCTTGCAAAAAATAATGTTGATACACTTCGGTTCCGCCAGTTCCGAAGAGAACATCTGATAAGAGTGGAAATACTGTGAGGTTGCCTTTTACAAATACAGCAGTTTCATCGATATAGTATGTATAAGGCCATTTTTAAACTAAAGTCCATCGTCTTTAATTTAATAATGGCACCAATGCATCTTTTTGGAGCTTTGAAAGCTAAATCTTTATAAGTCGAGTTCATTATGACATAACTATCCCAGCCTGGAATCTACGACGCCATAATAAACAGTTGACAATGCATTTAAATTTATCAAGGAGGATAGCTTAATGCGTAAGCAGAGCTGTTTATTTTTCTTGCCAATAAAACTAATCTAAAAGTTTTATGTCTGTATCTTGAATATTTTTGCCGCCGTTATAAATGTTCAAATAACTCTTGTAAAGAATAGAAGTGCATAAGTTTTGTTTTTTTCAAATAAATTATTATTTCTTAACCATGTTCTTATTTCATATGTTTTTATATTATATTGTTATTGTACCGTCATCGCCTAATAGAGTTATGGAGTTACTCGTTACTTTAGTTAAGACACTTTCTTCTATTATCTACGATTACTTTCAAAGGTTAATTTTTGACATAAGCGTTTTCTATTGGTAAGGTTTCCTACAATTTAATTAGTTGTGAAACATTTCCTCTTACTACCATAATTATACAGTTGTGATAACAAAATATTGTGCTGTGATCGATATAATCTCATCAAAGGCTTGCGTCTTATCACAAAATGATTATTAACTTCTATCTATAATAACTTTTAAAAATTACTATAATTATCTATCAAATTTATTGTTTCGTATAAGTGAAGCAATATATTACAATAACTTTCGTAAAAATATTCCGAGGCCTGCAAATAAACCAATTAAATTAATCGCGATTATACGAAGTTAAAAACTTTTTTTAACCAGATGTCAATATTATTGTTTTCATTGAAAAAGTGAATATGCTATGATTGGGTTAAGGGGCAGAAATTAGAATTATAAGAAAATCCTGCTGTATTATCGACTCAGCATGACAACTGGCAACGGTACCTATGGAACAGCAATAAAGTACACCTCGATGAGCAGAGAGGGGCCGCAGCCGCCGCCGTGACTCTCATATTCTTAAATGATGGATGCTGAGCGCTTATCTCGCATTATCTTATCGCGCACACGACTCGTTCCTTCCTCGTCTCGCGGCTGTGTCTATTTGTAAGCGATGCGCCGAGACGAGCCGCGGCCAAATTAACTCTCACTATTTCACGTGATTTATAGGGCGCATATTTGTCGCACTTATCCAAATATACATCATTCCGCGCCCGTTTACAACCACAGCGAGACGTGCGAACGGAGATCTAGGATCGATTGTTATCTTTGGCAACGGGTTCAATTATCTATCACTATTTGGCACTAAACCACTATAACATTTGAAAATAATCTTCGTATCTCCCACATCTTTATACTAGGGGACTATAGTAGATTAACACTGGGCAATAGCGCGTTTTTGATTAAAACTATTAAATGAAACTCTATAAAATGCATAAAATGTATCTTATGAAAACAGTCTAAGCAAGTCGAGGAAAAAGTGTGATATTAGCCAAAATAAAATACTAAATTTTGTTTTAAATGCAATATGCATACTTTTTGATCTAAAATGAATTCTGCCTAATTTTTATAAAAACGGATATTATTTAAAAAGTTATTATATTTCATTGGGGTGGACTTTTTCCTTGAGTAGTGGAAAAATATTGATTGAGATTTAGGACTATCTTTGAACAAAAAAAATGTGAATTACCTATTTTTTTGGGACATCGTAACGCTTTTCAACCTGAAAAACCATGTAAAGTAAAATCATGCGAGGACACTTTAAGATTTGATCGTACAGCCCAACGTAGTAGTTAGGTGAACATTGAGATGATACAATCGTGGGCAGGGCAGGGGCGCTCGGGGCCTCTATTTCCGTCCCCCGCGGCGGTTAAGTGAGCCGCTACTTAAACAAATAGACGCGGCGTCGCTCGATCACGAATTAACACGTGTCTCCGGCCCCCGTATTCTTAATTCGGGGGATTTGGACGGCGGCGGCGGCGGTGTGAAAATAAACAATGCACCGCGGACGGCGCCATTAGCCGCTGTTTGTAAACACGGCCGCGACAATCGTCCGCAAATAAAGCACTTAGGGGCGCATTCCGGGCGCCCATCGCCCATCGCCCATCGCCCATCTCCATCCGATACGTATGCGTCGCGGGCGATGAGGTAATTTGTCGCGACGCCTTATTTATGCTAACGAGCGCGACGCAATCGGCGCCTCGCCCGCACCCGTATCGGAGCCGCAATGGAAGTCTCAAAACATGAAATAAATCCAATCTTAACGGATAAAGCAATAAATTTGTTTCAGACAAGCTTTTTAACTTATACGAAATTGGTCAAATTTCATTAACTTTACTGAAACTAGACAGGGCCGAAGGTTAATTGAAACCACTAGAGATTTTCCTTCTCCGTTGAAACCAGCTGCGTACTTCCGTTGTCCTTTGAATTAATTCAAAAAGCGTTCTCTATTTCTTGCACTACGCCCATCGAAATCCGAACCCAATATCCAGCCCTTCCGCCTGATTAATTCAAATAATATTGCCAGTAATGAGATATTTCCTGTTTGTTCTGTGGTTTTTCTAACGTACATTTTACGCTAACTATAATTGAAATCTGCGCTAGTAACATCTTACAACAAGACAAAAAGGCGTTTCTATTAATTTCTTCCGTCGTTTGATATTTTTACACTCACTTTATAAAGCAGCGAGCTTTTTGTATCCGGCTGCAAAACTTTTCTAATACTCAATAATTAAGACTTCGGAATCAATTACTTCGTTAATAGTTTAAAATTATTTTCGGTAAATATATGATCATTCATAAGGTGTGTAAAACTATACAGGGCATACATATACATTACGACATGTACATTACATATACACATGTCAAAAGCGTTCAAGGAAAATTCGAAAATCAATCCAAATATTATCATGTTAATATTTATTATGTTCATATGTAGTGACATGGAGTATATTAAATTATTTATTATCAGTCTCAAACTCTTACCGTAAATACTGTAAATTTCTCTGCTGCTCAACTCATACTGTAAATTTTTCCCCTTATAGAATACATAATATTTAGGAGCGTTAATGTCACAGACCAAATAATGGGGGACAGAAGTCGTTACAAAATCTATGAACCTTTTAAGTAAAACAAACAGTCCGTCGGTGGCAGGCCGAGCGCCCTCGGGAAGGCCAATGGGCCGGAAGCCACCGCGGCGCCGGAGCGTAACACGTCGTTTGCCAATTAATCTCGCCTTAACTCCCGATGCACTTATTTCAATGTACTGCGTTTATTTATTTATTTATATACAAAGTAATTTTTATTAGCCTTTGCCTGCGACTTTGTCCATGTCATTTTACGAACGATCTGCCAATAAGATTTGGGAAACAATTACTTCGTTATGACCAACCACTAATATTTAACCCTAATGCCTCCTCTTAAGAAAAATGTTTTGAGAAGTCAATTATCCCGCGCTTGTGTGCTATTGTAAATAAGTTCTCCAACAAAATTGATTTTAACTGCGATTCTTTACTTCAATGTCGCCACATTATTCTAAGCCATGACTGACAACTTAATTCCACGAGAAACTTTTTTTTTCTGATATTAATTTATTTATTTTTTGTAATTTTTGTCATGTTTCGCTGGATAAAGGTTTTTTTTTACACCGACGTCTACTTCCATAATAGCTATTTTCTGTTTTTATTTAAATTTTAATATTTTTGTTTTAGTTGGTTTTTTTTTCCTCTGTAACATACATTAACTTACATAAAAAATACGTGAATCTATCAATGTTGTGTTTGCCTATAATTTGGATGTGCAGCAATTAGTTTTAAGCATTTAGATACACTAGTGTAAATAACCTTAGAAAGTTTCATTGTCACATCTGCAGCCGAGCTTAATAAATAAAAAAAAATCAAGTTTAGTTTGTGTCTTGATGAATTAGTGAGTCACTGAGCTTCTGCTTTTAAATGTACGGTTAACAATCCCCGAGCTATTCGTTGCGCTATAGCTGTCTATAAGTCCGAGGGCACGTTGATTCAGTCGCTTCGGCCGCACTCGTCCATAGTGCATTGTCGTCGGGATTGTTCCGTTTGAACGGCGCCCAGGGACGAATTAGGAGGCGATTGCGCCTCTGCCCTGCAGCGGCGGGGACGTCTTAATCCGGCGTCGCGGCCGCTGCGGCCCGGGGGAATACTAAGCGGCTAATTGACTCGCGCCTCGCCCCGGCGTCGCCCGTAAACGGCTCCCTAACGAGCGCTCCGGCCAAGCCGCAAATCGAGCCCGAGCCCGCACCCACCGAAAGAGACGTTTGCATTAATTGCCCTCGCAAAGGAAAAGCTCTTTTCCTCCAACCCGCAACCCAATCGGAGAATATATTCACAAAACTCTCACACACTTTTTGTGTTGTTGCGTCACGTAAATGATAACGTTAAACGCATCGCTCGATAATAATATAGAATCAGCCTAATGGGGCCTCCGTAGGTAAGGAGATGCACACGTGGCCCCCGTGGCCCCCGTGGCCCCGTGGCTGCTGCGCACGTGTGAGCCGCCCCCGCCCCCAGAGCTTCCGCATCTGGTTCCCACTTGTCTCGCGCGCTCCAAACACTGTCAAGCTGATTAGTTTGGGCCCCATACATTCCCACTGCCACTTACAATTTGTTTGCGGCGTTAAATTGCCCAGCGACAAGGCAACGCGACCGTTGCGACGCTTTGCTCGTAAAACTTAATGGACACATCGAATGGATTTTGTGCCACTTTGCCTCTTTTTTACAGTATTTCCCCCGAGACGTTAATTTTGTGACGCTCACTTATCTAATAGTCTAAAAGGTGTGATATCTCTGTCCTCAGAACGCTCTTCTCTCTAACAGTAACATGGTAATAAACGAGATAAGTTTTCTTAATTATAATAAAAATATCGCAGTTTCCTGCATAAATAACTAGATATTTATATTAAACTCTCGAATAAAGGGATCGAGTCCATCTAGTGCGAAGGAAACTATGGTTACTTCTGTCTGGTCCATATTCACTAATATGTGAGTTGTGCTATTATAAGCGACAAATACTATACTAATACTATATACTTCTAATAAACGATAACAATGAATCTGTCCTATGGCCGACGAAGTTGAGGCACATAAAAAGGCGCGAATAAAAAAGTCTAAGGATTTATTGCGAATTCACACTCGCTCCTTAGAGGGAAACAAAAAAGCCGGTGTCGAAATTTTGCACAAAGCCCCGCGAAAGGCGGAGATAGCGAACAAATGTGACACACGAGATAAGAGCGGTACCAAGGCAAGGGGCGGCGAGGTGAGGGCTGCTATTAATTCGCTAAAGCTTGTGAGGTGTTTTTATAATATTCATTTCAAGTAGTACATATTGGTAGTTGTGGTATCCTATGGGAAAGCCGAAAACATTTTATTAAAAATAAAACTTATTGTGGACTTTAGCGGACGTCGATTTAGAATTAGGCTTTTAAAAGATTTAAAATGTATCCACTTTCGTTACAAAATACTATTTTAAGTATTTCTCAATTTCCTTAGTGATAACTACAAATGACACAAGGACAAACATTACGCAGACATCGTTGATTGGCTAATCAAGGTCCGAAGTCGGAGCTATAGAGCAGCACACGTAGGAATTTCCGTTCAAACAGTTGATTGATTGAGAGAGAGCAGCCCTGCGCCGATAGCACCGATCCGCGATAGCAAGTCCGTCCGCCGCGACCACTTCATCGGCGCGATAGCATCGCCCCATGAACCCCACCGCCCACCACCTCACCCCCTCGATTGTTATCGGCCGGTGCGCCATTCGCGATCGCGCTTACCTGCAACACATCTCTTGGCCACTCCTGACGGCCGCAAATCTTCAAGCATCTGATACATCACCTGATATAAATGGTAATGGGACATGTTAATACGTCTAATTATTAGACATTAAAAATGTCATTTACTACGCACATTAATAATGTTCGTAATAGAGCCGCGTTCGTCTCCGGCCGGCTACACAATTTAACTAACGCTATAAGTAAAATGCCCTTAAGGCACAAATTATTATTATATAAGACCTGCGTACGACCTATTATGTCCTACGCATGCATGATCTTCGCCCACACGCACCCTACTCGCTTGTACAAGCTGCAACTAGTACAAAATAAGTTCATCCGCCGTGCAACCGGTGCGCAGTGGTATCAACGCAACGTCGATCTGCACAGCGATTGCAGACTCCCGACGATTCGCGAATATTTTAAAGACCTGACGAAACGGTTCTTCGATAGAGCCGAACATCATCCCAACCCTCTGGTGGTAAGCGCAGCAAATTACGAACCCGACACAAACGCGAACGTCAACAAGCGTCGCCCGCGAAACGTCCTCATCGACCAGGTCGAGGAAGGGGACTTAGATACGCCGGACCCACCGCCAGGGGTCCCGCCGGACAACACTACACCCACAGTTAGTGCAACAACAAACACACTAGTTCGCCCTCACCTCCGAGCACGGCGAGACCAACACAACGCGTACACAAGGTACACCCGCGTTCCGGGGCGGTTCTCACCGCCCCCAGCCACCGATTAGCTAAAAACACAGTCGACGGCCATCGGGGTCTCGGTCCGCACCGCAACTTCGATGGCCCTTAGATGACATGTCGAAGTTAAACGCATGCATGAGCACATGCGCGGCCCTACCCACAGCGGAGGGCCCAAACCCGTGGGTTCTGGCTAGCCCACCGGTTCTGCGTCAGATGAAGCTTTAATAGTCTCGGGACTGAAAGCAAAAACATCAGTTAATACAAGACAAGACATTAAAATATAACTGCATCATCGTTTAGTAAGTTTTAGTTTCTTTAAATCTCAGAAGGTTAGTTTTGCATTACGAAAATCGTTATAAGTTTTGTAACCAACAGTCGTTACGGATCTCAATACTTTCTTTATCTTCAAGCTACATGAGATTAAGTAAAGTGTGTGCTCCTGTGTAAGTCTAAAGAACAACGAATTAACAATGGGAACATGTGGCCGAGATCCTCGTCGGGCAGGAGTCCTTCTGCTTCGTGCGCGTCTCGTGTGTTTGCGTGGCTTATCCCAAAGCCCCAGCGGCGGGGCGGGGGAGGGGCGCGGGCCGGAAGGGCGAACGCTGACAGGCGGGATTAGCGCCGCTCGTTAAGCGCGCCCCGGCAGCCGTTGACACGCTCACCTGGCTTAACGCCCTGCACTCCGAGTGACGCAACATCGACACGGGCCCCAAGCGGACTATGTGTTTGGACAACGACACATTTGATCCGGAATTTTAATCATCTCACCGGTGCGACTCTTTTATGTGTGTTGCAGATGCGTTGCCTTTTCAATAAAGTAGACTCCGGTTACCTCACTCACCGGACGAAACGCAGTAGTATAATACTTTTACTTCATTTCGGTCTTCTATTAAGTCGTGTTACTGCCCCGGATTGACCAGCCTGTTGCGTGGCAATTGATGTTATCACGAAATATCTATCCTGATCGGTCCTTAGAAGTAACCTTTCACGAGAGAGTTTGGACGATTCGGCGGAAACGTCCAAATGATCGAATGTATGTATATACTCAGTTGAGTGAGCTTTATTAATTATCAGCGTGACCGTGTCGCGTGTAATCCCGCCGGGCGGGCGGCTGGCACGTCGGCCCAGGCGGAGCCCCGGCCCGGATTAGCAGCGGCGGTGCGAAGCCGCGGGAGGCGCGGGTTCCGGCCGCGGCACCGTCACGGCGCACCGCTAAATCAACCCACCCTCGTGCGAGCCAGGAAGGATGGCGGCATTGTTTCCAATTTAGCCGGCTATTTATAACTTGTTACTGCACCTCGTTTCAGATGGAACGATCGTGCATACGCGATGATTGTTACAATTTGAATATGTATGCGTTTTTAATGGAAACGCGCAGGTGCGTTTCTGGTGAAATCCGTTACCGATGTGATAACAATGGTAATTCGCCAAGATCCGCATGCAAAGCGGCGCACGCATAATGCGACACGCGCCGATATCTGTGCCACGGTGCGGGCCTGCGGGCCATCGACGCTTCCAACCGCACATGCACCCTCAATGAGTTCCATTAATGAAGAGCTCATACCGATTGGCACGCTGAACTGATATGGGTTGAATGTCACCTTAATTGAAAGAAGAAGCTTTGAGTTCTTCCACCCTTCATCGCTTCAAGTTGTATAAATTCTTTCTTTTTCTCACAGAAAACAGAAATTTACATTTTTATGGAAAAACGGAACACCACAAATTCACAAAAGATTAAGTTTGTGGTAGTACAAATTTTTTATCATTAACAGTTGTCGCACGATTTTAATTCTAAAACTCCTACACTAATTAATTTATGATTCAGTACTCTGCGGTTACCTTTTATTACGCTCAAAGAAAAAATATCGTTGAAAAAGATTTTAAGCCCTGACTGGGATTTTTCTGGATTATGATCTAGTTCTACTAATGAATAGACAAATGGCTGGGGGAAGTCCTTTGACATACTGATTTTTGATTTTCCTAAAGACTTGTGGAGCAGACCGGTATGTCGCGCATGGGGGCCTATACCCAGGTATAGGCCATACCCATGTGTGAGTCGAACCCAATTGATAAAGCGGCCTCTAATTTGTTGCGTGCGCGTTCGCGGAGCTTCCTTCGGGCCTTCCGCGGCGTCTCCTCGCGATGCTTCATGCGCCAATACCGCTTGCGCCACCGAACGACGCACCGGCGGCTCATCACTCGGTCGCCTCTAAATGCGAGCAACGCCGGACCGCTCCGCTATCTCCCTTTGTGTCGGCCGCCCCGAGCCGCCGCGCACTTTTTGCCAGCGGCAAAAAACGACACGCTCTTAGCTGGCTCCTCTTCATTGCGAACACGACTTGATCAGATTTAATCAAAGATAAGGGCGCACATGATCACGAGTGGCGGCTCGGTTTAAGGTGGCCCTAATACAATTCTCCATTACTTTATTTACAATCCGTATTTGTAGCTATCACTGGCTTAATACCAAATGTGAGGCTTTTTGGGGGAAGTTGCCTCGTCACCTCACTCACCAAAACATATGACCCATTCAGGCATCATCATTCATTCATCAAAAGTGCGAGCGGACACGTGTGGCGTACGATCCGATCGTATTGAAACAAGCACTATGGATAATTTTCACGGCCCAACTTAGGTCGCTTAGGGGCATTAGCTAAGCCAGCACCTGTTGCGCCCGAAAGTGGCTAAAAACGATATCACGTGTATTGGGCGGCAACCGCATCCCGTGCGGCGGGTGCGGCGGGGCCCGATGCCCTCGCGTCGCGCAATTAAGAAGAGCGGCGATCTCACAGGAGCCCGCAGCCTCTAATGAGCCACCTTCGCCCGTAACTAATTAATCTTCGTTAGGGCACATTCACAAAGCCCATTAGCGTAAAAAGTGCGCGACCCACACGGCCGTCACGGGCGCGCGCTCTTCACGCTTCCGCGACATTTTGCACAAAAAATACCTTTCATTCTGGATTTTGACTTTGCCACCTCACGTAACAAAGTCATACGATGGTGAAACCGTCATTGACTGTTGTACCTAAATAACTTACGAGTAGGTTTAATTTAACAAAAATTCTAAATACGGAAAAAAGGCCGAGTCATGTATTTCCTATAATTATAATAATTTTGTAATGAAAGACCGTTAACTGTATAGGTTTCATTAAAGTGTATTCTAAAAAGAACTATTTATAATTTGTACTTATATTATGATCGATACAATTGCATTTCCCGAACAGATATCTATAGTGAAATTGTAAAGGTTATAACAATTTATGGCTTTTAAATAACAATATACAAACAGTACACAATTTAGAAGACGCAAAAAAAAGCAATTGAAACACTTAAAACGATTAATCTAACAAGAATGGGGGTTCATTGAACTCTCGCAATGGAGTGCAAGTCAGTTTTGTGGCGTTAGTTGTGTGACAGCACATTTATTTCTTTGATTTAAACGCGAAGAGGTTACGGGCGCTCTAAATAGATCACCGGTAACAAGCGTTCCTCTACCTTTTTTTTATGGAATAGGAACTGAGCATTTGTTTACTTATTTCGTATATTACTTTGTGGCACACGATATTGATTACCTTAAGTGTTGGAAATGAAAAATCCATAAAACGTTACGTATGTTGTCATTTATTATTACCAGGATGAAAAAAAATTCGTGGCCAAAGTTCAATTTTACTTTAATAACATTAGAGACTTTTAAACTTTCTTGTAAAAATATCATGGAATTATCATTCATTATGCTGTTATCATTTCATCGTATCCAAGAGCAAACTTCCACACAATAGTGTGGAATGGATACGTAAAAGTAAATCCAGAAATTTTAAAGTTTCATTACATTCATACCTAAATAGACATATCCTATAAAAGACCTACGTATACAACAAAAATAAGTATTGTTTAAATCTGTTTAATCTCCGATTCTACCCGCAACATTGGATTATATTTCAGAGACAAAAAATAATGCATTGACGTTTAAAGAAATAAATGTTTACATACATTACTTATGAGCTAATAAAAGTGTAGAACCATTATAAATATTGTGACATCCATAGAATTGAAAAGCACAACATCACAAAGTGCCATATGTTTCGATTAATAGTGACATGACAGTAATGCTTGCAGTGGGTACTCGTATTGCGTTTGAGGGGCAGTGTAGGGTCGCTCCCATTTTGGTCCAAGCGTGTGACTGTGGCGAGAACGACACGTCCGCGGGATTAGATTGTGCGTTAGAACGACGCTATAATGCCATTTTTTTTTTCTGTTTTTCAAAACTACCACCGTATACTAAACTAGACCTGAGAAGAACCGGCAAGAAACTCTGCGGTCTCTATTTTTTTTTAATGATTCAAGTATACAAAACTATTTAAGCCTATATTTACATGATATGTATAACAATAATATTATGAGAGGTCGTGCATATTGGGCGCACCCCGGGGGCGTAGTAAGGCCGGTGCGCGCGCGCCCTTGCCGCTCTTCCTCATTGCGGCGGGGCGCGCGTCGCAGTGGGTCAGCCGTTTCGGGCGTCGCGCGTCGCTCGCTCCCCGAATAGAACCGAGGACGCCCTTTAATTGATGACGTGTCGATGTAATGGCCGCCGGCGCACAGTGCGCACTCGAAGCGACGATTTATCGCCGCCCGTAATAACATTTCGGATGCGCCTCGAATGCGGCGGACGGTCGTTGTTCCCTTTATTTATGGTGAATGGGCGCTCGTGCCGAATCGAGAGCCGCAATCCGGGGGAGAGGCATCTTCGCAACGCTGCGATTGGGCCGAGAGCCTCGCACCTAGAGGAAAGCCTCGTGCTGACCGAGACAGTGGGGCGACGAATACAATAAAACCAGTATGATGTGATCGGTCCAGATATACAAATGGTCCCTCAACGAGTTAAATCCATACATTCTTTTTTGGAAATCTTATGCAATAAAGTTCTAGGTCCGACCTCGTGAAGCAGCAATTTCTGCGAGCGCAAGAATCTAGTAATTGTGAGTGGCGTGGTGGCAGCGGGCGGGGCTCCCGGGCATGCATCTCCTCGCTGACATATTTACGAGTCACACGAACCCCTCCCGACCTCACCGGCACTGCCACCCCCCACCAACCCCCCGGCCCGCCGCAGCGGCTTCTGTCGCATCGCAAGTGCGACAAATAAATTAATGTGGATGGTGACGAGGCGGTGCGGCACAAAGCATACGCTGTTTTAAGTGCACACATTATACACGAACGCTCCTGGCTCCCGATTAATAGCACCGCCATGATTCGCCGACAGCTTACCTCAGTCCCTAAGCTGGACTTAAAACTGTAAACTTTTGCCAAATTGCAGACAAATTTTGGAGATGCAACTATTCTTTAATATGAGGCGTACTTGTGGGTAATGATTGTAAATTTACGCACAAATATTTTTTAACAAGGAAGACGCGGGCACTTGCGCTCCATGTCATTGCCGCTGCCTTTGATGTCGTCCGTGTTCAGTTCTAATCTGGCTTTAAGTTGAAGCAGTATAACAATCAATTAGATCGGTTAGGCATCAGCGCTTACACGCTGAGATTTATCGCTCGCTAATAACTGGCGGTGCGCTGTCGTCCGACGACGCACAAACGTTGACAGGGCTGTCGCCTACTCCTCGACCATTGCAATTTTTTAATCTGCCTCTAAACACGCTTTATTTACTGTCGTCCATGAGCACAAATTAGTATACGTACTTACTATGCGGTAAAATACCGTACCTGTGATAGATCAGTGTGCGGGGTGTAGCTTTTAATTCAATGTACTCGAGCAACTCGAGAGACCAATGAAATAGTTAAATAAGTACTGACTCATCACGTGTTCTACAGTGAAGGAAAAACCACCAAAACGTGAGATAACATTTTCGAAATATTAACAAACAATAATAAATATTTTGAAGATACATAAAATGTAAAATCTGCTCAGCAGTGGGACATTGTACATAGGTTCTTACTTTACTTTACTTTTCTGTAACATACACATTTTCTTTACATAAAATTTTTCTATATTTCTTCATTATCTTTCTATTATTATTTCTATATTTATTCATTATTATTTCTATATTTCTTCATTATCTTTTTCATTTATATTTATATGAACACGTAATAATAAAAAGAAATATAATTTTGAATTAGCGAGAAATGTACCCAATTTGTCCGGTGGCACCCCTGCACCTGCACAAGTTATGCGCTCCCCTCCAGATCGCCACGTTCGCTCCAACACAAGCCACTTGGACAACGATCTGATCAGCCGAACACGTTGCTCTACACGTGCCTGCACTTGCTAGTTGGCACAGCACAATGCGATGGACAACATTACATTCCATCAAACATGTAGTTTATCCTTATGTTACAGCATATGTTGGCGGCTATTTTGAGCCGAAAACGAGAATAAGATTTAGTTCGAGGGCTGCCATTGTTTCCGGTGTCGCGTGCGCCTTCGCGCCAGCGCACGTGCGCGCCGTAAGTAGCGTAGCGCAATAAATCGCAGCGCGTCGCACGCACGCCCCCCCCCCCCCCCCAACCACCACCACCCCCACCCCGGAGCGCAGTGGTTAAAAATACGGACGATGCGGCCGGCGGCCGTTATGAATGACGCCACTAGAGCGTGGCCGAATCACTCGCGAATCACTCGCGAATCACTTGCGAATCGCACGCTAGTCGACAGCGATACCGCGTTGGCAGAGCGCCCCCAGACGAATCAGGCGGCCGCCGCGTTTCCGTCTAAACCACATGGATAAATGAAGGATGAAAACAAACAAGCAGAAATAGTGTAAAATGGCCAGTAGTCTAAGTCCAGCAGCGGACTGAAGCTGGCCGGAATTGATGATGGTCATGATGATGCGAACGCCGCAAAGTAGCATCGTAGACCCTTGATTGATTTGAACAGGAAACTCAGCCTCTTGTGATCTCATCGACGATGAGGATGAAGTCACGTCGAATTTCACTCCATCCGCTGTGCGTCCCACTTTGGCGTAAGGTACTATGACAGTAAAGAATTTTTTTTTAATGTGAAAAGTTGCCAAGCGAGCAGACGGTTCACCTGATGTTAAGTGAATTCTGCCGCCCATTGACATCTGCTACACCCGAGGGTTCCAGATGCGTTGACAACTTTTTGGAAATTGGACTCCTACCTCACCTCACTCACCAGACTTTACGCCGGTCTTCTGTGAGGTCGTGGTACTTACCCGAACGAGCCTGACCATTATTGCAACAGCCGAGGCTGCTGCGTGGCCCTCCCACCGTGGTCAAAACTACGTGAAGAATATTGCCCATACAAAAGATTCCCAAACTACGTGTTATTCGTCCGACACTCAAGCACAGGCTTAAAATTAGACATATTTGAATATTCTCACGTCAGATCTGGTCGCATGTCTGGCTCTTGCCTTTTCGGTGCGTTACGATTTAAGTAATTATAAATTGTGACGTAAGTGTCGGCCCCTTTATGGTAGCCATTAATTTTACTATTAAAGACGGTTTTCTGGCAATCTCTTCTTCTAAATTAAAATCACTAATTGGAGAGTTTCATTTCAAAGTTAATGGTTAGTTATTACGTTTACTATTTATATATTTCTTATTTGCGCTACTTTTAAGGAACTATGGGAATTAGGTATTGTAACGGTAATCGGGTTGAATTTAGTTTGACCCTTTAGAGAGAGCATAGGATTACGTCCTTTGCTTAGGTAAATTTATTTGCAACTGATTTTATAAGGAGGCGAAGTAGTGATTATATGAAGGTATATGATAACGGTACAGTACTTCGTGTATGACGCGAATGCAAAAGAATTTACGTTGTCTTGTATTAACTGATGATTTGCTTTCAATCCCGAGACTATTAAAGCTTCATCTGACGCAGAACCGGTGGGCTAGCCAGAACCCACGGGTTTGCGCCCTCCGCTGTGGGTAGGGCCAATTTTCGTTACGAACAGGTATAAACTTTTTCAATAAAAATGGATTATAAATGACATTCCATTAATTCTTTGAATAATTAAATTCCCCTTGGTAATGCTTAACTGTACCACAGGTAATGATAACCAATAAGAATAATTTTGGCAATGAACGTGAATAGGATATTACCCCATTCATTAATTCGCGCGTTTCATACAATGTTTGATCGCTCTCACAATCTTGAGATTTGGGGTGGGAAAAACAAAGAGCGAGCCTCAATAAGTCGAAAGACTTCTAACAGGTTGGACAGCTCGAATGAATTACTGGAGAACGAGGGGCGCAAGGGCGCGGGGCCGTGTTATGACACTAAATAACGAGGCAAGTTTAGGAAGATGTCAAACATCGAGAAGGGCCGTAGCGAGGCGAAGTCGTTAGTCAGGCGGAAGCGCCGCTTTAGATTTGTTCGCCCCTTTCGCTCCCCTCCCGGCAATCGCCCATTGACGGAAGCTCGTATCGATTCTGAAACTTCACCACTCACCATCCACAAACTACCCGCTCTTCTGTTCCTTTCCATGCGATCTTAATTTTGCCTTTATGTTAAATAAATAATAATAACCATTTTACAATAGCAACAATATAACGGTCTCTACCGGTCTCTACGGTCTCATAAACGTCCGCTGTGAAGGAGAAGTACTTCTACTTATTAAAAAGTAGTACGCATCGGCAACTCTATGGGTGTTTTAAATGTTAAGTTTCAACAAAGTTTAAATTTATTTTCATTGAGATCCCTACATTTCGTATAAAAAAATTTGAAAAGAAAATGAACTAAAATATGATTTTATTTTATCTTCAACTTGACAAGGGGTGATCACTGTAATTTGAACTTACGAGTTTTAGTAAAAATATCCAACGATTGGTTTTGATAACATTACATTTTGTTCAGCGCATAGCTGCAACAATGATCTGCTATAAACGGCTTTCTCAATGAAGATATGTAGTAGATTTGTAAGCATACCTATGTGTCGTTTTACGAATGCATATCCTGTTCGATCTGCATTTTGCGTTTCTAACTCGTATGAGTTTCAGAATTTTGGACTTTTATTACGAAAATTACTGTCTACAACTATACTCTTGATCTAGTATGATAAGAGATTCGTCTATTACATTTGGAACGTAGTCAACTGCTTTTTTCTATTTTAATTAGACAAATTTTATGGGTAGTTTAGATTAAATATTATAATATTAACTAAAATATTATCTAAATATTATCTTAAATATTAACTAAATACTATATTATAATTATTATAATACTAAGGAACGTAATTGCGTTCAGCAAACGGACGGATCGGTGGCGCGGAAGATGCTGCGTCGATATTGTTCCCTTGAAAAAGCAGTTCCCTTGACGTAAAACCTTAAACGATGGCGAACTCCGACGTGATAGAATTCTGCACGGCGAACAATGTGGGCCCCGCGCTTAATGGCCAGAACCATTCGGCCCATAGCTCGCAAAGTTCGACGCCCACAAATATCTCCACTGTACATTCGTGTTTTCATTTCGTCGGTGGGGCAATCAGCCGTTTAGCTTAGTGGCTAAAGCGTTAGGCCGCGAATGCCGAAGACGTAGCTTAGATTCCTACAGCGGCGATAATCTTTTCGTACTCTTTCCAAAAGTTTTAATCTACTGTACCTACATGTTTAAAAATGTACTATTGAAACCCTGACTGGAGCTCTAAATGAATAAACATAAGAGTATTGTGCCAGAGATAACAGTTGTATGCAGTTAGGCGACAACCTAGAATTCTGCATATTAACACGGCAATAGGGTCGGGGCCCGCATCGGCTCGACGCGCGTCCGCCACCGCCTAATTACGATGAGCGACAGGCGGCGCGCTCGACTCCATTGTTTCTAGGAACGAGAGAGTGAGAAGCCGCCTCTTCAATATTGGCCCATTATACAATCATATTTCAAGTGAATGAGCACTATTGACGTAAACCGGCTTTGACGTTTCATTAACTGGTCGTAATATAACTTTTTGCGTTATGGGCATAAAATTAAACGAAGCAACACGTAACAATGCTCGCTCCCGATACTTGTTGCTACATTTTATTGGTTGGATTAAAAGGTGGACCCGAACACTTTGCGTTAAATTAATTTACTTTACTTTAAATTAAATGATTAACTGTTTTATGTCATTTCCTGTATCTTTTACTATGAGCAATGCACATCTTTAATCCATTTGATGGTTTCATTTGAAAACCTCACTCACAAGTCGATCAAATAACACTTTTTTAACTTACCGCAACGCCGCAAAGTTAACATATTCCAGTAACACGATCAGCGCTTGATTGCCACATTCTTGCAGTTTTTCTATGTAAGCGGATTCATATCAAAACATTCCTTCGATTACATCGCATATCGCGATGATTGAGACTCAACATAGTCTTTGTACCTCCATAAGAAAAGGTCTTTGCAACATTGGAACAAACACAAGCTTGTAACGCCAGTTACTAGACTCCATAGAGTCAGTAACTCGTTCATGGGGCGGTGTATACGCTTTTACAACAAAATCCCAGTAAATGAGCAAAACCTGCCTATTAACAGCTTTAAGAATTTATTACAGGAACACTTTATTAATTAATTACAAAAAAAAGTTTCTTTCGCCTGTTTCTTCTCCGCTAGAGGAACCTCATTACGAAACGGTGGCAGATTAAAAAATATATGACTATCGGTAGATGAAATGTAAGTTTCTTATGTCGATGAATAAAAATTTTTAGAATAAAATGATTTTGAATTTGATTGTGGGTAAGAAGACGTTTCAATAGGAAAAAATAAAACTATCAATTATTGTGCAGTTATTTTATTGTTTCACAATACAATAGATGCACAATAATTAAACGCAACTATATGTTGTGATCATTTTTCAACCTGATTGAATTCGAGAATCCCAGTGTGTTCGCTCTCCCAATGGTTGTCTTTTAGTATTCGGTGATATGTCACTTGGCTTTTAAGCAATTTTAAAATTTCGTGTTAATTTCCAAATAATAGTGAGGGGGCGTTATTGCTTCGATAGGCATATTGCGATTATGACGACAATAGTTTTTTCAGAGAAAGAGGAAAGTAGTTCATAGTAACCGGTTAATACATAGATATGTTGTTGCGCCCTGTTGAGCGAAAAGTTGTCCTAACCTAACCTAAAATGGGGCTAGCGTCCTTACATTGTTGTTGAAGGCTGCTCTTACTATTGATACAGTAGTGGAATAGAAAATAGAATTACTTTTTATTCAACGTTATCATTTATACTACCAGTGGATTCTGAAAATAGCTTCAAGGTTCTTTTGAAAGATACAGTAAGAAAATCCGCACAGTTTGTCATTCTTCACAAGGCTTAGGTCGTTACTCACCTTATACTTGTTCCAGAATCCTGATGTGAAGACACACGAAATCTTGAATATTATATTTATTATTCATTTTAACGAAGCATAAACAGCTAATAACAGATCATCCTTCTACGGATACAAATGTGATTGACACATTATTAATTTATTGCTGTACTACTTCACAATCACGCATGTTATAAACGTAAGATGATTAAGATTATGCTTATTATCACAGCATTATGTCGGGGCCGTGGTGACACCCTGGACGTCCCGAGGACTAAACTGGCTAAAACCAGAAAATCGTTTCTTGGTAGATGCATTATCTTTTATAATAACAGGTGACATCCACAGACAACTAAGTATAACCAATATTAAACATTTAGTAAAAGCTACCTAAATGGAAAGGGCCTATGTAGCGGGTGATTTCATCACTTTGTCGAAATTCTTGTTTTTTCTGAAGACTAGGCTGCATGTTATATGAACCTTTGCCTTTTCGAAAGGACGAATGTAAAAGTTAAGTTCATTTGTTGGCTCTTGTCATTTGAGACATTTGAAACGTAGTGATTACATTCTCTTTGATTTGAGACTGCCGCCGGTTCGAATTGACATTGGATAAATTAGTTTTTGTGGATATATTATCTTCGACCGGTAAGTAATTGCTTGATGTCGTTCATGCCAGTGGTTGTTTTGTTTACGTGTTTCGTTTTCTTATCAATTCGCTCTTTTACAGTGCATGGCTAGAGGTCGATATCAGAACACGTTCCTGGTCGTATTATCTGTGTGATTCCTGTCTGGGAAACTCTGTGCTGGATTGGTTATTCCTCGTGGTAAGATACTTTTGTAATTTTCACTGGTTTCCTACTAAAATTGTAAAAGACTTGCATTGAGAATATATTTAGAAATCTCACATGAAGGTAGGTTGAGAATTTATTGTCTCGTGTTTCAAAGGGTGGTTTTTCGAATATCACAGGTGGAAGCTGGCATTGGTGGCTGGCGAGCTGGTCTGAGCTGCTGCTCGATTAAATTATGTTTTACCTCCTGTTGAGTGTTTCACATCTTCATAGTTGTAGGTAGATTCATGTTCCTGCCTTTGTCTGTTCTACAATGAAGTGTTTGTTGGCTGGACATCTCCTACCTACTCCCCAACAGTGTGGCTGTACACACTATACTTGGCCTAATTTTCCCTGCTGGTTCTGAGCTGAGCGCTGACCTGTGCACACAGGGCAGGGGTCTGCGGTGAAATAGATTTAAAATTATTTCCTGAGTGGACTTTTTACTTAAACTGAATTGCATAACTTTTACCATCTCAAATTAATTTAATTATCTATCCTTTTTATGGTTGCACAAAGTAATGTGTAGGTCCTATGTACTCACGACTCCCTAAAATACTTAATTGTAATCATTAACAGCCTGTTCCTAACAGACAAGGCGTCCAACTTATTATTAATTTATATTTTTAAACTATATTGTATCTGAGCTAGTCCAGGGATTGTAACTATGAACTGAAGGATAAAATACAACATCTTAACTGTTACTAAATCTATTATTAAATCACCCCTTAATTAATCAACTTCATAAATTAAAACGTTACATCTATTATAATATCCAAAAATACATTGAGGACAAGGATGTGTGGAAATGACTCTGCACTTGCAAGGCCCCTGTTGCTGATTTTATACCTAAATAAGTTTGTATAATTGTATCACAAAAGAATAAAAACAAAAAGATAGATAAGAAGGCCGCAGAGTTTCTTGCCGGTTCTTCCCTGTTCAGGTCTAGTGAACCGGTGGTAGTTTTTTGACGTTCAATAAAAGCTTATATGAAGCATATGTTCAATAAATAAACTTATAATTTGAGTTTGAAGACACGGATTATATGGGGGTCGCAGTACCTAATCGTTTCCCGCCATAAAACTTTACATAAAACGTAAAGCAACTGCGAAAGCTCACAGTAGCGCGATTATGGAAATAGGCCCGCGCAATTCGCCGCCGATGCGCGGAATGCATCGCAACCACATCACCGCAGTTTGACACTGATAGCAAACAAGTGCGACGCGCGACATGCGGGGGGCGCGTTCGCACGGTGCGAGGCGCGCCAGTGGGTGCGATGGGCGCCTCCAGCCACCGCCACCACTTTCCCCGGTTCGATTCCCACGCGGCGCTCCGCACGCACAAGGCCGCGCTCATTGCTCGTTGACCGGCTAATTAATTTCGCTCCAAAGCGAGACCCGCCGCTCCATACGACTAATGGCGCACCATTACGGACTATTTAGCTAAGACCGACATGCACATTGCCAAATGGAAAACCGTTCCGAGAACTCGAATGCGGCCGCCGCACTATCTTCCCCCTGTACCGTTGACAAAACAAACCGACCGAGAGGATCGTCAGCCGAGATAGCGCAACACTCACTCACTGCTGTCCATACACGTATGGATATAACCCGCACCGCCCATCATTGAAACGGTCACCGGGTACATGAAAAAATAATTATTCATAGATATTCTAGCGAAAATGTTCGATTAAGAGACAAAATATTAATGGGACGTATTTTTAATGATGCTAGATGGAATTGAAGAGCTATCTAGTAAATTAATCAAGAATGAATTAGCCGGAATGCTAAGAATGCCATTAATATTGATTTAACGAGCGTCCTCTGCACAAATATTATAACATATAAATGTAAACATTAATATACCAGACGTGCATTTTGATCAGCCACTGCTGATCTCAGTCCAGTTTTTGTCGTTGGCCAAAGCACTCGCGCACGCGCAATTTTATTTGCAAGCCCTTCTTGACATTTCCAATGCTAATAAATTCTTAATGGAGTAATAAATAAAGTTATAATAGTATGTTGCATTTTATTTATTCGCGACAAATTCTGTTACGATATCCGTTTCGTCTCAAATGCTCAAGAATGTGATAGAGGGAATTGAACATAATGCAGTTCTTTTGGACTTTTAAAAACGATTAAAAATTTATTTGATCAATATTTTATTCGGATAGAATATGAATATTCTAAATTAAGTAACTCTAATATCAATTTATTTAAATTCATTATTTTGTATTGTAGAGTTACAAAATTCACCATACACAAAGAATCGTATAAAAGATTTGTATAAGAAAACATATCGTAATGTTTTGTACTAGTAAATAACAATAAAGCTTAAAATGTGTCGATTAATATAATTTGTCGATAATGTCGATTTTATGTTTCATCTTAATTACAGAGATAAGAACTATAAATAAAAATGGAATTATAAAGCTGTGTTAAAAGATTAAGGCAGTTTTATAGATTAATATTTATGAATCAGTTTTTGCTTAATGAACAGACTTAAATTACTCGAGTAGGTCGCGAACTTTTTATAAAAAGTAAAAAATGAAATTCCATTTCCTTGAGAATTCGGATGTTAACGCTGCAAACGCAAAGTTTTAAATTGTTACTACAAACACATATGCGTACGTAATAAAATACAACACACACGCGTTTACACGCATCGTGTAAGACCTCTAATACTGTGCTTTAGCTGCCCAAGAGTGCCCGCCCTCGGCCCATTTCCACGGATCCCCGCGTCCCCTCGCTCCCTGGCACACATCCTATGGCCCGTCACCTGCCACCTGCCACCCGCCACCTGCCACCGCCACGCTCTCCCACCACTCTTGGACGCCATATTTCTGCTCAGTAATAAAACAGTTCTCCAAATTGGCATCGGCCGCCTCGAATTCAATTGCCGATTTATAAGCGTCGCCGCGCGGTCCTATTTGGCCCCGGGCCAAACTGGTCGGCCGACGGCGAGGCCCATAACTCACCGCGCGGCGGTCGGTCGTGATACTTTGCCGGATGCCGGCGTTTTACATTTGCCAACTTGGCTCTTCGCTCCTCGGCTTTGAAACGATGGAAACAAATCCGATATCAACTTATTAATTGATCTCCTTCAAGAAAACAATTAAGGTCGCGCCACAAGGACACGGAGCGAGATCGACTTGTATACCATATGTCTATTCAGGGTAGGAATTCCTTGAATACGTTGAATTAACGATGAGTGTTCCCTAAACGTTCGCTAATACTTATTAACATTAAAGCCAAAAAGATACACTAATAATATACTATTACGAATAATATCCATGTTCTTACATATAGCGATCCTGTACATTAAGTAACGTTACCACCGCGATTATTCCAATTAGCTCGACTAATTGTTGGTTTTGATTGAAGTTCCTGAAAGGCATAATCGTTTCGACGAAGACGTCTCAGCCTCCAAAAGAGGTTCGGGGTGAGAGAAGTGCATTGGGCCACCGGCCATCGCGGCCCTTCCGCGAACAGGCCTTCCGGGAACGCGCCGCCACCCCACGCCCATGGACTCGCTTCGGACTCGCCAATACCGCTGCCAAATCGCACTCGTGTGCCAGGTCCTTTTAGGGTACCATCGCCACTGACTCCATGTCACCGAGGGGCGTTATTTGGGTAAAACGTTCTCTCCTTCGCAATGCTGCGAATAGAAACATACTGTTTTCACTAATTTGAAATGTCTCTCAATTAGAAATTATATGTTCAATGCTTGATTTCACTTTTCCGCAGCAAAAAATTTTAACATTACGGGGCAACTCTGCTAAACTAAATTGAACAATTAGATAATCAGAGAGCGGAGACACTTCTCACGAGATAACTATTTGGAATTTGTTGCAAAAACACTAGATGTACCTCAATGTACAAGTAAGCGACGAGTGCGTTGAGAAAGAATAAAAAAGAATAAAAAAGAGCTCCGAGCGGGTATTTTAGTTGGTGTCGAAGGAGGGTGACAAGGAACTCGCGGCGGCAATGTGGCCGATGCACGCTTCGTGCTGTGCGGCACAAGGGTCGAGGCGCAGGGGGCTGGGGGGGATGGGTCAGGTGTCCACCGCGGAGCGTTTTTTGCCGCGTCCAGATAGACGTGAACACATTGTGGCGTCGGAATGCGATTAATTCCGCGCGCCGCGCATCGTCTCGTCCACGTATCAACGGTTTTCCAATCGATCGCCGCGACCCGTAGTGCTTTTGGCCTCACAAGCACTTTTGAAGCGGCTTGGCGACAAACAGCCGGACAGTTGGCCGAGGCTATAGCGCCCGCAGACCCCGCTCGTGAAAAACAATCGAAATATCATGAACTAGGTAACGTGTTAATTGCCCCGCTAATAGGGTGCGGCGCGTGCTGCGTGCGCCGTATATAGTTCAGGATCGCGGAGCCGTTTGGCGCATCGAGATCGAGAGCCGTGCGTTCCTCGCGTGACCGAAATCGTTGCTCATCCGACGAAACGTTTCATTGGAGGGCCGGTGCTCGCCACATGTTCGCACATCATGTACACCTACAATGGTTCATTTTATTTGCAACAACAACTCTGTGTATATGCAGCTCTGTATTCGAAGTTAATTAGTGCAAACACTGGTTTTACCCAGCATAGTCCGTTTTAATAAATAATCACAATTAAATAGATGGTGCACTTCTTTAGGAAAATGTTTCATCGGTATCTTGCCGGTTGTTTTGCATAATTGTTTATTATGGTTCCATACGTTATTAAAAGGTAAAAAAAGGAACCCTATAAGATCACTCTCTTGTCCGTCTATCTGTCCGGTGAAAAAGAGAAAGAAAGAAAATCGGTGGTGACACGACCACCGATTTTCTCAGGAATGGGTGGACCTAGCAAGTTGAAATTTATATCAGATACTGAACTCTACAGTAATTTTGTAATAGGGATTAGGTGTATAAAAATCAAGGCCCTGAGTCCGATAAAAAGATATGGGTCAATTTATTTATTTATTTATTTATTTATTTATTTATTTATTTATCCTTTATGCACTAAAAGTACAAAGGCGGACTTAATGCCGAAGGCATTATCTCCCAGTCAACCTTAGGGTGGTACAGAGAAGATCAGGTAGGTGCACAGAAAGACAAAAAAAAAAGAATAACTACAACTGAAACTTACAAGGTACATATCTGATATTATTTTTATATGTTGAGATAAGTAATATTCTAAAATTATATACTACATAAGAAGATTATAAACATAAACTTCATACATACTAAAAATTAGATCTTAGAAATTTAGATCTTCCCCAAAAATTTTAAGTACCAAAATTTATCTTAATTTTCAACTTTTTTCCCTTTACTTGTGCTTTAAGACCTTGCTTTTAACCGAAATTGACTATAGGTTTTGAGTCGAAAGTATCTGGTATAAATTTGAACTTGCTAGGTCTACCCGTTCGTCGAGAAAATCGGTGGTGATTATTTACCAATTTTATTGTGTCGGTATAGTGGGTATGTACAGAACCCTCGGCGTACGAGTTCCACTCGCACTTGACTGGTTTTCTTTTATGGTCAGTTACTTCGTGTTTATTTTAATAATAATAATTTATTATTTAATAATTTATTCAGTCATAATAAAATTAATTACTAAACTGATTAATAAAATTGTTATAATAAATAATGTCAATACTAAAATAATAGATGATTATTCAAACAGTTCAAAAATTTTATTACATTAAATTATATTAAATTAAGAAATTCATTTTACTTACTACGAAATATTGTTTTTCCTTCAAAAATTCTAAGATATTGTAGTAAGCTCGTTTAATTAAAAAAAATTAAAATCCTTAATTTTCTTTAAGATCAAGAGTACTTAATTCTTTCCACGATTTGGGCAATTTGTTAAAAATTATTGGTGCCATGCAAAAAATGCTCTTACGCATAAGAGCAGTTCTAGCGCCATGAAGGAAGAGCCTGAACTGGTGACGTCTATTCCTAGGTGCTACAGCAGATAAACTTGAAAATAAATTGGAATTAAACCGAATAAACATAACTTGTGTATTAACTGATGTTTTTACTTTCAGTCCCGAGATTATTAAAGCTTCATCTGACGCAATAAACATAACTGTTTCTATGATGTATAATGCGGGCAAAGTCAATATTTTAAGTTCTTTAAAATGTGATCTACAACTATCTGTTGTTTTAAGTTCTAACATTGATCGAATGTATCTCTTCTGGGCCCGAAAGGCCATTTCAATGTTTGTGCTGTTGCCCCAAAAGATAACTCCATATCTCAGTGTTGACTCAGCTTACCCATAGAAGGCTGTAATTAGCGTATCTCTATTAAGAACCACTGCAAGTTGTTTCAGTGCGTAGGTTCGCTACACTACTTAATTTTTTGCAAACTGTCTCCTACTAAACCTAGAAATTTTGTTGTGTCAACTTCATTAATATTATGGGGGGATATTCATTTGTTTTCTCGTCTGGTTGGGTTTATAAATTACGTAACCTACTTAAAAGTATGTAACCTACTTAAAGACGCACACGGCGGAGCCGCGTGTCACGAAGCGCCGAGGGAGCAGGCCCGACGCCCTTGCAAGAATCACGTAGTTCCAACCTACTTAAAGACGGAATCGGAATCGGAATTCATTATTCTTCGATCCCACTTCGACCGAGATAATCACTTTAGTTTAGTTTAGTTGTAGAATTATTGTAATTTTTCTTTTTTATTAAATTTATATTTTAAGAATTGGTTTTCTTCAAGTCCTGCGGCTGCAGCTAACGTAATTAGATACATATTGCATATAAAAATAAATATCATGGATAAAAATAAACATATACATATAAAAATATAATACATATAATACACATATAAATAGGACCCAACCAGACGGAAGCCCTCGGCAGGGGAGACCAAACGGCCGAGGTTTAGGGTGATAGGGAAATCGGCGGACGATGCGGGCTGTGTCGAGGAGCACTGCCTTCTGCATTAGAGCTTGGAGCCTCAGATGTCCGGAGAGGCTGACTGGGATCAACCCATTCGCAGATACGACTATCGGGATAATTTCGGTCGACACACCACCCCACATGTCGGTCAACTCGTGAGCCAGGTACAGATACTTCGTCTTCTTAATAGTTTCGGCTTTGACTAGGTTCTCGTCATATGGAATGGTAATGTCGACCATAAATACCTGCGATTGTGCCCGGTCCATCAACACGATATCAGGTTTGTTCGCGAAAATCGTCCTGTCCGTGATGATGGGCCGGTCCCAATAGAGCTTGGCGCGGTAATTTTCGAGCACGGTCTCCGGATAGTACTTGTAGTACGGCAGTTTCCGATCCACGAGGCCGTATTTCAGAGCGAGCTCCTGGTGTAGGATTCTGGCTACTAGGTTGTGTCTATGCAGATACTCAGAGTTATAAAGCATGGAACAGCTCGACATATGTCGACGGTGCCATCCCTTAGGATGTATTTCCGATAGTTGTTCGTCTTAATAACCTGATCCTGTATCGCACAGATAAAAATTTCGGTTTCCCCAAAGAGGTCACCGAAACGTAGCCAGTTAAGGGAAGCAAGAGCCTTTTGTATATACAAAAGGCTCGTGTAGAGTGTAAGTCCTTTATCACAACTAATGACGTCCGTACAGATTGACTCATCCGATCTCGCCAGAAAGTAGTTGCGGAGGCTGACACCTCGCGATTGTGCATGGTGAGGGCGCTTAAAAAGTGCCAGAACTCGGCTCGATCAGTAGCTATAATCTGACTGGGAGAATTTCTACAGCTATCATTACTATCACTTCGGAAAGCGTTGGCGCTGGGAGAAGAAGTGGCGGAAGAAACTGCAGCAACGCTTCTATCATTAACTGGGGAAACCTTATCTTGTTAATAATGATCATGAGATAGTATTGTTTGCTGATGATACTTCTTTAATTTTTAAAGATAAACGACATTCTTTAAATTATGACGATGTTAACAATTCTTACTCCACTGTAGTGCATTGGTTTAGTGCTAACAACTTAATGTTGAATAGTAAAAAAACGAAATGTATTAAATTTACAACTCCCAACGTAAAAAGTGTAAAAACTGATGTACTTTTACATGGGGAAGCGTTAGACCTAATTGACTCGACTGTATTTCTTGGCATAACTGTAGATGCCAAATTGCAGTGGGGCATCCATATTAATAAACTGGCGAGTAGACTTAGCTCAGCAGTCATCGCAGTCAAAAAAATTAGACAGTTGACTGATGTGGATACGGCTCGTCTTCTGGTATATTTTAGCCATTTCCACAGTATAATGTCTTATGGTATTCTACTTTGGGGAAATGCACGACATAAACACTATCTTCATCCTGCAAATGAGAGCTATTCGCGGAGTTTATAACCTGGGCCCCAAAGATTCACTACGAAACTTGTTTAAAGAAATAAAAATATTGACTGTCGAGATACGTATTCGGCCGTTGGGTAGGAGTTTTTAAAAGGCGATTTTGTCCTTTACAGTATTTAATAGCCCTTTCTAAATGGACTTATTCTAAACGACCTCCCGCTACGGCGATTGAGCGAGATCAGTTAGTCGATACAGGTTTGATTGTCCCACGATACCTGAATTTACACCGTCAGCACTTTCACGGGAATAACGTACAATGCATCGCATAATTCATGTGAACTTTCGTAATCACTGGGCACTTCGCTGTAGGTCGATTTCGGTATGTGTGTACGGGATACTTAGGTATATGTGAATATGCATAGGTAACACCTCCCCTCCTAGATGAGCAACTATTTGCGTACATTTGGCGCAAATATTGCGGCTTTGCGACTTCGCATAGCAGCTTCTTGAGGATCCATTGAAGATGAAGTATCTGCTTCTGCTCTGGGTTGTGAAGATGTATTTCCTACTATTAGGCGGCGGCGGCGGCGGCGTATGATGTACATGGTTAGCAAGGCGATGCTCCTAGTATTGCAGTTCCATATAGAGGTATTGAGGTATGATATATACTTGAAGAGTCATTAATTTTCACATTCTGAGGATTTTCCATCAATACTTGATTTTGTATATCGAATAATTTGTTTAGATCTATTGATGTATAATTATAGTGCGGCGGTCGAATCTCAGTGTGCGTCGGCAAGCCTTGTGGCATCATGAGTAGCTCGATAGCGTTTCCACGTACTTTGTCGTCGGCGTTAATAATTGTGAATTCTGATGTCCTTATCTTGCAACCTCGAGAAATAGTTGCGAGGTAGCTTCCGTTCAGCAGTCTATGTTCTTCTTGTCCACATACGACTTGAACTCTTGTTGGTTTCGGGAAGGTAAGTAAATAGTGTTGACTGTCCAATTCCAGGAACGCTTCTTTGAAGAATGAAATAGCGGTAGAATGGCATAGGTTTTCTGTTTCCTTTTGATATAATAGATGATAGATGCAATCTCGATGCGTGCGCATTTGATGTGAGACTTTTTGCTCGCAGATATACCATGCGTCGATCTTTGGGCATTCTGCGTCTAAGTACACAAACTCCTGGGAGTTGGTTGCTATGTAAGGAAATGGTGGTATGATCACTTGGGAATTACTGTTAGGGATAGGACAGAGCCTATATAGGTTATACATAATAGGAAATAGAATGGGAAACTTAAGAACAATTACTAATTTATTACCTGCAAAATATGATCCTAGCCTAATAAGATTATAGTAATATCGAATATCTATTTCTAATAGTTGGTCAGAACTATATAAAGATTTTAATTTACTTATTATAATATTTAATTGATTAATAGATATAATAGAATGGTGCATAGTATTGGTGCGACTAAAAGCTAAAATATTCTCTAATCTTATTATCTCTAAATATAGTTCCTGAATGGAATCGCCTAAAGCGGTAAAAATTTGAAATACACGAAAATACTGAATGACATGATTCTCACTAGTTACATTTAAAAGATAGAAGACTGATTTTAAAAGCTTTTCCTGATTATTTCTCAAATTATCTAATACGCGGTTTTGTTGGATTGTCATATCTTTGAATATACTTATGTGTTTATTAAATAAAATTGAAAGTTCCTTATCATTTTCCTGTAAATTTTTTATTGCATTTTCGAATCGCAGGGCGTCAGTGTGATCCAAATTGCCTGTTATGCTTTTTATGACCGTTCCCAAAGGATCGATAAGACCTCGTTTAAATCTTTTGGATTGAAATGTTTCTAGGCGTGTTGTAATTTCACTTATTTTTTGAAATAAATGCAGAATTTGATATCTAAAGGCAGTTGAATTTTTCTTTGTAAGGTTAGAAATCGAATCAGTTAACTGATTTTTTATTGAATCTACTTGATTTTGCATTACGTCGATGTTTATTTCCTGTAGAAAGGTATGGTCATGGGAGATTATCCTAGTTTTGCCTAAGTTAAATGGAAGTATGCCCGGTCCGTCGGATAAACTGTCAAGTCGGATGGTTTTCCCGTCAGATTGTCTACTTGTGCTTGGGCCAGGGTCATGATGAGGGTCAGCGTTCTGTAACAATGTCGGTCGTTTAGTCAACTTTGAGCGTTTTAATCTAGCTTTAGCAACAGGTCCGGATTTTTTAGATGTATATATGTGTATAGGTAGGTTTGTCATGACTTTATCGTGAGTGTAACGTGGTGCAAGCTTTTGTCTTTGTGCAATAGGGTTTCTAACGTATACTTCCTGTCCTGGTTCGTAATCTATCTCTGGGTCTCGTTTAAGGTTCCGTCGAGTCATGATTTGTTTAAGTTTAGAATATGATTCGTCGCGTACAATTTTATACACAATATTCATTTTACCACGATGTTCCTGTAGATATTGTTGCAATAAGTGTTGAGTTAAATCTAAATCTGTAGGGTCTCTAGGGTCAAAATGTCCTGTTATGAGGTCCAACGGTTTACACTTTGTAAGACTATGTACTGAACTATTGTAAGCAATTAATGCATAAGGTACTAAATTTTGTGCCGTTTCGTTTCTATGCTGTAATTTTAAAAGACGCAAGTGCTCTAATAATGTGCTATGAAACCGCTCTATTACACCATTTTCTTGAGGAGCATCAGCTGCGATAGTGTGATGTTGAATTTTGTGCAGTTTGAAAAACTCCGTAACAACCTGGTTTGTGAATTCAGTTCCTCTGTCTGTTGTTAGAGTAAATGGTAAACCGTGATGTGTGGAATACCTTAATAGACTTTTAACTATATTAGGTGCTGTGCAATCTGGTAAGAGATATGCTTGGGCGTATTTTGAGAATGTGTCGATAAGGGTGAGGTATTTTTCATGTTCTATTGTTAACACGTCCGCATGTACTACTTCGAACGGTTTTGAGGGTGGGGGAACTATCATGAATTTTGGATTAATAGGATCGCGGTCATATTTAGCGCGATTGCAGATGACACACTCATTTATAAAGTAGGTAATATTTTCTTTAAGTTTTGGCCAAAAGTACTTGTGCGATAAAGATAAATAGGTTTCATTAATACCTCTATGATTGGTTTTTCCAGTGTGGTATTTAGAGATTATATCTTGTTGTTCCAAATAATCGGGTATGTTCTTGATTTCATGTTTAACAAGAATTATGTTAGCAGCAGAATTTTGAAGGTTTTTCTGAAGAATAGGAACAATGGTATACATTTCCTCAATTGGCTGAATTAAAATAGCTGTTCGTAATTTAGGATCAATAAATTTTTGTACAATCGCTAATATTTCTTGCTCTAAATTTGTTTTGGAAATTTGCACTATTGTTTTCCTAAATTTTTCAAAGGGACTACTTATTATCGGTTTAGGATTTGAGAGTCCATTAGTGCATTTAATAATTAATTGTCGCCTAAATTTATTCAATGGCTCATCTGTTATCGGCATTTCTAAGATGGGATTTTCATGTGACGTGTGTATTGTCTCGGTGTCGCTTAACTCGGAGTCAGGTCGCGGACTACTTAAAGCTCGTATGGTATATGCGGTATCCGTTGATGAGTCACTGATTATCGCTCTTTCATCAGGTGCTGTTACTGTTGAATCTGAATCGGAGATATTAACGACTAGTGAAGGTGTTTCCTCGTTGTGAATTTCTATTCGTGATAACGCATCAGCATTAGTATTACATTTTCCCTTTTTATAAATAACTTTAAAATTATATTCTGATAATTTCAGTTTCCACCGGGTAAGACGAGAACTAGGTTCTTTAAGATTCATTAACCATTGTAATGGTTTGTGGTCCGTTATAATGGAAAATTTACGTCCGAAAAGGTATGGCCTAAAATATTTTACAGCCCATACAATCGCTAGAAGCTCTTTTTCAATTGTGGAATAATTTATTTCACTGTCGTTTAGTGTTCTAGAAGCATACGCGATGGGTTTATCAGAACCTATTGTCCCTTGAGACAAAACTGCACCTAGCGCTAGATTAGACGCGTCTGTCGTGAGAAGGAAGTCTTTGGAAAAATCCGGGTATTGTAAAATGGGATCGTTCGTTAACAAAGATTTACAGTGTTCGAAGCATTTAATATAATCGGGAGATAAATTAATCTTAGCACCCTTTTTTAAACAAGAAGTCAGTGGTTTTGTAACGCGTGCGAAATTTGGAATAAAACGTCTGTAATAGCCAATAAGACCTAGAAAGCCTTTTATTTGTTTTGGGGTTTTTGGAATGGGATATTTTAAAATAGCAGAAATTTTGTCGGGATTTGGTTTTACTCCTTCTGTCGTAATTACATGACCTAGATATGGAGTTTCACGTTTCATAAATTCGGATTTATCAAGTTGCAATTTAAAATTGGATTCCCTAAGTCTATTGAAAATTTTACGCAAACTCACTATATGTTCTTGAAGAGAAGTAGAAAAACACAAAATATCATCTTGGTAGACTATACAGATCTCATGCTGCAGACCTCTAAGAATATTATCCATCACACGCTGAAAGGTAGACGGACTGTTCTTAAGACCTTGGGGCATTCGCAGAAACTCAAAATGACCATTACCATCGGCTACACTAAATGCTGTTTTGTGAATGTCTGCTGAGTCTAACTCAACTTGGTAAAACCCGCTTGCCAAATCTAATGTTGTGAAGTATTGGCAGCGTCCTAATTTATCCAAGATGTCCGTTATATTGGGGATAGGGTATTTATCATCGATTGTCTTATCGTTCAATTTACGATAATCAACTACTAACCTCCACTTAACTTTTCCGGATGCATCAGATTTTTTCGGCACTATCCAGATCGGGGCGCTCCATGCTGACGTTGATGGCCTAATGATATTTTGTTCAAGCATTTTTTTTATTTGCTCCTGAACTTCTTTTCTATGTATATATGGGTATCTATAAGTTTTAGCATGAACTGGGTTCTCATCTGTAGTATTAATTTTGTGTTTAATTTGGTTTGTAAAGGTCAATGGTTCGTTTTCTAAATAAAATATGTCGGAAAATTCTTTGCAAAGTGAAATGAGATTTTCTTTTCCTCCGCGTTAAGATGTTCTGTTCGTAATCGTGACAAAATTTCTTGAAACCGTTTGTTCTCGTTATTATTAATGGGTAATGTCTGTTCGCTAAATATGTGTGCGCATATTGGCTTATAAAGGCTAAAGATAATGTCATTATTCGAGGGATTGGATATTTCTATCAAACATTGATGATTAACGGACGTGGAGATACATTCCGTTATATTACAACCGTTAATTGATTGCGCATTAATAATTACGTCACCTTGAGAAATATTTGTAGGCACTTTAACTAGTTGAGAAGATTGTGCGGGAATAATTTTTTCAAGTAAGTTAACCGTTTTAGAGTCGTATATTTGAATTTTGTTGCAGGTGAATTTAGTCTTTAATGTACGTGTTTGAAGGTCTATTTTAGCTTGCCAATATTCTAAAAGGTTCCATCCAATTAAACCGTCAAAATAATCGTGAAATTTATATATGAAAAATTTTATCGGATCATGGCCTTGAAATTCTGCAAAGCACGGAACAACAATAGAAAATTCGTTTTTCTGGTGGTTGCATGAATGTTAGTCACTTCAAAAGGATCATTATATAATGGTAGATGAGGAAAATAATTTTCTACAATTTCGGGGTTGATAAATGATTGATTCGCACCGGTGTCAATAAGTAATTTTAGAGGTGGATTTTCAATCTGAATATAAGGAAGCTGTCTTTTACCTTGTAAGTTAAACTCTATTCTGGGGATGGTGAATTCGGATCCTCCTGAAAATTTTGACTCTGATCGAAATTTTGTTCGCAATTTTCGGTTTCCTCGTAACAAGTGGGGTCAAAAGTAAAGTTTTGGGGTTGGTCACTGTCGTTGTAATATTCATAGTCATATGGTTCAAAAGCTTCATTTATATTAACTTGTCTTTTGTCGGTCTGTCCTGTCAATGGTAAATTACGGGCTACGGGATAACTAATGCCGCTCATAGGTACAGGAGCGTTATGTCGGCCTGATTGATAATTACTATTAGGCGGAATTTTAAAACCAGTAGACATATTCGAACGAGGTAATGCTCGCATTTCCTGTTGTGTCCTTGTTGGGCCCTGAATCCTAGGTCTAATCAAAGGCGGAAATGAAAATTTTGCGTCATTGGAATTCTGATTAAGATTAGAACTATAATGAGGGCTAAAATTACGATTATTATTTAAATTTTGATTAAAATTAGGACGAACTTGATTTATTTGCGATGGAAGTGAATTCTTTTCATTTAAGTTATAAGGTTTCTGGTAAAACGGCAATTGAGCTAATTTCTTATGGTTTTCATGTTGAAATTTTTATTCTGTAAGTAGACAACATTAATTTCGTCTTGGGCAAATTCAAGAGCTTTCTCTAATGTGTCGGGACGCATGCATCTAACGCGCGATCCGATCGGTTCTTGTAGACCTCGCGTGAATGTCTGTAATGCTAGCTTCATGTAAAGTTGTCTTTTAGCTTCTACGGTGCTTAAAATCGAATCATGTAATTGAACATATGCCATTATGGTACTAAGTAAATTCTGCACACGCTCGTAAAACACGCTAGCCGTATCGGTACCTTGGGTAAGCTGAGATAAGTCTGTGTAAAGTGAACACTCGTCTCTGTGATCCGAAAAAACTATTGACCAAAAAATTCCGAATTCCTTCCCAGTTATTGGGGATACCATTAGTAGCTAAAGTACGGGCGGCGGGACCAGTAATTTTATTAATAATCCCGTTTAATAAAGCTGAGCTTACTAACTGTTCTTCGGGGCGTACATATTCTAAAACTAATTTGTCGCAAATATCTATAAATCGACTAAAACATGTGAATTACCACTAAATTCTGGCACTAACCTGAGAGCTTTCCATACAGCGTCAATTTTCGCGCTGACGTCGTACTGGTTCGCTGACGCTTCTAAAGACATTTCTGCTAAATTGCTAAATCTAAATTTATCTATAATACTGTGCCGCAGATTCGGCTTAATATCTTTATTTCTTCCTGGGAAGAAAATTTTGTCTGCTAATACGTAAACTTCTAAGAAATAATAGAGAGGATGATCTATTACCAGGATAGGGAATAGCAACCAATAGGATTATTGCGTAACTTATATCTAGACTCACAGAAGGTTCTGCATTTTTCTTTTCATCGATGTCTGGATGATGTCTTCCTCGGCGAAAATTCTGTAGACTCCGACAACGGCGCTGCTCGTAGATTCGTAGAGATAGTCAACGCGTCGACGATACGACTATCAGGCGGATCGAAGTTAGATAACGCGCACTGATTCGACTATCCTACCGACTGCGCCAGATACGTATTCGGCCGTTGGGTAGGAGTTTTTAAAAGGCGATTTTGTCCTTTACAGTATTTAATAGCCAAGAAATACAAAGTATACTTAAAATTAACTTATTCTAAATGGAACGACCTCCCGCTACGGCGATTGAGCGAGATCAGTTAGTCGATACAGGTTTGATTGTCCCACGATACCTGAATTTACACCGTCAGCACTTTCACGGACAGTCGCTTCTCAGTACATACTTGCAAATGTTATGTATGTCCACAAAAATAAAAATGCCTTTTCAAGATTTAGTAATGTGCATGATGTAAATATTAGGAACAAGCATAAATTAGTTCTACCCTCAACTATATTGCGTAGAATAAGTAAATCTTTTATGGGACAATTTATACGCTTTTACAACAAAATCCTAGAAAACGTTCAAAATGAATCCGTTGCTAAATTCAAAAAAACTTGTAAAGAAACGTTTGTGTGTTAATGGCTATTATATAATCACTAATACTAGTGATTATTTGAATGATAATACACTCTGGAAATGAATTGATCGCTCCAGGCTCTTTCAGGTGGAATTTAATAAATTGTACACATATTTGTAATTTTTTTTTGTTAAGTCTCAGATCAGCGGCTTTCCTTCCGAACCGGTGGTAGAGTTTTGACTATCAATAAGTAAGTATATGCTTCTATATTAAATAAAGATATTTGACATTGACTTTGAAAAAATCCTGCCAGGTACGTGCCGGAACCTAGTATATTTTTGCCGCACATGCCGGCGAGTGCAGAGTGTTTTTGTGTGTTTTCGTAACGGTTTGGTTCTGTCGATGGCGATAGTCGTCCCAGCGTCAGGGCGAAGAACGTGTCGCGGTCTACAGCAACTGCGGCGGAACGTACCTAGCAGTGGGGCTCGCATTATGTTAAATGTAAGTATATGGCCATTCTATCAATATCATTATTTAGGTCCAGGAGTCCCATCGCAAATTGAAACAGTTTACAGTTCCACTCTACCCACTGATATCCGTTTTTAACTATAAATTTATAAATTAGTACCAAGCTTCCGTACATTTTCATGGTCCTTATGAAGAATTTATAATAATAACAATAGCGTAAATGGGCTTCTGCTGGGCTGGTGTGTATACGATCTACAGCTTCATCGCCACTTACTGTCAGGTGGTATAAATTGTCAAGCGGTGGCCACCGAATGGTGAAAAATACTCGGCATGCAACACTAGCATTTGCGATTTCTCGTGTAACCTCTCATTTCGCGAAAAAAGGTGCAACAGTATAACTTTTCATATGATTGGATTACCTAACTGACCGGATTCCTCACTGTAAGCAGTAAATCAATTCTCAAGATGGAGCTCGGGCGTCAATATATAATTAGACCTACTAAGCAACATTTTAAAGACCTAGTGTTGGAAGGCCTCCCCCTCGGTGCACCGACGACAGTGTAAGAATCTCGGCAACCATTGTGGCGTTCTAAGGGGGAGCCTCATGTTCAACAGTGGACGTCTTGCTCATTTATATTTTAGGGCCATGAATGTAAAAATGAGAACAAATTGAAACGTTAAGGGATATTTCGAAAGTTTTTTTTTAAATATAATTAAAACGGAGATATCGGCTATCGTCGATTTCAATATAACGATACTTCGGTGTCTCGGTGGCGCCGTTGCTAAGCTAATGGCTTCGGAGCAACTGTTGAGTTTCTTGCCGGTTTCTTCTCAACAGAAACTGCTTTCCGAACCGGTGAACTTACGACCATATTAATTTTTATGTAAAATTTTGACATTTCATAAGAACGCGCAAGCGTCTATGTGAATAAATATATTTTTGATTTTTGATTTTGATTTTGGTGTCGGAGGTCGTGAGTTAGTTTCCTACATGGGATAAATATACGTGTAAACCAGAGATAATTGTTCGGGATCTGGGTGTTTATTTCCCAAGGAGAGTTGATGTCAAGCTGGTAGCCGGTCGTAAAAAGCATAGCCAAAATCGTTTACAACATGATTCACATGAAGTGCCGACCCCACCTATAGATGGAATAAGAGCAGAAGGATGATGATAAAAAATCCAAAAAAATCAGAATGTTTTATATGTGAAATTTCTTTATTTCAAGAAATATAAAATTATTCACAGTTTTTCGAGCACGCAATGACAATTTATAAAAGGATGTTTCATTAAATTTTTTCGGTCTTTGTCAAATTTCAATTTGTTTTCGGCCAAAACCTCGAAATATTTTACCATCATTTCAATATTATAGATTTAAATATTTATAATTCGCAATAGATTAACTGATTAATGTCTCATTTAAGAAGAAAGTCATGCATCGTTTATTTTGAACCTCTGCACACGTGGACTTTTACTAAAAATCTCTTTATCACTCTTTATATCCTTCTAACTGTGAGCAAGGTTAAAGAAAGCGCGGTTAAAGAGCAGTCAGGTTTTGCGCTTATAAAGGTTAGCCAATATCACCCACTTCACGACTCTAATATCACCTTTAATCTTTTGTATCATACTCGTATATCTACGAAATAACTACTACTAAAAAAAATAATTTTCTTCTTCACCTCGTTAAATGTCGGCTTTGACTTTGGCGACCGAGAAATCATCTCGTGTGATAGTTCGTTTGGGCATCCGAGGTAGCGGGCGGCGGCGTCGGTTTGCATACGAGCACGCCATTAATATCGCCCACGTACTGCCGCGCATTAATTGAGTTCTTGCCGGGCATTCGGCGGCTGCCGATGCTTCTACGAACTAATTACCGCCTCGTGGCTGCCTCGGCAACGGCGGCACATTATGGGCTCCGCGGCGCACCTGCAGCCCCAGATGCCCTCCCGAAGCCAATGCCTCGGCGTACGGTTGACACAAAAAGCATGCGGCTCCAAAGCGCCCTCCACCGATAGCATAACAATTACCTGAAGACTGCGCGCGCTCATAGTTCTAGAATACATTATTGATATGTTAATTTGTTATGAATAAATAGTTATTTCTGTAATATTACTCCTATACTAATATGGTTATTTTCCTTCAACATCTTTCTTGCAAGTACCGCACTATACGGCCAACTTCCTTCCTTCGTTCGCTATCTAATTTATCTATATGTATGTTCGCTATCAACTTCGATACAGCTTTTTATTCCTGCTGCATACTATTAAATGATGCTTAATCTACAAATCCAACCTTACCCGCGACTGAAATATTGTATCAAAACCGAACAGATATATTTTTTAATATTAGGTTGATTGATTATTATCTACTTACTTAAGTTACAAGTTAATTCCAATACTGATTCTATTTCAAATATCTGACATAACTTATTTTATCGATGTATTCCTCTTATCAAATCAGCATCTACATGTGTTAACGCAGTAATAAATAATTCAGTGACGTTGAAGGATTGTTTAGATGGGCAGAAGCTATTTTTTACACATCGCCCCCCCGCTGATACACCCCTCCCCCCATCCCTCCGGTCGACCTCCGTCACAAGGCGCAGGTATTGTACGAACGGATATCCAAATGACAAATATTTATTTATTTAATGCATTAATATTTTATTAACGATGCGGTCGCTGACAACGCATTTATAATTTCCAAATGGAAACATCGACGTATTACCGTTTTAAAGTCGTCTATCATCACTTTTATTAGACGCTTTATTTTTCTAGTAGGCACTTTTTGCAATAATTATAGGTCAAAAGAAGAAAAAGAAAAACTAGTCTAAGACCACGAACAATAATTTTTCTGATGATAACCGAGGAGCTCGACACGCGGACACTCAAAGCACCAACTGGTTCCTTTAGCAGACGTATTATTATACGGTTAACAAAGCTTTTCTTGCTTCGATGGTTTATTTCCGTGCATTGAAACCTAATATTTATCTTATTCATATCATTATGACTACGACAGAAATGGTATACTAAAAGCTTCCTATCAGAGTTCTCTTCTATAGCTGATGTTTCCCCATTTAAAATTCATAGACGATTTATAAAACCAAGACCAATTTGATTTAAGCGTACACAATTAAAAAAATATGTAAGTTGTTGATCTCATGCCACTCAATGGAGACGCCGGGTCCATAAAGATCGGGATGGGGCTTAGGCATTGGTATTAAGACCCATTTACACGGTGCAAGTTTCTTGCCTGTTGTATACAATTAAATTGAAGCAATAAATGTGCATGGTCTAAACAACAAATGGTCTAACAAATTATTGCGCGCAATTTATTGCAATTATTGCTCTTGTATGTACAAGAAAATGGCATCGTGTAAATGGGCCTTTATTCAGTCAACTAAAGTAAAGAATGGAAGAAGGCAAGGAAAAAATATGTTGAATCTACCTCGCTCTTAGGTCAGAAAGGTCATTTCGCGATTGTTGTGCTAGAAGATGGAAGGGTAAACACTGCAGTAGGATTGCAGATGCGTTGCTACCTTATAATAGACTGGACCCCGGCTACCACACTCACCAGACGAAACGCAAAAGTATAACACTTCTACTTTACACTGGTGTTCTGTCAGAGAAGAGGTCGTGTTACCTACCTGGACGGGTCGGCCCGTTCGTGTAATAACAAACATATTAGTCAAAATCAAAATCAAAATCCAAAAACATATTTATTCACATAGACGCTTGCGCGTTCTTATGAAATGTCAAAAATTTTACATAAAAATTAATACGTTCGCAAGTTACCACCGGTTCGGAAAGCAGTTTCAGTTGAGAAGAAACCGGCAAGAAACTCAACAGTTGCTCTTTTTTAAAACGATTAGTTTACAATATAATAGAACAAGTATGTAATTTAGCCTACGTGGGTATCAACAGTATGGTATAATATGCCTTAGCCATAAGTTCACTTTTAATTTTGCTTTTAAATTCATCTAGTGGCAGACTTAATACCGACTGTGGTGGGATTTTATTATACATGCGCACACTTTGCCCCATGAATGATCTATTTACTTTTTGTAGACGAAACAATGGCGTAAATAATTTGTCCTTATTTCTAGTATTTAATTTATGTCAGTCACTATTCTTTAGATAACAATTAAGATTATGTCTCATCATCACCATCATCATTCAGCCTGTTTGAGTCCACTGCTGAACAAAGGCCTCCCTCATAGACTGCCACGAAGTACGATCCTGAGCCACCAGCATCCATCGACTTCCCGCACATTTGCACAGGTCGTCACTCCATCTATTATGTCTAACAAACAAAATATTACAATAAATATATTGGGATGCAACAGTGAGTATATTATTTTGTGTGAGTATATTAAGTTTCTGCAGTTGCACGAATAGGCAGAAATTTCATAGTGGCATCTCTTTCTAGCATTTGATATAAATTGTTTAAAAAAATATATGATAATCAGTAGAATTTTGCGTGGATAAGTTTATAAATAAAAGCACACTTTATTATTAGAAGCTAACGATGACTCGGTGGCGCCGTTGCTACCTATTGGCTTCGGCGTTGGAAGTCGTGGGTTCGATTCTCACACGGGAGAAGTATTTCTGAGTAAGTATTTGTACCCAAAGACAGTTGTTACGGATCTGGGTGTTGCTTCCCAAGGTTTGACGTCAGGCAGGCGCCTGGTTATAGAATAATATAGCCAAAACCTCTTGATTCACGTGTTGTGTCGACCTCAACTAGGTGGGATAAAGCAGAAGGATCGTGATGTTGATTACTTATAAGATAGCAATTTTTTCATTTGTCTGATATAATTTAACACACGCATATACATTACATAGTTTGTAAATATTAGCGTTTTCCTTGTTGGATATCTCTCTGTGCACCTACCTAATTCTCTCTGTACCACCCCAAGGTTGACTGGGAGATAATGCTTTTAGCATTAAGTCCGCCATTGTACTATTTGTGCATAAAGGGTAAATAAATAAATAAATATAAAATTAAATATAGAAAACATGACTAGGAAACTAATATAAAGTAATAGCCTATCTATGGCCTACTTTCATATAGCCCAACGCAATACCCGGGCGCGGATTGGCAAACGTCAGATATCTTCAAATTATTTTTTTTCGGTTCCTTAATCGGTTTCCGTACCTAAAGAGTAAAACGGGACGCTATTACTAAGAAACCTGTCTTAGTAATGTCCAGTTTGTCGATGTCTGTCTGTCTGTCCGTTTGTCACCAGCGCTATAACACATGAACCGTGATTGTTAGATGGTTAAAATTTTCAATGATGATGGATTTCTGTTGCCGCTGTAACTACAAATACTAAATAACAGAATGAAATGAAAAATATTCATGGGTCTCTCATACAACAGATATGATTTTGTTTCCGGTTTTACAGATAATAGTACGGCACCCTTCGTGCGCGAGTCCGACTCGCACTTGGCCGGTTTTTCGAATATATAAAGGCTTACTTGTGATTTTTCCTTCACTGAGGAGCACGTGATAAGTCAAGACTTAAAAATTTAATTACCAATTTCATTAATGCCAGCGCCGGGTTTTTCGAGGAAACTGAATTAATAGTGAGCGCTTCCGGGACTCTGAGCCATCACGGCGCCTGTCTAGAAAGGACATCACTTTGAGCTTTCTTTTACTTGAAAGAATATCTTATATCAGAAAACTATTTCTTGCCGGTAATATTTAATGCGCAGTTTATCCTTAATGCCATACTATTATTAACATTGCACTCTCTATAATTGTTGCATTTACTGTTTATCGTTTTTATATATTTTCAAAATAACCCAGTCAGTGTTTCCTTTAGATTTTGTAAATTCGTTGGCTGGTAAGAGCTAGCACGATTTCCAACTTTACAGATACAGGTGCAACAAATTTATTCAAAGTTCCATTGATATTTCTCTTATCGCATTCAATACATTAACAAGACCTTTGAACTATCGCCACAGATCCCGAAATGATGTAATTCTATTGTGTTGTTCTTCTTAGGAGTTATTGGTACTTGATCAACGATATAATACAATACGAAATAAATAATAATAACTAAATGAATAAAATATTGACTGATGCTTTTCAGTACGGTCTCGAAAATGTTATGGATATACATAAAAAGTAAGAATGAATTTATTATGGTTTATATGTATATATTATTAGTATTTCCACATTTGCACATTACCGAGACATGGAATGTGCATTGATATAAATACTAACTGGCAACTTACACACTAAATGCGGAGTGGAGAACGATTTGTTAGCACGCATCTTTAACAAGCATTTAAAGAATATTTCACCATCACTGAGAACGGCATTCCCTAACGACCACAAATCGGTTGCGAGCGGGACTCCATGAAGCTCTGAAGAGGGCAGCAGTTGCGAGGAGCGCAGAGGAGGTGCGTTGCTCGCGCCGTCGGGGCGTGGCGCGGCCGAGGTGCGTCGCCGCGGCGCCGGGGCGTGCGCAGCTTTTTGCGCGCCCCGCGATCTGTATGCGGCCCGCGGCCGTTCCGCGAACGCAATTACCGCATCCGCAGCCGCCATCTTGCGCCTGCAGGGCTGCCCCCTCGCAAGGTGCGCTTCGCTGCCTGAGATGGAAAACTGCAACATCCATAACCAGCTACAATGCTTAAACAGTGTTATCGCGTAAAATTGATAAAAAGTTCATATAGGTAAGTATGTTCAAGAGCGGCTTTCTTAGTTCATACTTGTCCGGTGTATAACTGCAGTCATTTTGCATGTATGACTACTCAAACGAATACCAAAGCTAAACGAGTACATCATTGTTTGTAGTCCTTATTTTATACATAATAAAAGTATCACATGAGTGTTCATATTTAAGTCAATCGCACCAATTTTCATACTAACTAAGATAAGAGAGGAGCAGCCCTGGCTGTGGGCTGCGGCCGCAAGAATTACTGGCAATTACCGTGGGGATGGCGAGGTGGGACGCGGGATCGGGGGGCGGGTTGTTGTGGGGGCCTGGTTGTGCCGCGCCCACCGTCCAACCAGCCCAATGACTGCCGCGTCTACCCTGGAATTGAGCGTTGCATTCTCAAGTGAGCGAGTTAATGTGCTAGTGCCGCAATGAACGCATGCTGAATACTGTCAATTGATACCGATCCGATCGGCGTACATAACGACTTCGGGAAATCGCCCATATGTGGAGGCCATCTCCCGAGTCGGACCTAATTTACTTTTAAGTTGAGAAGATCACGTTGGAATATACACACATTATAATATATCAAATTAATCGGTTTATGGCAAAAATTGAATATAAAGCGAAATCCACGTACGTTGCTTTATAATATTACATCACAACTAGCGATTTTAGACACGTGTATAAACGGTAAATCATCTTAGACTGTTTCGAAAATCTTTATCATTATATTAATGTAAAAAACATGCACATGGAAAATAATTGAATAATTATCAGAAAGATAATAAACCAAATAATTGTAAGTTAAACATAAAACATTGAGTGAACACGTACATTTTGCTAACTCCGATATAAATGAGCTTCTTAAACTTAAAGGCTTTTTGTTTATTTTTCACGTAATTTATGCCTGTTTATTAAATAACACATCAGGAATTAAAACAATTAGAGACAGCGTCGCGACTCCAAGTATTGAGCGATGGTGGGCAGATCCAGATCTAGGTTGCGCATGAACTGCGGCGCTCCCATGGCCATGCGCAATAATCGAGTCTGTATCACCTCCATTCCTTGAATTTGATTCAGTGGTATGTGACCGAAGACCGGACTAGCGTGTCATTTTAGGGTAAACTACTGCCTTATATAGGGTCAACGTCATCCGCAGAGAGATCTTGCTTAATTTATTATCTAGCCTAGTACGAAGGTCCCCTAATAATGGATTTGGTGACAAGGACGACCCCTACGTATTTAACTTCATTGACCCTTGGTACTACGCTATCCATGAGCATGACGGATGGGAAATTAGGCACATTGTGGCGTGAGAAAAAGTGAGCCGAGCTCTTGGCGGGATTGATCTTAATCCCGCTAAAAACGCGCAAGAAATCTTAAAAGCTCTCTTCGCAGACCATCAAATTAATAACAAAATCGGACTGAGATGAGACTGTGATCTTCAGTTGAGATTTTGGAATCTGGAAAACTCAATAGACGACTCTCGAAATCTATGCGACATGTTTTTGGTACTATAATACACAGTGTATACGGCCGCAATCGAGAGGAACAAAGGTTTTCAACAATTTACAAGGCGTCCATCTGTTGGGAAAAGCCGAATGAAAAAGTTGATAATCGAAAATTGCAGTATCATCTCTTCGAAACCGGAAATTTTGAGAGACCTTGAAAGGTTATACGGACAGGACACGAGATCATGGCTGACCCGACCCTGCGCTGAGGATATCAATCAAGAAATCAGCCTGTACGAAATTAGAATAGCTCTGAAACAGCTTAAGAACAATAAGGCTTGATGTCAGGGGTCGGAATTACGACCGAAGCTCTCAGAGAGGATGGAAAACCGGTATTACAATTCCTTCAGAAGTTATTTCATTCCGTCATACTGCATGGTGCCTCGCCGAAAGCCGCCAGATTATATAGAAGACCGAAGAGTATAATCTGCCATCATGCTTAGTGTTTTGTACTATGAAAAGGCCTTCTCAATCGAAACCGGGGCTCGGCGAAAATGTCACTTACCTTCTATTCGTCGACGATTAGCCATCATTGCAGAGCCGCCAGAGGACCTTAATACTGTACCCCACGACCTTAGTAACGTTTTCCAACAACGTTTTGGGTCTAAAAATGAACATAGTAAAGACGAAAATCATATCAAATCTCCATGTTGCACCCAGTTATTGTTGAGAACTGTTATTCTCCCTAAGTTCTTGATCACTATTGCCCGGTTCCTATATTCAACGAACGGCCGTTAGTTACATAGCTTCGTAACTTTCATAACGACTTTTAGATAAAACGCGTGTGGGCGTACACGCCTTTTATCCTATATTAATTATATGAACAAAACGAGGCGTTTTCCTTACGAGCCGTTGCATTACCGAAAGTGTACCGAAAGTACTAGCGTTTCTTTAATCTACAAGTCGTTATGAAAGTTACGAAGCTATGTAACTAATAGCCGTTCGTTGAATATAGGAACCGGGCCATCTTGGACAAGCGGTCCAGTTAGGAAAGTCAACTTCGTCAGAGAGGTTCTTCTTTTTAAAGAGATTAATATACTCACTGTTGCGTCCCAATATATTTTTATTGTAATATTTTGTATGTTAGAAATAATCTTAATTATTACCTAAAGAATAGTAATAGACATAAATTAAATACTAGAAATAAGGACAAATTAATTACGCCATTGTTTCGTCTACAAAAAGTTAATAGACCGTTCATGGGGCAAAGTGTGCGCATGTATAATAAAATCCCACAGTCGATCAATCACAGTTGATCTGCCACTAGATCAATCAACGCAAAATTAAAAGTGAACTTATGGCTAAGGCGTTTTATACCATTGCGGAATATCTTGACGACGCCAATGTGTGAGGTTAATACTGTTGATTCTCACGTAGGCTAAAACAAGACTATTATACCGTAACATTATGTTGTAAACTGATCTTTTAAAAAAAGAGCAACTGTTGAGTTTCTTGCCGGTTTCTTCTCAACAGAAACTGCTTTCCGAACCCCCGGTTCTTACGAAACGTAACTTACTTACGAACGTATTAATTTTTATGTAAAATGTTGACGATTCATAAGAACGCGAAAATGTCTATGTGAATAAATGTATTTTAGATTTTGATTGATTGATGGTAACTAGAAGTCAAAGTATCGAACTCGGATGGGCAGAGTCGTGAAATTACGCAATATATTTTCGTCCAAGAAGACGGTTGTTGTTTGAAGGCGTCTTTATATCGTCTCAGGCTGTACGCCAGACGTGGAGAGGCAGGTGTCGTCTACAAAAAGGGCATGTTCTACATCTTTAATTATTAATTAAATTAATCGCTTGTGTAGAGCACGAATAGGACAGGAGCCAACACCGACTATTGAGGCACCCCGAACGAGGTGCATAGAAGAGCACACTCCTTCGACGCGATAGCTTAAGCTTTGATTATTTAGAAAGTCTCTGTACTTGTATTACTTGTATGTTATATGATTCCGTAATGCCAGACTTTACAGAAAAGCCTTTGTCACGTCAAAGAAGAGTGCTCTGCTATTGATTCCTCGTTTACATTCGGTTAGTATGTGCTCCGTGATGCGGTGCACTTGATAGTAATAGGAATGTTTGGATTTGAAGCCAATCTTTTCGAGAATGGGGAGCCAGAATCGGGATCTAGAATCTATGATGATTCGTAAGCGACAAACGTTTTGAGCAGGCTTATTCGGCTATAAGAAGTTGAGTGGAGGGTTTTAAAGGTTTGAAGAACCCTATAATCTCAGCTTCTCTCCTTGCAGAAGGAAAGATGACTATGACTATGTAGAAGGATATCAAAACACATTTACCCAATAACTCGCGACTCTAACGCGAGTCCACGAGTGAGGGCATGTCGAGTCTGGTACTGTCTTGCGAGCGCTTGTACTTTGCTTACGCGCTATATATGTGTCACAACTTGCTTACGCGCCAAACTATACATACCATCCATTACCCTACATATCAATATCACTTATGCTTTCTCTTAAGGAACGTCGTGAACAGGTGTCAATATCACCAGAATAAAAGGTGTGCTTAGTTTGTGCAACTGTGGGAGCATTGGGCCCCGTGCACTGCTCCTGTGATGGGGAATTCGGGGGCAGGTCTTTACGACGTAGATAAGATAATGCGAGGTGCATCTATCTTTATTGCCCACTTCACCAGATACTGCCCAGATATCGGTAAGAATGCGATAACCGTTATCAACGTGCGTTAAGTATTATAACATTTAGTTTCAAGTTATTTTTTTTTTCATTTGTAACAACCGCGAGAAACACTTTTGTAACGAACAAACTAGAAAATTCGTTAAAATACGATTTAAATAATCAGAAACTGGTCGGTGGCAGGCATACTTTTCAATATGTCATAGCCTCATATGTATGTGACTTACTAAAATGACTAAAAGAAAACAAATAATAGCCTTACGTTGCTCACCTTTTACACTAAAAAATAATATTAATCTAATTATATAAATCATAAAAGATAAAATAACAAAAGCGACTTCAACATACGAATCAATGTTGGGAACATAATATAATAAATTTAAGGCACCCGGACATCACCAAATGATGATATAAAAATTATAATATATATAAACATACATAAACAAACATATTTACGTGGTATTTCAAATTCAACGTCAAATGTTCAAATTCAAATATAACGTCAAATGAATAAAAGGTTTAGTGGCTCCCTTATTTGATTTATTTATTCTCCAATGTAATGGTCGTTCCACAAATTACTACGCCTCTAATAGGCCGTAATTACGGTTGGTAAAAATTTGTATCGAGACAGCTTGAAATGGGTTCGCAGCGGCCTTTCAGTGCAGATTACGCCACGGGCCCCGAAAGAGGCACATGAGAACGAGCTCAATAAATTACACTAATTAATTGGGCTGCCAACGGGAAATTAGAGTGAATCACGCACCGAGACGAGCCCTTTGCCTTAGTGGCCACACATGCGCTCTTAGAGGCCGGAGCATACTTCATCTCGAGAACAAAACTTCTCAAGGCATGCAGCCAAAGTGGAGAGGAATCGTAGAGGATATAGCCAACAGCAAATTTAGTGTGCGAATCCAACGAAATTCAAAGAAATAATAATTCTTTGCATTTATGAATTATTTTTATACTAGATAGTTGCCTAATTGTTAACAGATAATAATACTTCTTTATAACATAAAAATCCTATAGATTCCCTCTTAGATTATTTGATATACAGCGTGTCGTTACCATCGCGACAATAATTGAACACACGTCTAACGCTACGTGCCAATAATCATAAAAAAATATTAACGTTAAACAAAATTCATAATTAAAAAAAAATATTTTTCAAACAAACTAATTAAGTAAAAAAGAAACAAAATTTGTAACATCCTATACAACTCACGCCACAGCGTCGTATTACAAGCCTTTCCTTCTAACACTATGTTTTGTCTCTTTTAATTTTTTTTTTTATGTGAAAAAGTGGCAAACGAGCTGGCGGTTTACCTGATGTTAAGTAATAAACGCCGCCCATAGACATTTGCAACACCCGCAGGGTTGCAAATGGGTTGCCACCTTTAAATAAAGTGGGCCCCGGCTACCTCACTCACCATACGAAACGCAGAAGTGTAACATTTCCACTCCACCCCAGTCTTCTGTGACGTCGTGGTACTTCCCCGGACGGACCTTCCCATTCGTGCAACAGCGAACTGTTGCGTGGCCCTACCTCATTTAGTGTTATTTCGTCAAATTTCCCGTAACACAGGATAAAATACACATAAAAAAACACCCTTAGGGCTGCAATTGCGTTGCCACCTTTAAATAAAATGCGCACCAGCTACCTCACTCACCAGACGAAACGCAGAATTAAGCACTTCTACTTTACGCCGGTCTTCTGTGGGGTCGTGGTAACTACCCGGACGGACCTGCCCATTCGTGCAACAGTGAAAACTGTTGCGTGGCCCTACCACAGTTAATTCTTTCAACCCATTCATATGCTTTGTGACCTTTACAAATGAACTTTACGTTACGCTTTTATAGGTGAGGGTGTTCTAAAATTCTTTGTTTTGGAAAATTTTATAACTCTGTAAATATTGATGTTTAAAGAATTTATATGTTTAATACAACTTTAAAAAGTTATCCCCTATATGTGTGTTCATTTATTGTCGCGATGGTAACGACACGCTGTATATGCAAAATCACATAATTTACCCCCCGTAATTATGGCTCGTTATTTTGAAAATCATTTGTATTACGCGTCATAAAATTCAAAATGTTCTAATTAATTATATAACCGCGCGGGTGTAACGTGCGGACACGAAAAGAGGTATGCAAATTGGTGTTAATATCCACTAAATCATACACGCACTAAAAGTTCTCTAAATTCTTCGAAAAACTCATTACTTCACGGTAAAATGTAGGTTTAACGAATGCTACCAAAATACGAGCCGAAACATTTGTAGCGAGCGCTGCTATTTGCCTACATCGCAATTAGCTGTTGATCTCCGCTCGTAAATCATCTTTTTCATTTGCATTTTCCTGCTTTCATAATGGAACGGAACGCGGCGCCGGTCGACATGCGCTATGTGGAGAATTTAATCTAATCGGGGGCAGCAAGTATTACGTACTCGTACAAAGAGCTTACAAAAATGTAAAGGTTTATTAAAAGCGTGTCGCAGACGTAAACTTAACCTCAGAGTTCCGAACTGCTCAGCCGCGGTACCGATACCGTTAACGCCTTCAACTAAATAACACGCACAAAATGGCCATTCAAATCCGAAAACAACGCTCATCTAAACTTACATTATACAAAAAAACGGCCATAAAATTAGCTTTTTTTAGTCAAGTGTCACTAGATGTCCATAACTACATTTTCTGTATTTTATTATTTTTCCCTTTAAAGCCTTTGTTGGCATTATTAAAAACCAAAGAAATATTTACTTAAAAACCAAGGTTTCACAATTAAATCTTGTTGTTTAATGAATTTTTGCAGCTAACAAATTCAAATCTCTGATGTAAGTCACACGTAAAATTTTTGTTTTTGATTTCGCTTAAATTCCCGGCGAGCCTGCTGCTGGTTTTCGCGTTGCGAGAGGTGCGCCTAAAGCTAGAGCGTGGATAGTTATTTTCGCAACAGATTCATTTTCGCTATTGCTATATACTCCCCAGGATTCCAAGAGGTGCAGAATGCTCAGTCATTATCGAACTTTTTTTATGTGAGAAGGTGACAAGCGGGCTGCGGTTCACCTGATGGTAAAAGATAACCGCCGCCCATGGAATGGACATTCGCAACACCCGTGGGGTTGCAGATGTGTTGCCTTAAAATAAGTGGGACCCGGTTACCTCGCCCACCAGACGTAATACAGAATAGAAGTAATACACTCCCACGTCACGCTGGTCTCTCACTGTGAGATCATTTTACTTAAATTGTTTCTCTAATACTATTACATTATTTCTCTTATGAACTTGGCAAGATTTATTTACCTTTGCGTATTCCCATCATCGATAAATCAGTATCAAAATAAATACGATAATTCCAAAAATTTTAGCTCACGTCCCCCATAACTATACCCATAAAATTGATATAATCAAGACTGTTGAGTCTCAACTTATGGATGGTGTTTTAAAAATTCATAGCAAGTTTTTTTTTTTTTTAATAGTTTCAATAAATTTTTAATTGCAGTGTCTTTCGTTGTTTACTTAAGATGGGATTCTATAAAATAAAATGGACATAGTGACTGTTAAGTTACCTTAAAAATTTAGGAACAACTTGCATAACTTGTAATAAACAGGTATTTGTGCTATTTGCTGCTGAAACCTTAGATTCGCGGGTTCTTCGCATAGCAAAATTCTTGAAAGATTTATAACCTCGAGTCAATTTTAAGACTGGTGACAGGAGGGTCGGTTCTAGTTACTATTCTGCGACGAAATACGGATGGGGTCTTTTTTATGTTAGTATTTAAATTGAAATTTGTTATTATTAACAAAATAACGTCAATATTAATAATTTTCAGGAACTCATCGGGCCACCTTAAGAGAGAGGATGCTCGCACGGCCACTAATTTTAAGCTATTAAATCTGACGTATAGTTTTTTTTATGTGAAAAGTTGCCATACGAGCAGACGGTTCACCCGATGGTAAGTGAGTACCGTCGCCCATGGACATCTGCTACACCCGAGGGTTACAGATGCGTTGACAACCTTTTGAAAATTGGTCTCCGGCTACCACACTCACCAAACGAAACGTGAAAGTATTTGTCAAACTTTCACTTTACTGCTACACTCCTTCTTCTGTGAGGTCGTGGTACTTCCCCGGACGGGCCTGCCCATTCGAGGCTGCTGCGTGGCCCTACCACCGTAAACGTAAAAAAATAAACTGTAAATATTTGTAGATAAATGAACAAAAACTTTCGGCGCTGCGGGATTGGAACCTGCGTCTTATGGTTTCGCAGCCAGACGCTTTGCCAATTCACCTAATCGACCGACGACCTCCTGGCGAGAAAATCTCGTTACCTATCTACGTTCTTTCTATTACTTTTTTAGCAATGCTTAGGTGTTTTATGCTGTAAAGGATGCAACCTAGATGGCGCCAAGCATTTAAGAAACACCAGATATACGTACCTAATAAGAAATAAAGTATTAAGAATTTAATATTAAAAGTCCTTAATACTGTCAAACGTTTTATTTTTTGGACTATGGTATATTCGGTTATTGTGCTGCTCTTAGATACACTTTACCCGTATTACGTGGATAGTCAACCAAACATAATTATGCACAATTTGCTTCACTGCATAGGACTTTTTTCCCATCAAAAAACAACTGAGTACCGACATTTGTTCAAGTTGATGGTACAATTTGGTGACAAATAAGAGACGGTCACAACTCTCCGCTCAGCTCGCGCCGATGCCGCCTTCGTACTCTACACGGGCGCGGGTGGCTGGCACCAGCGGCCGATCCTGTGTCCCCTCAAACTATCGATCGTCAATCAGCCGCCTTAAATCAACGGGACTCCTCGTTTTTTCGATACTCGTCTCCGCGTCTCCTAGCAGGCGACCTATCATTGAGCGCCGATGTAATGTTCTTGATGGTTTACGTTTTCAATTCAAAACTAATAAACTACGAAACTAATAAATAATACGAAAATTTTATGTTAAAAAATTAGCCTGAAGTAGCTAGAAGTTTACTTTTTTAAAGGTTGGAGACTCACCTGCAGCTTCTCAGATGTTGCAAACATTTACCATCAGATGAACCACCTATTTTTTTTACCGAAATTTCACTAAAAAAAATTGTGTTTAATCTCCAGAACTATTTAACTGATCTTAAATAAAATCAATTTTAAAGTTCATTAGGAGGCTTTATTATTCCCGAGTAACATAAAAATTCTTTAACTCTTAAATTCTCTAAACTTAAACTCTAAAAAAATTCAAATATAACAATCACCTGTTCGTAGAGCCGTGACAGATCAAACAGTTTATAATTATGGCACAAAATACGGCATATGAAGTTAAAATAAAAGAAGTTATTAAGGTAAAGGGCAAAAGCTATATTACTGTGTTAATTGTGCTAGAGATGTCGTAGCACAATTTAATTTCCGTTAAATTGTATGGAATGAAACTAATCTAACTATTTTGAACTTTACAAAGAAATAATAATTTACAGAGTAATCAACCATCAAGATTATCAGATCCATGTGTGATATATGTCGTGTCCGCGATCATATCTGCCAATCAATAGTTGGGCATTATGGAGCCTACTCCGAGGCTTTATGTCACCGTTTTCTATTGCATTGCCTTCTCACCACCTCTTTGATTTGGAAGCTTTGTAGAACACACGTTGCTTGCATACAGGCTCAAATATTTTTCTGAAGATTGATATGAAACATTAACGCTTTGGTCGTTTTAGCACATAGTTCTCTCTGTTAATATACACAGTTCCATACGTGAATTCCAAGATAGATCACACCCGGATTTCTGAATTAGAAGTCCTCACTATTGTGCTGATTCTCATAAATGTCTTCTCTTGCTCTGGCTTCGGTAAGGACGCGGATGAAAACTGAGATTATCTGTCTGTCCTTGAACACAGGCGCAGGGCGGAAAAAACTCATTCACTCTTGCCTTCAAGACAACTTGAAGTCTAGAGTCTTCATGTCGTGTCTAGGGTTTCTCAAAAACACTGTGCCTCTACTTACTAAGAACTAGGATAGAAGTGTAAGCAGTCCATAGTTAATAGCTCATGAAACGAATATTTGTTACCCCAACGACAGTGAAGTGCTTATGTCATGATACATTGTGTCGAAACATCAGATTGTTTTGGCAACTCTTGATGCTTGTTGACTCCGAGGCAGTAAGTAAAGTGTATGGAAGTGAAGGTACTCGCGGGGAGTGAGCTGGCGGAGCATCGGGCTGAGCGTGGAGGCCGGGAGCCGGCGTGCTCGGCAGCGGCTCCTCTGAATTAATTAGCGGGCATCCCGCGGCGTGGCCGGCCGCCGGCGATAGCATCGGCGCACAATTAATCACGGGCCGCCTCATTGCTCGGGCGCCGCGCCGCACCCACATAAATCCCCGAGGGCGGCCCACGATCACGGCCCTGATAAAGACGTTATTTGAATCCGCGCCCCCGCCCGTCACCCGCACCTGGCCAGGCCGCTGCCATACTCCATAGAGGTTCCAATTCGAAGGACACCAAAGGGTGGTGCCTAGCCATTTCTTTTTATGGATAATTTAAAGTAATGGCTTACTTCTTAGATTCCTTCATTAAAATTCTTACTCGCTACCAGTACTTTCTATAATTATTCTAACCTATGCAGTTTTGTATTCAAAACTATTGGATATATTTTCATTCTTAACATATTTTCAATTTTAAATTGTTTCACGCGCAACGATATTTCCATTTCAATTCCAACCTGTTTAAAAACAATGTAGTGCAAGGCAGGAATACATTTTTTGTAAGCATCGTGATTTACGCGTGGTGAGCGGCGGCGTCGGCGCGCTGACGGCTCCAGTCCTCCCGTCGATTCCCACGTAAATAATTGCCTAGTTTACTAACGAACGTGTTTCGAGGAAATTAATGGCGCGATTAAAATGAAGAATTTAGGTAATATTTATTTACAAGTTATTCATAACCGTTGTCCCGGTGGAAAAGAGCCGAATACATCAATAGGTATCGCTATCGGAATCGAAACGGAATTCGTAATGGGTTGGCGCGCCGCCGTCCACCGCGCCGCGGCCGACTCGCCGCCTTCCTGGAACCGCAAAAAAATGTCCGCGGGCCACTCCAATAAAATTAGAGAGCTAATCTATTCAGATATCCCCGATATGGGGAAGTGTTATCGGCGGGCGCACGGCGACATCTGCCGCCTTCGGGCGCGCCGCGATATATGCAGCGGCGGCCCTGAGCGGGTGCGGACGGGCCGCTCTCGGCGCGGCATTCCAGCGCGCCGCGACACTGCGACACCGCGACACCGCGACACCGCGTCACCGCGACACCGCGACACCGCGACACCGCGACACCGCGACACCGCGACACCGCGAAACCGCGCGGACGCAGCGCATGCCGGACCTCAGCGGCGGCCGTATATTAGGGCGCGCGGACATTGTAATGCAGCCCTTTGTCCGCGACGCCTTATTAAGGCCAGCGCAGCGACCATCGCCCCATTGTTCCGCGCTCACCGCTCACGTCTCACTTAGGGTCACTTGCAGGTATGTATAAATCTCGGCCCAAGTACTTGTTTACAATTATACACGATCGCGATGCCGTAGAAACAAATTATTCAATCTCAAAAATGGTTATTGATATTTTAATTATAATACTGCACACGCCTTGTCACATAAAAATTCCAAAGCAACGTAAGTTTTTGGTACGTAAGTTTATCTTGTGTGCAAAAAATTTAAGCGGCTATAGACAGTTTCATCCCTCACGCAAAATATATGGTTGATCCAGGGATGGAAAATATGAATAATGCTCCGTTAAATTAATTTATTCATTCAAGAGGTCGAATTGCTTTTAACTTCAATTATAAGCAACGTAAGTGAAGACATGTGAATGCCTACACATGTCCCACTGCTTGGCAAAGGCCATGTTAGTAAAGAAGGGCTTCAGGGCATAGTCAACTACGCGGCCCCACTGCGGATTGGCGGACTTCACATATATTCCAAATACGGTTTTTGTTTCATTATTTCAAAAATATCGACGGTATGAACTCAGGTGCTCGAGTAAATTGAATTAATGCCGAGCGCCCGGACACTGGGCTATCAAGGCTCTTGGATAAATAATATAAAAATTATAAGTATTTTTAATTTTCCTTCAAAATTTAATGTTTCTCTTTAAGGGCAGAGATTATCCCTACAAAAACTTAATATAAAACTTTATTGCTCCCTCGTGGGTTTCGGTTAGATAAATAGAAAGTGCTTACTGTCCCTTGAAATCATCCAACAAACTAATAGTAACGATAAAACGGGATTTTCGCTTAGTTTATTTTTTGTAAATCAGTGTATATATTACATTACAACTTATTTATTGAGCATATAAAATTATACATCTGAATTATTGATAAAGCTGATGTCTTCTCGGAAGAGTAGCCGCGCAGGGCCTCCAGTGGTCAGCTGCAGTTACAATACCGCCGTTGCGCCATTATTAAGCGCAATTTCTCACATGATAATTATACCCATAAAGTTTTATAGCAAGTGATGAGCGGAATAATTAACGGTAGAACCGAGACCCTCAAGTCATTGGGAAATGCCTTTGTCTCAATATATTTCTCAGTTCACTCGATAATGCCGACATAAGCCTATAACAAGTTGTCAATCTGCCTGCTGCCGAACTATCCCAACAGCCAAGGAAAAATGTCCTTTCATCTTTAGCCCAAGCCCGAGTCAGATATTCACCGATCAGGGAACTGAGAAAGAGAAAATCTTACTTAAATAATGCAGCGCAGGTAATTTGTACTCCAATCAAGAAGAGAGGCCGTCAACGCTTTTGCACGTCCAACTTGTGATAGCCAACGTTCAGGTGATGCTCAACTGCCACGTTTCCATTAAAAAAAAAACCAAAAAGAACTGAAAATTATCGTGTCAAATCATTGAAGCACATGGTTGATAACCATTAGACCAGACCTCATTTAAACCGCATAAAGGCAAAATTTAATCAATCAAAATTTTTTTTCGTCGTGCCTTTTGACACCTAAGTATGCAGGGAACGCGAAATTTATTCCCATGTGAACGTTTCCTGAAATGTGCTGCAAAAGAAATGCGTAATCAGTGACTTTACGCCGACGCTACTAATGAGCCGCGCCGTTTCCGTTCTCGTATGCAAAAAATCTCAAATGTTCGCTTCTTGAGCTTAATACAAAATTTCACGTGAATAGACGCCCGAGGAATATTTCAGAATCAAAACTAGCAAAGTTTATACTATACGTTCTAGGTTACTAATAAACATTTCTAGCGCTTGATTTATTGCTGATAAGAGAGCTGGATTTTTTCTCACTCAACGATGGATTCAGCGAGGAAACGTAACTAGCGTATATAAGTTTGTTCATAACCTGTTATTTACTTAGTTGTTGAGAAAATTGTAAATGTTATTTGTTGTTAATAAAAACTGGGTTCAAAAACAACTTTTCTTTTGTAAGAAAGTATATACGGGTATTGGGCCAATAAATCACTCAAACACCATGGAAGCACTACCTATGTCCATTACACAGTATTTTCCCGTATATATTGTGGAATCGAACCCCCACGCTCTGACGTTAACGTAACTTAACGTAACTTTCCTTGTGAATGAGTCTCATGCTGTACACAATCAAAAGCATTGGTTAAGTCACAGAATATACTTAAGAAATCCTCTGACTCTTTCCAGGCTTCAAATATATTCTTAACACGTTGGCTACCCGCATTTGTTGTTGAACGACCCCTAGATAAGCCATTTGTCCATCTTGATAAGCCATCTTGTTATGCCCTAAATTATGTACAAAAAAATGCGGTAACATTTGATTCAATATATTTTTACTAAAAGTTAGTTACTAAAGTTACCGAGATAGGTTTATAATTATTAGGGTCCGGTCACATTTACAACAACACAAATTATTTTACTTTACATATTTCAATAAGTTCAAGAAGTCGACATATTGAATAGAAATATTAAAAATTATTACTAAGTACATTATTATATAGATTACATAAATAATAATAGAACTGATTCCCTTGACAGAGATCTCAGAGATTTAAATGTTATAACAATGTCTTTTTATAAACTCGTTGATATATGTCTATGTCAATTCAAGTCTAGTAACTTCAAGTATTTAAAATGGTGGTCGTGGGAGAAAAGAACATCTCGTTATTGGCAAGTTTATTCGCATGCTTATATTACGCAAATTTTTTTTTAACCTTAGAAAGCGGCAAGTGAGCTGGTGGTTCACCTGATGTTAAGATATAACCATTTTTAAATGGACATTCGCAACATGGCTGCAGATGCGTTGCCATCTTTTGACAAAGTGGGTCCCGGGCAGGACGTCCCCGTATCTCTCCATTCGTGCAACAGCCGGAGCTTTTATATATTGAGCTTTTCTATTTTTCAAGTATTCAAATATACTCTTTTAATAATAAAATACTCGAGTTTTTGCATAAATCTTAATATAATATAAACTTAAGTTCCTATAATTGACATAACGTTAGGGCAATAAATACGGGAGGGCCGTAAACATAAAGTCGCTTTTATATCGCTTATTAGAAATGAAAGTACATATAAAGAGAACAGATTTTTACTAAAATGCTGCAACATGTTAAAAACTTTTTTCCCTTTTCAGGTTTTGAATGTTAAATTACTCTAGTTAAAAAGAATCATCTTTCATCACATGCCCCTTTCAAAAGCTTGATTATAACTAGCTATATAAACTTTATTATAAAACAACTAGAACAACTTAAATGACCTACTGGAAAAACGAAATGTAAAATGTGAAATAATTAGGCTGATAATGGTAGCAGACGTTGGAATTAGCGGCGGCTCACTTTCCAGTACCGGGAACAGGGGATGCGTCGGCAAAAAGTACGAATTAGGCAGGTAATAGCATATAGAAGGAATCTGGCGCTCGGCGAGGAGGGGGCCGAGGGACGGGGCGGGGGCTTTTTTGCGGCGACCGTTGTGGCCGCTTTGTGCTCGCCGCCCGCACTACTTTAATCAGGCGGACATGTGACAACTCGTCTACCAGAGTCCGCACTCCGCGCCGCCACTGCCGGCTCAGAGACATCTATCGACTTCTGGTCAACAACTAATTCTCCTATAAGTTAATGGCCAGAATAATGTATATTAATAATGCAAACTATTCAACAGCTGAGTTTAATCAGAACACGTTCACAAACTGACAAAGCTATTAAGACCGATCAGTCTGATACATTATTAATTAGTTCATTAATTGAACGGGGAAAAGATAAACCCCAGAGATTACTACGGATAATGCTATCAAATACAGGTATCAATTGTAATCTATGAAAATTTCTGTAACAACGATTAGGAATACCTACACAAAAAGTATATAGTAAACATTAGAAGATGAATTAGATAATGTCGTTGTCCCAGTACATGTTTGTTTGGGTGTTTAAAATTTGATTTAAGCAACTTTTAGTTACTGCTTCACAGAATTTCTAGAAAATGTAAGTAATGAATAAGTTTAGCTGCAAAGAAATAAATGGTTCGATCTAAACAGCCACTCCTTAAAGTAAAAGTATACGTTGCGCAACCACAAAAAATTAGAGTTCTACGTTGTTTCCAATTATCAATAGAAACGGAGCATTTTCTTTATACAGGGTGGCTTTTCTAAAGGTGCCCGAATTCACACAGGAGGTTCAAACTAGGTAATATAATCGTTTATTGAAATAAATCTTTTTTTTTAAAAAAAATGCCATTCCAATCCCTAACAAACAGAACTTGTTGATAATGCGGTAGTCATTCATAAATGCGTTGTATACTTTGGAAACGAACTTGTGTGCGTGTTAGTTATGAATGATCGCGCGTAAAATAAATGAGTTGCCCATAAAATCTCAGGAAGAGCAACAATGTAAATCTATCCTAGCTATAAAAATATTTATTTATTTTTGTATGTTGCATGTTTTTGAATACTGTTGTTAAACTGAGTAAGTTCAAGTTTATATTAATAATAATATAAACTAGAACAACTATATTATAGCAATATTTATTGCATGTACTAACTTATTGTATGTATGACGTAACTTTGGCGAATTAGCGAATTTAGCTAATTTTAAATAAACAATTATTGTCACATTTTTATAACTGTATAGCAACATGAATCCGATATTCCATATCATACAATAATCGACAACGACGACGAGTGTTAGTGGCTTAATTTTTTTAAAAATTTGGTGCTTTGGTCTCTGCACGTAAGATGAAACTTAAAAATGGTAACGCGTTTAATTTTTTATTTTAACTCTCGACGATTCTAATCCTTTACAGCGTTCATGGTCACGGGACCTATCATGGAAATAAAAAAAAATCAGATCATTCGGGAATTCAAAATAAAAATAAACGCGATAAATCCGTAAAGTTAGTTTCATTTATAATGTGTAATCGCGTAAATACGAGAAATTATCATTTCCACAAAATGTTATCGCCGCTGCCGGGATTCGAACCTAGACCTTCGGGATTACGCGGACACTAATAATTGTTTGTCATCAAATTATCGAGGGTGAGTATAAGGAACGGATCATTTAATTATAATTCATAAAGGTGAAGAAGAAATGTGTTATCATATTGACTTCATTAATCTGTTACGTTCGAGTCTATTGCACGGATTTGATCTGCAAAAATTTTACTTTTCGACTTCCCCTTCTTCTTCGTCTTAAATTATAAGTCGCGTTCATAAAGAAAAGGACCGTATGCTAATTCGTTTCACACGAGCGGAAAGAATCGCGCTCCGTCGTATTGCCTTAGTGATCCAGTTGGGATTTTGTATTATTTTCTTCAAGAGCCCAATCTGCGTGTAAGGTCGTGGACACGGGTTCGTCGTCGAGGAGGCGGCGTCGGTCCTTAATTAAATTTATCGCGCTTATCGCGGACGATCGCGCGCCTGTGAGAACCGCGCGGATCGCTCGCATTCTGCGACCCCGTGAGAACCGCCCCACCTCAGCCTCAGCCTCAGCCTCCGCCGCTAACGGCATTCTCGTGTTGCTCGTACGCATGCGCGCTCACCGACCATCCATGTCACCGGCAACGGCAGCCGCTCGTAAATTCGGTGCGCGAATCACCTTCGCGCACGCGAAATTACTCCCCGCCCGATCGAATGCGCAGTGGCTAGAGCGTAAGGTCGCTAATGCCGAAGACGTGGGTTCGATTCCCACAGCGGCGACAATCTTTTTGTACTTTTTTTTACATATTTTAATGTTCAATCTTAAGTGCAAAGATTAGCACTATACACAATTTAAATTTCTAAAAAGCAATGGAGACATCTCTCGTTCGAATTATCGTTGTAAAACGATATTCAAAATTAGCCCCAAGCATTGCTTCAAATGCTAAGAAACAATGTAGAAAAAACCTTAAGATTTTCGTCGGTGTGGCAATTAGCCGTTTAGCTCAGTGGCTAGAGCGTCAGGCCGCTAATGCCAAAGACGTGGGTTCGATTCCCACAGCGGCGACAATCTTTTCGTACTTTCTCTACATATTTTAAAATAAACTATTCTAGCTTTATTTACATCAGTCAGACATCTTATTTTCCTTACAGCATATGCTACAGAACTTAGTCTGCTAGCAAGTTTGGATATATGGAGGCCCCATTGAAGCTTTGAATCGAGAGTTATTCCTAGAAAAACAGTGGTATCCACAAGGCCTAACTCGTCCCCATTTATGAGTACATTGGCACCACCCAAGTGTTTAGCATTAGGTTTCGAAAATTTTATACATTTAGTTTTATTGCCATTTAACAGTAAATTATTAGTATTAAACCAATGAACTATTTCTGACATAGCATGATTTACCTCTTCAAGTGTTACAATATGTCGCTTAATTTTAAAGATTAATGAAGTATCATCGGCAAACAACACTATGTCATGTTTTTTTCCTACTAAGTAGGGTAAATCATTAATATAAACGAGAAAAAGGAATGGGCCAAGAATCGAGCCTTACGGAACGCCCATTGATATCATCGACCCAGAAGAACTAGCACCATTAATTACAACTTTCTGAATTCTTTTACTTAAATATGACTTAATCAAGTCAAGCGCGGTTTTTTTTTTTTTGGCTGGATGAGCCACTGTTGGCCTTAGGGGCCTTCACAGATCCGACGGACTTGAGGTGGCCTGGCGCACGAGGCGCCTAGCCTGAACCTCGGCGTACTATTATTACGCGTTATGGTGACTAAGCTCGAGGGCTCCCGGGGGAGCCTCGGCTCGGGCCGTCACGCTATTATTATCACCGGTTTGGGAGGCCGCCAAGCTCTTAGGGCGCTTTGGCGGGCGCTCCATGGAGTGATCAGGCTCAAGGGTCCCCGAGAGGGGACCTCGGCTTGGGCTGTCACTCAGCACGCGTTTAGCATTCCGATTCGAGGGTGCCCGAGAGGGCCGGACCTCGGCTCGATCGGTAGCTATTATCTGACTGGGGGAATTACTAGAGCTAACATTACTACCACTTCGGAGAGCGTTGGCGCTGGGAGAAGAAGTGGCGGAAGAAACTCCAGCAACGCTTCTATCATTAATAGGGGAAAACCTGCCTGGTACGTGGCGGAACCTAGTATATGTTTGCCGCACTCGCCGGCGAGTGCGGTGTGTGTTGGTGTGTTTCTTGAGTTTTTTGATCCTTTCGATGGCGATAGTCGTCTCATCGTCAGGGAAGTCGAGAACGTGACGCGGTCTTCGGTAATCGCGGCGGAAAATGTTTAGCGGCAAGGGCCTGTAGGTGACGGCACCTACGATAAGTGGGTTGGGATGCGCGGCGGCGGAATCGAAATATCGGCGCGACGCCGACTTCAGGAATTGCGCGATGGTGGGCAATTCTAGGTCGACATGTAGGTCGATATTGCGCATGAACCAGGGTGCTCCCGTGGCTCTGCGCAAGAATCGATTTTGAATCACCTGAAGCTGGTGTATTTGCTTCGGAGCAATGTGAGCGAAGACGGGGCTCGCGTACGTCATGATAGGGCGAACTACTGCCTTATATAAGGTCACCTTGTTCCGAAGGGACATTTTTGACGTTTTATTGAGGAGCGGGTAGAGGCGACCGAGTACGAAGGCCGCCCGGTTCCTGACCTGGGTCACGTGCTGGGTGAATTTAAGCTGGGAGTCGAGGACGACGCCCAGATATTTGACTTTCTTAACCCATGGTACTGGACTGTCCAAGAGTTTAACGGGGGGAGGAATGGGTATGTTCTTTTTGTGCGCGAAAAGGACGGCCGCGCTTTTGGCGGGATTGATTTCGATCCTCCATTGCCGAAACCAGTCACCGATGGTGATGGCCGCAGCTTGGAGGCGTCGATGGATCAATTCGGGTGTTCTGCCTGTGGTATAAATACAGGTGTCGTCGGCAAAAAGAGCAAGTTCTACATCTTTGACACGCGGCATGTCATTGGTGTAGAGAGTGAACAAGACTGGTCCCAACACCGACCCTTGGGGCACCCCGGCTCGAACGGGATGCGTAGTCGAACACACGCCCTCGACGCGATAGCGAAAGGTTCGATTACTTAGGAAGTCTCGTATTATGCATACGAGACGGTCGGACACTCCGTACCCGTATAGCTTGTATACGAGCCCGTTGTGCCAGACTTTGTCGAACGCTTTTGCCACGTCCAGGTAGAGCGCACCGGTGTTGAGTCCACGTTGACGTTTGGTTAAAATGTGCTCCGTGATGCGGTGCACTTGATGGGTACATGAGTGTTTGGCTCTAAATCCAAACTGCTCTGGGATGGGGAGCCCTTTGGTGTCCATAAGGGATCTTAAGCGGGCTAATTTTAGTCTTTCAAAGATCTTCCCAAATGTTTTGAGAAGACTTATTGGACGATATGAGGTTGGGAGAGTGGCGGGTTTAGACGGTTTGAGGAACCCTATGACATCGGCTTCCTTCCACTCGGATGGGAAGAAGCCTTCGGTTAAGGCCGCGTTGTGTCAAGCGCGGTATTTTTAATGCCATAATGGCGTAATTTCCCGATAAGTGTTTCATGATTGACGCAATCAAAAGCCTCGGAAAGGTCACAAAAAACACCCAGAGCATCCTGTAAATTTTCCCAAGCCTCAAATATATGCTCAATCAGTTCTACACCAGCATCGGTTGTAGAACGACCCCTTGTAGAACCAAACTGACTTTTATGTAATAATTTGTTTAAATTAAAATGTCTTAACAGCTGATCAGATTAAGTTTTTCGAAAATTTTACTAAGAGTCGGTAGAATAGAAATAGGTCTAAAGTTAGTGGAGTCAGAACTACCGGATGTAAATAAAGGTACCTATGACTTTACTGTGTTTCATCAAATCAGAAAAGACTAATGTACAAGGAAGAATAAAGAAAATTTTAAAATATACCTCAAAGTAAAGTGAAATACAATATAAAATAATCGCAAGTGAGAGCTGGCGACATAATGAAGAGACGCGATGGCTCAACTAATTAGTGAAATGGGTTTCCGAAGAAGCGTCGACGATTAAAAAGAAAAGAAATGTCTGTATGAAGAATCCGAAGTGGATTAGCGCGGTGTAATTAAGGCTAGACAATGGGCGATTGCTTCATGAATCGTCTGCGGAATACATTCCGACGGCGACGTGTTTATAAATCTGTCGGCGCGTTCTCTCTCGCTCCGCCCGCGCCGCGGATCAACTCGCTATTTATTCCCACTCGCCTAAATATAACTAATAATGCTCCAGCCGGACAAAGCTTACCGGAAACCTCCGCTCCACTTCTGATTCAAACTAATCATTCTAATTTCATTCTTCTCTTACTTTGTTTTGCCTTTGCCTTAGTATCTTTCGGGTTTCACCCGATATAGTCAGTAAAAAAAAGGATTACAAAAAAACAAAAACCACTACTGCGTAAAAAGAAAAACTGTTAATCCTTCTATTCCGCATAAGGATTTATGATTCAGTATCATAACTAAATACAGTCGAATTGCGACTGATAGAGGTCTAAGCCGAGGTTCACACTGCGTGAGGCTAGATGGTTATTGGACGGTGGCGGGAGGCTGCATGACGCGGACACGGAGCGGCATGACACGGATGGGGCGCACTCTGAATGAATTGGCAAAAGACAGTGTCACGTCCGCGCTGCCACGTCATATTTTAATCGGGCATTTGACTAATGATGAGATGCGCTCGGGATCGGACGTGGCGGCGGTCGGAGGGGAGGCGGCGGCGGGGGCTACGGGAGAGCCCGACACGAAGATTGATGTCGCCGGGCGCGATAGGCATCTGGGCGGTTTTTGTGGCGCGTTCCCAGGCGGCGCGGCGGGGGCCCAGCGCGCGACATCCGTCTTGCACTGTCACCAGCCGCGGCCACGGCTCGACCCCAGTCCGTGATCACCTCAACAGCGCCCAATGTTGCCTTGTTGCAACACCGGCCCCCTATTCACGCACATCGGTTTTTACTACATGCTACTTATATTCGTTTGCTATTTTGTCTACAAGTAGAATGTGTTTCAAGTTAGATATCCTAAATGTTTGTCAGCTAATCATGTTATGTTACGATCAAATCCCTTATCAAAGGGAACACGTTTCAAAGTAACGGAAGAAATAATGTATCCAACACAAATAAAGACTCAGAAGTAATATCGAGAAATTAAAAATAAGCATGAATAGTTCTTTTTTTTCTACAACGAGTAATAATTTATTGCTGATGACTCTTAAACGAATAAATTGCTACAAAGAATATACAAGAATATATATACGTTGGCTTCAACGGATAACTTAGTCCGTGATATTAGGTCTTATGCTTGGTATCTTTGGTATATATTTTGGATGGGTAAATTAATAAAACGGTGGGTGCTTGTTGTTACCGTTTAATTAAAGCGTACGCTTTGTAAACACAGTTCTGTTTATTAAATATTCAGAGCTTTTTTAGTCTTCTTTACTTTGTGATAGAACATAATGTACTTATCCACTAATTCTAAGAGCCGTGATAGCTCAGTGTCCGGGCGCTCGCGTTTAATTCAATATACTCGAGCAACCTGAGTTCGATCCCCGGTGCCGGCACCAATGAAGTTTTTAACTTTAAGTGCTGTTTTATCACGTGCTCCGCGGTGAAGGAAAACATCGTGAGGAAACCTGCATATTTTCGAAATAATAACAAAAAATATTTCGAAGATATGTGAAGTCCGCCAATCCGCAGTGGGGCCGCGTGGTGGACTATGCCCTGATACCCTCTGTATAGAGGAGGCCTTTGCCCAGCAGTGGGACATGTATAGGCTGTTACTTTACTTTTTTTACTAATTCTAAAATTATTAAGAACCTTTCTAATAAGCTTAACCGTGATTAAGAGGCTCTCATTTGAATGATGAGGCTTACGTGATGAAAGCTAAGTTAAAATATTATAATAATACAGTATATAATTTACTAAAATAGTTACACACTAAAAAATCGTGTTTCATTTTCACCAAAAAACAAATAATAACTATCCGTACATACCAACATTTTGGAATAATGTTCCTTCGTGGATTATTTTCGCCCCTTTATTAGTGGATTATACAGGACGACTAATAATTTCATTTATTTATTTACTTTTGTTGTATTGCAAATCATACAGTACTTACATATAATAGTTTCTACAACTACGCACAGATATTTATGCCAATAATGTTTTCATTACTAACTACACACTTTGGATCTGAAGTAAACAATTTTAATAACTCCTTTTAACATCGTTATGTATATTTATTATATATATATTATAAAGGTTCAATTGTATGAATGAAAGACTTACCTACTCCAAAAATGTTAACTAATATTGTAGTACAACGTGTTGCGCAACCCGAGCTAAATCGTAGAATGGCCCGACCGGATTCAAAATCAAGCATACACATTCATAAGTCACACGATTGGAGAACATGAGAACTCGGCATTATGGTTTATGCTCCACTACTAAAGTGTACGTAACTATTACAACGTTACATGCAAAACAATGCATATTTATGCGATAGCTGCAATCGCCGTTGATTTCCTGTCATATTTCCTAAATGATTATCAGATCTATATGATATTTACATGGAACCATTTCGGTATGAAACCCTCTCGAACAAAAAAAGAATTTTGCAAATCCGTCTATATATGACGAAGTTATGCCAGAACATACCTACATAAAAAATATATACATCCGAATTGATAACCTCCTGCTTTTTGAAGTCGGTTAAAATAGCTTAAACGAGGGATGAGAGCTAAGTGTAAATACATTATATTACAATTATTGTACCCGTTATGTTTCATGACTTTGTTTATATGTTATTATGAAAACACTTAACACTATATTTGGACAATTAAAAGCATTATTAAACAAAACCAAAGTGCCTTTCAATATATACTATAACCATTCCTCTTTTTATTTCTCGGAAATACTATATTGAAATAATGTAGCACCTACATTATTTGTTATGATGTTAACTTACTCGTATATGTCGAAATCTGTGAAAGGGTTTACTAAAAGAAACAAAAGCTCTATTCCTTAACCTCAGTTTCTAAACACAGAAGCCAATGACAATATAACAGTTAAGTGTTCATATTTATTATAACATAGCTTATTTACGACTCGTACAATCAACTGAATTCGTTAGAAATTCTTATGCTCAAAAAATTCTTAAAAATAAAGCAAATCATCCCAAATAGAAATCAGGCGTTGCGCTGCGAATGTCCAATGACCGCCACCAATTGAGCCTGCGTCGGCCGAGCCAGAGCAAAGGGCCGGTCCGCCATCGATTGTGCCTCCCCCCCCCCCCCCCCCCACCTTGCCCTCCCGCGTGGTCCTTCCCCCCCCCCCCTTCCCCCGGCCTCCGTCGTCCGCTTAGCCCTCCCCGTAGCTGGTCTCGTCCGCGCACGCTTCGCCGGATTCAATTAAACCCTTGACTGGTCCTGGAATCCCGGTCGGGACCTTCCAGTGCGTCCCTGTTATAAACAAGTGCCTACAAAGTTGTAATATTTGAAATCATCCTGTAGACGGGGCGCGCACAATACATTAATGCACAAAGTCATTTATTCGGATGTTATTTTTTTTTTGGTTTTTTTAAAACATTGCCCTTACTTTGGGATAACATTATCCTGTGTTGTAAGGACGTTTTTACAAACATAAATTTCACGCGGACGAACACCCAGATGTGGAACAACTATCTGTGAGTCACACAAATAGTTGTCCCGTGTGGGGATCGAACCCACGACTCCCGAGGCCGAAGCCGAAACCTTGGCGACTGCGCTACGGAGTCACCATGTTAAATCCTAGAAACCTATATTAAAATATTTTTTTACAGGTTTCAACCGCTTTTACCCACTGTTGGGATGTTTCTTTGTGCAAATCCATGATGCCATTTTTCTCTAAATTACATGTCCCATTTCACTAAGTTGATGGGTAGTTGAATATATTATTGTCACATCTACAACCATCGAGAAGGAAATAGGTAGGTAAGTATGTAGGGAACTGCTACGAAAACTTATTCTCTATTTTTTACATATATTATGACCGACTCCGCGAGATTCACTCTACTTATTAAATCTTTTTACGTTTATTATCTCGCGTTACATTTATTTTTTAAGTCGGAGGTTTTCAAGTTATTATATTGAGTCTTAAGCAAATACAAATGTAGAGTGTGGTGGGTGTTTCTCCACGTGAAATGTATCTTTGTAAAACGGCCATAAAACACAGTATGATGTTATCACAAAGTAAGTGCAATATTTAAAAAAAGAACTAGAACTTTAATTAAGGGAGTGAGTGTTTCCTGAAAAAAAAAACTTTTGGTAACAAAACACAAAAACCGTCTTGAAATATCGCACTTATTATAAATTTTCTATAAGATTTTGAGGAGTTTCTATGATCTATCTTCAGCAAGGTCTTCCAAGGTCCAATTCCGATGAAATGATATGGGACCACGTAGGTGCTCCTACGTGGTCCCATATCATTTGTCCAACCCGAACCCAATTTAGCAAAAAGAATTTTTAAAATTGTTTCTTAAATCACAGAGTTGTGACGTAAAAGAAATTCGTTTAAAAAAACTATAAAACACGTTTTTGTTATCTACCTAACTAAAAAGTACAAAATAATTTTCAATAAATTTAAATTATGAATAGTGTGATTAACAAATAAAAAATATTGTAGATAAGTAGGTTTTATATATTTAGAACAAAAAAAAACCGACTTCAAACAGAAAACTAAAAAAACATTGTCAACCCCTATAACATTTGAGGATTGCCCTCGATTTCTCTGGGTCGCCTTCATCAGATCTGATTTCCTTACCACCCTTAGGATATCTCCTTTCAAACAAAAAAAGAATCATTAAAATCGGTTCACAAATGACGAAGTTATCCCCGAATACACATAAAAAAAATAAAAATGTATACGGTCGAATTGAGAAACCTCTTAAAAAGCTCGGGGTCACGAGCCAATTTTTATAATATTTTAATGACGGTATACACAGCGTACTAATTTAGGATAATATTATGCAGTGTTGTAAGGACGTTTTAAAAACATAAATTCCACGTGGACAAACACCCAGATGTGAATCAACTATCTGAGGGTTACACAAATAGTTGTCCCGTGTGGAAAGTGAACCCACGGCCCCCGTTGTACCACAGCAAATGCGCTCCAGAGTCATCAAATCTTTCAAGTCTCTGACAAGTGTCCAAAGTTTGATTCAAATCTGATCGTTCAAAGTGGATCACCTTTGAAGATTCCGTTACATTCATACATACATATAGGTGAAACTAATATATTCATAATTCATGACGGTTTAAGTAAATAACTTGGAATTATGTAAAATATAAATAATTTCTTATTTGTTGCCATGGAGACAACCACGAAGTGGGTGTCGGTTTTAGTTGTCGCGGATTGTAAAAATTCACTGTGATCGTTTTTCCCAAACGCGTTCACTTAACTCCAAAAATACAACCGTATTGGGAACCGAGGGGATTCCGAGAGAGGATTCCGGTTTTTATTTTATTTTGAACTTTAATTTAATACAATATTATTTATAATATATTCATAGTTGTGCATTATTAAAAGAGATCAAATAGTTAAAAAAGCGCGTTAAAAACGTCTTAGGGATTGGGGAGGCGTTTTCAATAACTTATCACTCACCATGCTCTTCTCCCAATATTTAAAGCTACAATCCATTTGTTGCAAAAGCAAATATGCCGCGTGGCGCGCCGAAGTGTCTGAGCAGGCAGCGTGACGTCGCTGAGATGCTATTCATTAGAGCAATCATCGGAGCGCCCGGACCCCGCCGTATTCGCATCAACGTGTCTTCGGGAAGGCATTCTCACAAGAGCCGCCATGAGGCCGATCACGCATGCCATCAATCGATCGTTGAACATTGTGTTCGTCTACACAAATGAAATTGTTTACGTACTGTGCATTTGAAGCGAGCTCTCGCAGAAAGAACGGCGAGCACGAAGCCGGCCCCACTGGTAGGTGTAGGTACTCTGGGTAAAAAGAAAAGGAGAGAAGTGAACTGTTGGCGTAGCGATGCGGAAATATTATCAAAGAACGCGAAGTCATTGAGTGAGTGAATGTTGTTTAATAAAAGGTAGAGGCGCGGGTCGGGGTTCGCGGCCGTGGGCACGTGCTCGTGCGTCCCGAATTAATTCGCCGCTCCCTCGCGCACCAGCGGCCGCCTAAAGAGATTAATACGCGGTGCGTGCCGGCCGACAAATCGTCCGGGACGGCACTAATTCGCTTTTATGACATGCCAAATTGCTCCCGATGAGTCGGCTCGCAGAGCGCCGCACGTGCGCACATATTAAACTTTTCATTAGCCGTGGACGCGACCCCGCGACCCATGCGACCCCCGCGCCAACCACTCTCCCTCAAGCCCATCCTCAATTAGACCAGCTACCTGCTCCCAATATAACCCCGACAAATAGGTTATATTACACCCGTACTACCAATTGATTTCATCATGACTGAATGGAGGAAAGGTTTACTAAGCTTCACTTTGGCAACGTTAAACATAATGATTAAATCAATCATTTGCACACACTGCTGTTTCATATCAAAATCAATATAATATTTTGCATATTTCCGTGAATACTGAACATCACTAAAAACGTAACTGTGTTGTTTTATTTTATTTTTCACGAAAAGCTTTTCCCAGTAACAGTTTTTTGGTTCAACATTCTATAGCTTTAAACCGTTGCTGATTATTATGTTTGCATATTACATCGTCCCGATGACGACAGTACGTTGTCTCATTCGATTAACGGGTAATGGTTAACGCTCGAAGTGATCCGGGGCAATAAAGTGCCGCCACGTGCGCGGGCCGCTCCTCTAATTCGCCCCACAAGGGCACAACACAACATTATTTGATTTTTAATTCGGCTCGGTGCAAGTGGAATGCGCCTATTGAGTACGGACCGGGGAGGGTTGCGGGTGCGAGGGGCTACGACGCAGCCCGTACGGCCCCGGCTTAAGACATTTAGGAATGAGAGGCGTTTCGCCCGAGCATTCCAACTATGCACAGGCGATAGATTGCTGCCAGGCTACGATTGCGCAAGGGAAGCGGGAGAGGGGGGAGGGGAGGTATGACGAAAAGCAGGGAGTGATATTTTCGCGCGCGTAATATCGACTTTTATTGGTTTTTTCTCGGCGACAGCTTCCCTCGAAGAGCCGCATATTTGCTTTGTCGGCGCCCGTCGCCGCCGAGGGGCGTTCGCAATATGGAGACAATCGCGGCCCATTATTGTGCATTATTGCTTCGGTCTCGAATTGGGTTGCCACCGCACCAAGGCTTGGATAGATCGCGCGACCGAACTACGCATTACTCTTCAAATAATTCTGCATACAACGATCAGAACTCATGACTCGTAAACAGATCTCGTAGGATCTAATGAGAGGAATGGCTATCGTAGAATTCCCAATCCTTACCTCTGTAGGTGTGTTAGGAAGTTAGGATCCGTTGTGCGGTGAGCGGACGAACGTTGTCGAAGAAAGTTTCAAATCTTGGATCCGAGTTCTTCCATGACGACTAGTGATGTTCCGGATATCCGTATCCGCGGATATCCGCCGGAGAAAAAGATCCGTATCCGTTATCCGTTACATTGCGGATCTTTTACCTTATTAATTTTTTATACATTGAAATAAGAAAAGTTATCAAACGAGCAGACGGTTCACCTGATGTTAAGTGAATACCGCCGCCCATGGACATCTGCCACACCCGAGGGTTACAGATGCGTTGACAACCTTTTAAAATTATCTTACACACACATATAACCTTCCGAATATTTCGACTTTGGTGAATAATTTTATGAGTTTCTTCATCTTTTAATGAAATACCCTTGAAATTACGTCATGAAAATCGAAAGACCGCTGACCAGATAATGGTTCCGCTTTAATTACGGGATATTCGGGGTTACACATAAAAGTGACAAATAAGTCTGGTCTCCCATAGCTTCAGACATAAATCATCGCATCTTTGGTTTTTCAATGCAGATAATTCGGAGAACCTGTAAATGAATATGACGTTGCAGATTACGCGTCGACCGATATTTGATGGGCCAATGTCTTGATTTAAAGCGTCTCTAAGATGAATGTTTCACCAGAATTCAATCTCTGGTGATCACGGCATAATATATGATATCTTTTTGCCATCATATCGACAATGTATTGTATAAAAACCAGCCAAGTGTGAGTCGGACTCGCACACAAAGGGTTCCGTACCGACCTCAAAAATATTTATATAAATAAATATTTTTATTGAAGTGTTAAATAGAAGTGTTTCGACTGGTAAGAGAGGTAGCCGAGGCCCAACTTTATTTAAAGATGGCAACTCATTTGCAACCCTACAGGTGTTGCAAATGTCCATGGGCGGCGGTTATTACTTAACATCAGGTGAACCGCCAGCTCGTTTGCCGCTCTATCACATGACACTCTATCACAGAAAAAAACTACTACTGTCAACATTATCTATAAAAACGCCAAAAAAATCATGTCTGTTTTGTCCCACTTATTTATACTTTTTTGTTTTTTAGTATTTGATGTTATAGCGGCAACAGAAATACATCGTTCGTGAAAATTTCAACTGTCTAACTATCACGGTTCATGAGATACAGCCTGGTGACATATAGACAGACATACGTTGAGAAATAGTCAAATATTAACCGTCTTCTCCTATTACGACTGTTAAGGGATATTTTAGTGGATCATACAATCGGTGTAACTCAGAGAACCTTTTAAGTAGGACGTGTCTACCGTGCAACAATATATCTCTGGGGCCTTTTTAGGATTCCGTACCCAAAGGGTAAAACGGGACCCTATTACTAAGACTCCGCTGTCTGTTTGTCCCTCTATCAACAGGTTGTATCTCATAAACCTTGATAGTTACACAGTTTAAATTTGATCGGGTTATTTGTTTCCCAAGGAGAGTTGACGTCAGGCAGGCGGCTAGTTGTAAAAATATAGCCAAAACCGCCTACAACATGATTCATGTTGTGCCGACCCCACCTAGGTGGGATAGGGACAGGACGATGATTATAACTTATATTATACTTGTCCATCTATTTTAAAAGTACGCGTCAAACGAAATTATTTGAAAGAGGCTATTATACTTTCGGATACTGGTTAAAATGTCCTGATGGTGAATGATTATTTGTAAAAAGATTTTTATTGGTTGTGGCGGCTCCTCAATGATGGGGAAACTAACTTTTCCAGAAGCACAGCACATACCATTAGGTTCAGTGACCCATTTTTGGCACAACACTTAGAGCAGATCTTATTCGTGGCTCCGATTTGGACGGAAGACTGTGCACTGTATCAGCTAAAACTCGATTACGAACTCTAGTCGTTGACGTTTGTGGTCTTTGTGGAGTTGGGAACACTCCACAAAGACTCGATTACCTAGTGTCAATTTGTATATTTATATTATTATGCTCTTCAAGCCGCTGCAAACACTCTACTTGACTCTCTCCGACTTGTAATACGATTTTCAGTTTCCGGTAAGAAGATTCCTCATTACGACGTATTTTTCTTGACCTCGCCTGGGAACTATTTCTAGAAAGATACTGATCTTGATCTTTTCTTGAGATCTTGTTCTTTTGGGCATTTTAAAATGAAAAAAAAAATTAAAACGCCTTTGTATTTAATAATTTGCTAACTGTTGAACAGGAATTACCAGTATAAATGTGATTGAAAAATTATAAGAACTAATAAGTCAGTCACTATGCTTTTGGATAGTTAAATTACAATATACTAACATTTTTAAACTTGTGATATCTTTCGAATGGAATGTCAGAATTTAATAATTCAAAAAGTTTTATAAAGGTATTGAAACAGTCTTAAATATGAAGTAATTTATTTTTTGAGGATTAAAACCAAGATACAAATAACGACCCTTTTCAAGGGGCGGCATTCCAATCAAAAGTTTAAAATAAAAGAACACTTATTGTGGCATAACTATAATAGTTAATTTAATTATTTTATATATTAATTTTTTGATATAATAAAATAATGTAAATAGTTAATTTACATTATTTTATTATATCAAAAAATTTCGCAGCGCACGCGATTTTAAGAATATTTTAGGTAATTTTTGTACACTTTGGGTTACATTATTGAAGTTTTAGTAAGGATCCCTATTTTTTTTTTTGAAAATATAATATAGCCTATATCAACCGGGGATAATGTAGCTTCCCAACAGTGAAAGAATTTTTCAAATCGGTTCAGAAGTTACGGAGCCTATTCAATACATACTACAATCAACTCTTTCCTCTTTATAATACAGCATAGATAAGGTGATTAGATAATAAGAAAATAAAAATAAATTTCAATCCAATTATTTCTTATTTCTAAAAATCAAGTAATGTAAGTAGTAGTAATGGTAAATTGACTACTATTATTGACTACTACTAATTGACTACTATTAACTTCAAAAAAGTAACTTGGCAGTTTTATCCATCAAAAGTCACGATAAAAGATAAATATGTGCGAGCAGTATCACTAAGACCTCCAAACTTCTTACTATTAATCTGCTAACATTTGGTTTCTTTATAATCTTTTTCTGACATATATAAATGACCAAATTAGTGTGCGTATCTAATACTTATTTTATGTTCAGATTGCTCATCATCATCATCACTATCTATATTAGCCATAGACTCTTCTAGACTCTGGCAATGTTCTTTTATTACAATAATTGGTTTGCCTTTAGTACTATCGTAGTTGCAGTTTACTTCATTTTCCAAAGCTGTACGTAATTTTTCTTTGATTTCTTGTATGAGACAATCACTGTAGAATTTACATTTGACCCTTAGTTCTAACAATGTGGCTACTTTAAACAATTTTTGAAGTTATACTTCTTTTGGCGCTTTAGGGAAAAATGATGAGAGTAAATTATTTTATCAAATTCTGATTTTCCTGAATATAAAATTAAGATCCGTATACGTATCCGTATCCGCTGATCTTGACGGCAATAATCCGTATCCGTATCCGCGGATATACAATTTTAATGATCCGAAACAACACTTTTTTTAATGTGGAAAGTTGCCAAACGAGCAAATGGTTCACCTGAAGATAAGTGAATACCGGCCATGGACATCTGCTACACCCGAGGGTTACAGATGCGTTGACAACCTTTTGAAATTTGGGCTCCTCACTCACCAGACGAAACGCGGAAGTATTTGTCATACTTCCGCTTTACGCTGGCCTTCCGTGAGGTTGTGGTACTTACCCGGACGGGCCTGCCCATTCTTGCAATAGCCGAGGCTGCTGCGTGGCCCTACCTCCGTAAGATAACACACCTGGGCTGAAATTGTTACGTTCACAAAAAGCTGTACTAGAAATGAACAATGTCAGCACAGGTCCACTGTACTCATACAATAATCAGCAACTCCCTCTATTCAACCAGAAGGACCAACCTACTCGATGCTTATACAGGAATACCACTGATTATTAATTTGATTCTCAATGATGATTATATCATCTATTCAACAATTTAATACCAGTTTCTAAGTTCAAGTAAGTGATTTTGATGTTTTGTTCAATAATTTAGTTTCATACTACTTTCCGAATAGTTTGTCATTTACAAAAGTAACCAGTAAATGACCTATAAGTCATTAAGGTTACGTACGTAAGGATCTAAGGTAAGAACGTAAAATCTCACATTAACCGCTAATCCACTTCCCTTTCGTCTCATCGAGATCACCTGGTCGCTTCGTTTATTATCGCCAATAACTTTCTTTAACACATGATTATGTATATTAAATTAAACTAATTTACATATTTTATCCCGTTTTAATATTGATTTTTAATGACACACTACTACTACATAAAACAATGAGTAAACGAACGCATCAAGAGATACGAGCACACTGCTTAAAGAAAACCTTTGTTCCTTTGATAAACACATAAAAACTTTAAGAGAAAATATTTCTGCCACTGATCGAAGACTTTGAGAATATGCCAATATATCAAACAAATTTTATGAAAAAGTTGCACGAGTTTTAATAAAATGTGTATTGAATGGCGCTGAATCCTTCTGTTGTCGAGGCGACATGAAACAAAGGCAAACGCTCCAATCAGCACACCCTTTTTCATTGGGCGATGGAGATGGCTGCTACCGAGAACGCATCACATAAAATTCAATTACCTCCGCCACATTAATCAAAGAGAGAACCGGCCAAAGACTGTATTTAAGGTTAAATTCTGCATGAAATATTTATGGTACGGTATCGATAGCTAACTTTTTGTAGGCATACTTTTGTTTAATAACCTAAATTCAACTTAGTACCAACTTGCTAATAG